TGTCCTTGAATGTGTGTAGGATGAACACCTCATGGCCACCGACCGCTGCGTTGAGCATGGCTTGCAAGGCCCCAAGGCAACGGCCATCAACAGACTCAGTGAGCAGAGTCAACTCCATCATGTTCAGCTGTATTTGGCGACTTCAGAGGCTTGCTACACTCCGCATCTGGCAGGAGCTAGCGCCGGTCACAACATAAGGAATAGCGAGCCATGCGGCGTTCAAGAAACGGGTGCCGTCCTCGACACATCCATGAAGCCGGTTATTGGAAGAGCGAGGTGTGCGGAGTGGCCGGCAGAAACTTGATTCGTCCAATATGTTGATGCACAAGTGCAAAGAATGCCACAGTGTACTATAGAACATCTTATCGCATGGCAGGGAGGATTCACGTTTTGACGGACGCCAGCCACGCCTCCTAACCAGAAATACCAGGCTCCCAGCATCGTGTGGGATCCCTAGAATGGACTCGGTACAGTATATCCAGCACATTTTCTGCGGAACGTGCCACCATCGAAGCTTCTCGCAGGAAAGATGAATCAACCCTGCTGCGACTGTTTTCACATCTGGAAGTGAGTGTGAGATGCCATCCGCCCGCATGGCTGACCATCCAAAATCTGGATGCTTGTGTGACAGTGTCAGTTCCACCAGGGCACCGAAAACGAAATCGGTACGAATACGCCTGTTCCAGGATCGAAGTTCACTCCGGATGGGTCCCACTTGGTGATGCTGTCTGTGAGATAACAAGCAAGCGTCCAATGTGAGAGTCTCTACAATTTCAACGGCGCATGCGCCTTTGCATGGCGAATATCCAAAGCCGGCGCAAGTGTGGCCCTGGGGCTAATCAAAGGCCGAGGATGGCACCACTATCCCCCGGGTTGTCACATTAACCTCTGCCCATTCTCGGAATCGATTCAGCCGGCCCTGCATTTACCGTCCAGTGGCCCCCCTGGATCGCCACTATGATCCATTGTTGATCCTCAACTAACTTAGATGCTCTCACTGAGCAATTGCCCTAACAGGCACTGATAGCTCTCAGACACCTCGATGCGACTTGAGGTCATCTGATCCGAAGCCACCAGCCGCCATGTTACCGCCAGTGTCTTGCCGCTTACTCCTCCCGCATGGCTATACGAGCTGTCAGCCTGTCCAGTCACACACGAGGGGTGTGAAGTGGGCTTGCTGAGATGCCGACGTTTGGCCTCCAACTTGCGTTCATCATGACTCGTTGTGACATGTGGCCGAAGCCGCCACGAGAGTTGTTTAGCCTAGAGTTCGCTTCGGGCAGGAAAGTGGGTGCGGCTGGAGTCTTTGAGGGGTGGGGACGAAGACAGCTGAGGCCACAAGACTCAAGGTCTTGGGCCGGCAACAGCTCCGAGCAATATACTACTGTAAGTACGAGTACTCGTCTCCTTCGCATCGTGCAATGTCGGACTGGCACAAAAGGCACCATGCAGCTCGCTCCTGGGATGGAGGATCAGCAACGGAAAGGGGAGTGCTGGGGCCCCGTCGAGCCTAGCGGGCATGGAGTGGACAACGAGGCTACCTTTCCTGTCCACCCCTCCCTTGAAGTGATGGAGACTACTGCACGCAAGCGACATTGCCCTCCCATGGCATGACCGAGTTTGCGAGGATGAGAATTTTTGTCACTCTTCACGCAGCCAAGTAGATGGGGCGACCATCCACCACCGTAAGCCACTGAAGGGTCATGTGAGGGAGCCGTTCTGCATAGGCTGTCAAGCGACGTAGGACAGCAGCGGCTCAATCGAGATTCCTAGAATACGATGTATACGAGGCTCAAAAAACACGCCAGGGCCAGGGATCGCCTTGTGTGATGGGTCGTCAAGGAGAATCTGGGGGAGACCTTTAATTTTGCAAGTAAGGAGGACCCTCGCCTGTTTTCGGCCTCAGAGGTTGACTTTTTTTCGCGCCGTCCCTGCCGCCAGAGGAAGCGGAACACGGGTGCCGTGTAGTTAGGGGAAGACTAAGAGCCGGCCGGAGTATCACGAACCCCGTCCGGCTGGAGTCGTGTTAGTACAAGTACTGTAGGTGGAGGAGGGACTCCAGTCTCGGCAAGGATGAAGCCAGTACAGGCCCGTTGGATGAGCAATTACAGCCGAGGTGGTGCTGAGGTGCGGCGAGCTATGGGCTTCTCTGACATTTCTACCGACCTGGACGAGGCTAATGCATGGCAAGCATGGTGGGCGGCGTCTCGTCTGTCTCAGGTCGATCGATGTCAGCTTCGTGGGCGACAATCCTCTCATAATCACCACCACCACCATCACCAACACTGGTTTGCTGTCTCCTTTGTGCTGCTTGAGACGGGGAGGAGTGGTGGCGTCCCTCCGTGGCCCCTTTGAGGACTCGTTTTACGTGAGCCTAGCGAGTCCCATGGTTGCGACATGGCATGGACCATTCAGGCTTCACCTGCTAGGCGAGGGCGGACGCCACGGAGTCACTCAGATGCATTGGTGCCCTTGGTGCTGGCTCGTCCCGACAATCAACCTGGAGACAAGCAACCGACGGTCGTCGCCGTCGGTTACTCAAACACTGCTCCGTACAATATCATGGATGGCTCAAGCGGATTGCCCATAGATTGGCAATAGCTTGTCGCGTGGACGAGTCGGGTATGGCCATGTGCTTTGGACAGCTCTCTAAGTTAACTTAGTTCCACGTCCTCGTAGTGTCAGCCGCTGGACCAGTCGAGGCCTGGCAGAGAGTCGCCTACCCCGGTGCGTATCATCCGCCGCAGTACAGTAGTTAGTTGGTGACTTGGCCCGTGAGCTAGTGGTCCGGGTTTTGTACGGGCTTCTGGGCCATGGGCCATGCATGGCACGGATCGTTGGCAAGCAATCCTCCGTACGCGGTCCATGTTGAGCATCTCGATTTGGGAGATAGCGGGAGGACAAGGTTGGCACGAAAACTCAGCCTGTCTCCGTGGCTCCGAGCGGGAAGAGGCGTGTGGCTGGGGGCCCTCGCTACGAAGGGGGTACTCCTACAGGGGAGGAAACGGGAAACATGTATCATTGTGCCACCTAGGCAGCAGAAAGACTCCATACTGTTCGGGTACCAGAAGGCTCCTCGTCATTCGAAACGCCGGCCGACGGTGTCTCGCATACAGAGTACCGAGCACGGAGGATCGACTGATATTGCCATGCATAAAGACGGTACTCGCACATGCAAAAGAAGCTGAGGTGGATGGCAAAGGGAGTTCGGACGCATTCACCATTTGTGAACGACTAATAAACTGCACAAAGAGGGAGGGGATGAGAGAGAGCGTGCGAGCTCCCTCGCCATGCTCCACGTCTCTGAGGAATGGGGGCTTTGGCAGCATCGTGGGCGTCCTCCACCCAATGTGGAAATCCCAGCACCGCTCGTTACCCCTTGGCTTCACTCAAATCTCCCTCTCTTCGCTGCAGGACTGTGGACTGTTGTCACTGGTGGTCTGTACCTGGGAATCAGTGCGATTCACCTCGTGTAACACCCGCACAGAGTCTAGCCACTAGCACCTCGCGGATCTAGCAAAAGCAACGGTGACCCCGGGGGAGCCAGCCAGCATATCGTTGACCAGCGATCGGTGATGGCCCACGGGCGCCTCCGTACAGTAGTTCGTTGCCGTGGCCCCTCGCTCGAAGTCCTGTAGCAGTGGGCTCCACTATCGCCCGCATACAGCGCAGTACTTACTCTCGCACACCCTCTCCGCCCTGGTGGTGATTCATAACAAGACAAGTGAGAGAATCGTGTGGCCAGAGCCAAACTCTTGCTCGTGTCTATTTCCAGCCTATGGTCTGCCAGACGGCGGTGGTCATTGGTGAGGGCGGCCGCTTTCGAGTCTCTCCACATGCTCTCTTCCCGCGGCCTGAACCCTGGTCTGGGACATCATCCCTGCAAGCGATCGACCAGGGTCAGGCAATGGCATGCGTTACTCCGTATGGCAGTCCGGAATCATGCGACTGAGGGACTCCACGAGGCCGCCATCCCTCGTCGAACCCATGTTGCCTCTGGATCCGTCCGCGGCGCCATCGCCTGCTTTCTTCCTGGAAAGCTGCGTGCCTTTGCCCACCTTTTTGGCGAGAGAGGCGAGAGAGGGCTCACTCCAAGAAATTTCTCTAGCTACATTCTTACTCGATCAGCTAATTATGTGCAGTTAGTTGCTCAGACAAAAAGACCGCCCATATACGAGGAGAGGGCAGGCACTCGTCTGTTTCCTCTGCTTATACTCTTTCCGTCCCGCACTAGAGGTCACCTCACACCTTTGCTCCTCACGGTGTCTGTCTTCACAACCTCATCGCTTCGCGACCTGAGTGCCGCTCGACGACTCGAAGGCCTGGCCCTTCTATTCGGAGCACAACGTCCGTCGAGGTCGTGTGCGGTCAATCATCCACACTTCCTCTATCTGACAGCTTTGGTCATTCGACGCTCGGTGGGCTGTCACAGCACATGCACGCTGGAGCATGTAATTTTATGAAAGACGCAACCCCTGGTGGTCGACTCTGCATTTCTCCAACACACTCGCCATACGACATCGACAGCTAGACGTCTGCTGTACCACCGACAAGAGTGACACTCGTTTTGTGCACCAAAGCTCGGTGTCGTTCAGGACAGAGTGACACGCTGGGACGGTCTGGTGGCAATGCTCTCCACTTCTCGGCCAGAGAGCAACGACCATCTCCTAAAGTGATATTGGTGTCGAAGAAGGGAACAAGCGCGTTCGGTGTCGCGGGTTCAGGCCATTTCTTCTGGCCTCTTGACTCTACACCATTGGACGCCAGTGCCTGAGTAAGTATTCCATACTCCCAAACCTGGGGACCTCACGATCCTAATGCACGGCCAGGACCTGCTGTCCGTACTCAAGAACCGCAACGAGTCCATGGCAACGAGTGTCGTACTACCTTCAGACCTGCGGAGTAGGCGGTGGCACGAAACTCAACTACTGACCCAAGCTTGTCCTACCTCGTCGTTATCGTCCAGCCCTACGGTCAACTTGACATCGAGAGTACCACCCATGGCAACGGGTAACGCTCCGTCGCATAAGCCTCGCCTTCCGTCTTTTGGAGACTTTCTCTCCGGTGCATCTCACAGCAATCTCGGGCCTTCACAGGCATCTCAGCATCAGCCGAGCAGAGACAGAGCCCCTCCGGCTAGCGCCACCGGACTCCAACACATTGCTAACTTCAACACCTATAACCCCAGCTCGGAGAGGAATCCAGTGCAGACCCCTAGGCCTGGGTCCTATCACCAGCCGCATCAAGGAAACAGGCCCGATGCAAACCACGTATCATATTGGGGTTATCCACAATCTCCAGCGCACGACAGCCGCATACCTTTCCCCTCAGGTGCTGGATCACCGGGCCCCGCAATCGACCACGGCTACCGCAGGAAGGTTTTGAGGGAGGAGGTCATTCCTGGCAAGGGGCCGTGCTACATCTACGATGACGGCACGTTTTGTCAAAAGGTCATCAACGGCGACTCGGTCAATCCGAAATGGGGCACCACCAAAGCGGGCAAGCCTCGAAAACGGCTGGGCCAGGCGTGCAATTCCTGCAGAGAGAAGAAGATAAAGTGCGACCCCAGCATACCCAAGTGCGCACAGTGCCAGAAGTTTGGCCGCGAATGCATATTTGATCCGACGTGAGTGAGCCCTTACGGACCAAGCAATATGCGGGGTGTTATAGTTGTATGCTAATTCATTCTTTGACAAGCAGGGCACGAACATCCTCTTCGAGACAAGCCGGAACCGGTTCGAATTCCTCGAGCTATTCCCCTTCTCGTTCGTCGCCGGCGGACCTACAGCAAGACACGCAATCGATCCGGAGGGAATCAAACGCATCGACGGACTGGCCTGCTGGCCAGCACGAGCACGGTGGGCTGAAGAGTCTGCGCCGGTCCTCGATGGCACTCGAGAGCCTCTTGTCCCCTGCCACTGAAGAAGACGGAGTGGCAGCTGACGACGATGCATCGGAGATTCTGCGCCCGGCCAAACGGGCCCGCATCTCGACCACGTCGCCTCAGTCCGGCCCCGAATCCGAGGGCATGAGCATGGGGACGTTGATGAGTACAATCCTGTCACCGACCACCCCTTCGGGATTCTCGAGCATTACGGACCCTTCTGACATCGACCGCGACCTGACCTTGTACTATGTAGGTAAGTACTTTGCCCATGTCGACAGTGCCACGTACGGCACGCTACCCTCGAGAGCGGTGACGCGCTGGATCAAAGAGTGCCTTCGCAAGTCCGGTGCGGACCGGATGCTGCTCTACGCCATGATGGCCATGGGATCTGTGTTTGCGCGGCGTTCCGATTCCGAATCCCATCGTACCCTGTTTGCCGGGATCGCCGAGGAAGCATCCAGAAACTATGCCGACGAGCTCACGCTGCAGCTGCTCCAGACACGGCTCATCCTGGCGCTCTTGGCCTTTTCGCAGGGCCAATACAACAAAGCGTGGGACCTGTGCGGGTCGGCGCTCCGGATTGCCTTCGGCCTGAAATACAACACGGAGGTCGGGGTGCGCGCCATCATGGAGACGGGCACGACCGACTTTGGACTCGACTACGACACGCTGGTGGAATGCAGAAGACGCACATTCTGGTCGGCGTACGTCATGGATTGCTTCAACGGCTGCTGCTCGGCCACGGTGGCGTCTCTGTTCCGCTCGCAATGCCACATACGGCTGCCGTGCGGACGTGCGGCGTACGAGAACGGGGTGATCCAGTCGACGCCTTTTGAGCTCGGCATGAACCTGTACGCCGGGGCGGGCGCCGCGTCTCGAGTCGGACTGCTGGGATACCTGGTGGAGATCGCCACCATCTTCCGCGACGTGGTGGACAAGGCCAGCCGGCTCAGTCCCGCGGCGGCGACGGCCGAGATATACGCGGTGGAAATCGATCAGTTTTACAAGCGCACGCAGGCGCGGCTGACGGCGTGGGAACGGCAACTCGACACCGCAATGTCCCATGGCGGCGACGACGAGGAGCTTGACTCGGTCAGCGGCCTGCACATCATGTACCACTACACGGCCATCACACTGCACCGGTACGTGTACCACGCTGCGCTCGACGGGCCGTCGATTAGCGAGCGCATCACGGCGTGCTACGAGCACGCGGAGCGCATGCTGGGCACGGTGCAGCGGCTCAGCAACCACGAGGAGCGTCGCGAGCGCGACCCGGACCCGCTGTTGTTCCGTTTCGCCACGACGAGTCCGTTCAACGGCTTCGCCATCACGGCGGCCCTGGACGTCATCACCGCCGCTGGCACGCTGTCGGACCTGATGGACTCGCAGAGCAGGACCATGTCGCTGATGTCGAGTGGCCTGGAGGCCCTCGAAGGGCTGGTCGGCTTCTGGCACAGCGCGCGCCGTCAGCGCGAGATGATCAAGAAACGCCTTGGCACCTTGATGTCGGCGGCGACCAAGATGGCTTCCGACACTTCGGGCGCGTATTACTTTGGCGAGTCCATGGAGAGCCCGTTCCGACCTGAACAGGACGTCATGTACGGAGTGGGGCGTGAGCGGTATTTCCAGGCCTGGGGGTGGTCCGGGAGGTTTAATGAAGGTGATTTTCATCGGTTGGACCTGCCTCTGCAGTCTGGTGGGAGAAGCGTAAACAGTGCGCAATGAGACACAAGGCAAGGAAAGGAAAAGGAGGCAAAAAGAAGCATCTACAGAGAAAGAAGCATCCTCGAGAAAGGAGGAGAAAGCCCCAGGAGACACGAAACGATCACCACGGGAGGATATCACGAATGAGACGTCCAGGTCAGGTCAGGTCACGTATGTGATGGAGAATTGAAATGGGCCTTGACTCTGGAGGATGATGATTATGACCATTGTTGTTGCTGTTGTTGTTAATGCTGATGTTGATGTTGGTAATTTCTGGTTTGTTCCGTGGGACAACTTCTTTTATCATCGGTCAGGGAAGGTCTTTTGAGTGATTCTGTCTTGGATTTGGGAAAAGGGGCACATATTATACGATACCCCAGAGTTTAGGTACCCACCACGCAAGGTATACGTTTACCTCGGGTACCAGTACGCAGCACGGCATAGCACAGCATGGGACTCAAGAGGGCGGCCAAAAGAAAGCGATATCGTTTAGGGAGGCCAGACATGATTCAGGTTAATTAATGGTTGGGAAAGATGAAATTGTATCTGGTTTGATGTGTAGGAAAGATACTTGATCTTTTCTTCCGTCCAAAGCAAATGAGCGTGATTACCTGACTAGAATCAGAGAGTATTGAGACACCTATATACACCCCTCCTTACCTTGGCTAGTACCTAGATACCTAACGTAGGTATGGTAGTTGATAGCTGGTACGGCAGAGTGGTGTGCAGAGTGGTGGGTGACTGATCATGTGCTCTGTAGAGGGTACTGTGTAGGTTAGGTACAGTAGGTACCTTACGGGAGTCAGGGGAGAACGGCACGGATACACAGCCTTGTCTCTGTTTGTCCCCTGCTTCGCAATATGCAGCGAACTACAGACTTACTACAGTACAATACCCATCCACCTACATAGGTTCCACCCGGTACTCTTACGATATGTACCTAAACATAAATGTTTAGCTGGGATGGTGGGGGGGTGCAAATGGCGGCTGAATGGCTCTTGCAACCGCCCTCCCCCCAACCAAAACAGCCCCCGAGACTCACCGATCAGTGATCACTCCCGAGATTCCGTGCTTCGGCTGCTATTTGGGCACTACCTTGGCTATCATAAGCACTGAGAGAGGGGGGGGGGAGGAGGTGGTGGTGGTGGAGGGGCTCACTAACTAGTTAGTTAAAAGAAACTACAGTAGTTTGGCACGCCGAGACACCGGCACGTTTAACTGACAAACTACTCAGTTAGCCTTACAAGAAACCTACAGTAGGGGACTCCGTAGTTGTCTTAAAATTGCTTGCACGGACCAAGACATGTACTATACTCGATTCTATTTAGGTACCGATCTCGGTGCATGGTGTCCCCCGAACTCCAGGCATCATCCTTGAAGGGTGGGACAAGTGCAGCGTGCCTGGTACAATAGCTATTGCCCTAATCTGGACGATAAGTTAGAAAGCGGCCGTCGATGAAGACCGCGTGGGATGTCGGCGTGGGTTTGGATCTGTCCGGCACTTGAACAAGGCAATCTTTCTTAAGTTAGGGGCCCCTATCGACCACCTATTGTTGTACGGTACAAGCTGCAAGGACTCCGTACCTACAGCACCTATGTACGGAGTAGGTTGAGCACTTTAATACCTAATGCGAGTACTGCAGACATCTACTGTGCATGCAATACAATAGCTTAGAGTCCCTATTGTACAATACTGTACTAAGTACGGAGTACACAATAGTACAGGGATACCTTAGGTACCTAACTAACCACCGGCTCGGAACTACCCTTTTCCGATCGCCCCTCCTCATACTGTATGAGTCTGAGGTATAACAGATACATATGCTCACTTTCTGCGTCTCTTCATCCTTTCTTGCAACCCAACTCACTCATCATCATCGTCCTCCTCCACGAGGACCCCCACAGCCACGATCCCTCGATCGTAACCATATGGATGTCTTTGATGATTTCTTATCCTCGGCAATGACCAACTCCCTACGAACTGAGTGTCGGTGATCTTGCGATGCTCGAAAAGGTGAATCAACCACCGTGACGTATATGGGGAGACGGTGGGTTTGATTGTGTTGCGAGGACCAAGGTCATCATCGCCTCGTTTGCGAGGAATCCGTTGCACCTGCTCATACCTCATCTCATGTCGTGCCATACGAGTATGCCCTCGTCTCCCGTTGGCGATCAGGGTCTCTGCCACATCGGCTCTCCCTTCCGTGTGCCAGAGCCAATACTCTTGTCATCTGTCGTGGCAACACCTCGTCACCTTGCAGCTTTTCCTCAATCACGTCGTCTTCATCATTCTATTTATCAGTGGCTGTGACCGCTCGCGCCTTTTTCCAAGCTGTCATCATGATTGATTGAGTATAATATCTCGACAAGAGACCATTTGAAGTTCTATCGAAAATAAAGTCTGCCTCCTCGATTTTCATGAAATCTTTTGGTCAAGACATCACACTGTTCTTCTTCATCACATCAACAACATGAATCTCTGGACAAATGAACCCGACCAATGCAAGCACCTCGCTAAGCCGTCCATTCCCCAATTCGTTGTCTCATGGTAAGTGGGTGCTGTCTTCTTCTGTCCGAGGAGATCAACCAGATTGACCATGACTATAGCTCGTTGATGGGATGGTTACTGATCTGTTACCTCCCACAATGGGCTCGTATAGTCTCTCGCAAGTCAGCAGAAGGTTTATCAACCTACTACATCCTCCTCGGCTCCCTTTCAGGTGTTTGTGCAGTGGGCAACATTATGATGCTGCCGTCCAGTGCCGTTGAACTGGGCTGTTGCAGGACCAACACGCGCTTTGCCTGCATCAGTGGCCTTCTCGGGATGCTTCAAGTCATTTTCGGCATTGCCTGTTTCTGGATCGTGTAAGAATATTCCTACCTATGGCAGCCTCGCCTGTCACCTGTACTTTACACCTGCACTTCTTCACCCCATTTACTGACAAGCGCTTGGACAGCCTCTTCATGTATGTTTACTACTCAGAGGAAGAGGCTGATGCGGAAAAACATGGCCGTCGAGCGTCAATCTCTGGCCCAGATCGCACATTCCGCCGAGCAAAACGAGCCATCCGAGTTCTCATCGCTGCATGCAGCTTCGCCATGTCGATTCTCTTGATCTCGGCGATCATCTTGCACCGCTTCCCGTGGGTGGCACAGACGTGGGCTAACATCTTGGGGATTGCCGTGGCTTGCTTTGCATGTGTTCAGTGGGTACCACAAGTCAGAACGACGTGGCATCTTGGACATCTCGGAAGTCTCAGCCCGACGTCTCTCTGTCTGATGGCCCCGGTATGTGACACGAATCCTTGAAATCCAACCTGGACTGACACTTGGACAGTACACGTGGATCTTTGGCATCAACATGATGATTCGAGTCGGGCAAAAAGACTGGAGCGCCTGGATTGTATATGTTCTGGTGGGAACTATGCAGGTGGTTCTCATCGTCATGGCCATTTGTTTCGCCATCAGAGATCGAAACTTGGCCAAGGAGGGTAAACAGCACTGCTCCGTGCCTCCTGAGTTTGAAGGTTGGAACACTGTGTCGACCTGGACATCCCGTTCTCGTCAAACATCGATACTATCGCATAGGGCATCGAATGTCGGCCCTGACGAACGCAGCCCTCTCATTCGAAGTCAACTCAGTCCCCGCGAGGTTTCACACAAGCAAGCCAACCATCATTCCTAGCACCATGATGGTCGGGATAACGACTCGGTGAAGAGCTTCAAATCAGACATAATGTGAGGTTGATGAATCAGGACGGTAGATTGTGGCAATTGTGGTAATTGCGGCTGCTGCTGCTGCTGCTTTTATTGTATAGATCTGGGAAGAAGCTGCCAGTGACTACAAGGTGGTGCGAGAGATACCTGATATATCAGATGTAACGTGTGGTGGTGGAATGTACCCGTACGTCAATATCTGTTACACTGCACTTCATGGACGCGCTACACCCTCCGTAGAGTTAAGAACCATCAAGGCTTCCATGCCCATTGATTCGTTATTCAGTCAGTCCGTCCTCATCTACTCGATAGCAGAACTCGTGCGCCCTTTGACTTGGGTGCCCCGATGTCGCGGTAAATGAGAGCTACCTTCCTCATCGGGAATAGTTAGTTAGAAGCCTATAAGGATAGACACCCGACGCCCATAAGCAGCCCCAGATATTACCCGTTGATGCCTAAATTTTAGGGGGTCTTGTAGGCCTCGCCCCCGGTACTGTAGGCACCTACTGTAAGGGTAGTTGACTAGAACTTACTTATCCCGTCTCCATGCAAGGTCGCTTAGCCCTGTGTTTTTCTCGTTTTATCCTTCCTTCGCCTGGCTTAAGCACTCAGTCAAATACTGGACGGTGGTTGTGGTGGTATAGGAAATTGTCTCCGCCACGTTTAGATCCCCCGGGCGCCTAACTTAGCACCTAAAGAAACTACTTAGGGGCTCCTAGGATGCCTGGATGGCGTCGTTATAGGCGACATTAAACCTAGTAAATCGCTCCATTTTGCCATTCACCCGATGTCGCGTGCCGAATTGCCGCAACCGCTGACAGATGGACCAATGACGTAAGTTAGTACTGAATGGAGAAATCGCTCAACCGCCTCAAAGTCCTCCGAACGGGCCTCTTGTTTTTCATCGTGTCCAATACATTATTTTGACTCATCACTGACTGTCTCTGGGGCTACGACGGGTATCTATCTATACCCAGCTCGATGGCCTTGTCTTGCCTCTCGGACGTCTTCGAGGCTGGTTCAACCAGGGGATGTTCCAGCCATCATATATACCTGGTATCGAAACACCACCATGGCACCGTCCAACTCGGTCGAACTCGGCGAGCAGAGGTCCCCTGTGGGCGGCGAAACTGGCACGAGTAGAGACTACAATGACGACGAGACTGTCGCAGTTGACGATCTGGAAATCAGTGCCCTTCCACCCTCTATGAGATTGTCCAACGGAGGCAAAGCACGAGTCATCGCGGGCAATGCTCTTCTTCAACTTCCTATATGGGGTGAGTGTGTGTTTTTTTTTGGACCACGACTCGACGAAAGAAGACGACGACGACAACGACCTCGGTCTCCCCATCGATACACTCCTTTAGTGTGCCGTATGTATGTGAATTGACTCTTTTCCGCCCCAGGCTTCCCCATGACCTACGGTCTCTTTCAGGACTTTTACACCTCCAGCTGGCCTCTTTCCGGCTCACCCTCAGGGACGGGCGTCATCGGCACGACGTCGAACGGTATCATCTACCTCTGCATGCCGTTCCTGTTCGCGGCCCTCAGTCAACGCTGGGCGCACTTGCGGCGCAGGGTGTCATACCTGGGCATCGCGCTCGCGACACTCAGCTTCATCTTGTCGTCGGTCAGCACGCGGTCGTGGCACCTGGTAGCCACGCAGGGGGTGCTCGCGGCGCTCGGGTCGGCGCTGCTCTACAGTCCCACGACGCTCTCGCTGGGTGAGAGCTTCACCATCGACAGCCGGGCGCTCGCGTACGGGGTGATCTACTCGTCCAAGAACATCGTGGGCTCGACGTGTCCGTTCCTCCTGCGTGGTCTGCTCGACGCCTACGGCTTCCGCAACACGATGCGCATCTGGACCGCCATCGTCACCTTCACGAGCGTGGCCGCAATGCTTCTGCTTCCCCAAGACACCCTTTCCACCCAGCCCGCCGTGCCCATCGGCCATCGTCATCATCACACAACTCGGAGCAGTCATTCTGCCACTACTACGGCCGGTACTACCACTACAACCTCTTTCAACTCGGAACACCAACACCACCAACAACAACAAGAAGCAGAAGAAGAAGAGGAGGAGACGTCTCGTCCTCGCGCATCGCACGCCCCACGTCCACCGCGTCGCACGTCATGGCACTTTCTCTCATACCGCACGTTCCACATCTACATCGTCGCCACGATGCTGCAGTCGTCGGGCTACGGCATCCCGCAGACGTACGTCAACAGCTACGCGCACTCGGAGGCGCGGCTCTCGGCGACGTCGGCCACGCTGCTGCTCACGCTGTTCAACGTGCCGGGCATCCTCTCGAGCGCCTTCTTCGGCTGGCTGAGCGACAACCGCTTCCGCCCGCTGTCGGCCACCGCCACCACCGCCCTCTCGAGCGTCACGTCGGCCCTCTCCGTGTGGCTGCTCTGGGGCCTCGCCCCGGCCCGCGGCCGCGGCGGCGGCGGCTCCAACATGGCCATCCTGTCCCTGTTCAGCGTCGTCTTCGGCTTCTTCGCCAGCGGCTACAGCTCGACCTTTGGCGGCGTGTGCAAGCAGCTCGAGCGCGAGGCCGCCGAGCGCAACCAGGCCCTCGACTCCGGCGTGGTGTTCGGCATGCTCAACGGCGCCCGCGGCGTCGGCTACGTCGTCGGCGGCGTCGCGGGCGTGAGCCTGTTGAGCGTCGGGGAGAAGGCCTTGGACGGCGGCGGCGGTGGACTCTCGGGTGGCCGTGCGGCCTACGGGACGGAGTACGGCCCTCTCATCGTCTTCACGGGCCTCACCATCATCTTCGGAGGGTGGAGCGTTGCCTGGAAAATCTTCAACCGGAGGGTCTTCAACTTGATGTTCAAATGCTTCAAGAGCTAGCTGGGTACCTGGATACCTAGTAACTAGTCAGTCAAACTGTCCCCCTCGCGAATCAGTTATAACGTAACATGACATGTCGGCTTGCCTACCCAACCAGAATAGGAATCTGGACATGGTAAATAAGTACCTCTCTAATAAGGTGGGAACTCAGATTCAATGAAATCAACCGGGGGGGGGGGTTGGAATTCCCGTTTTGTTTTCGTCTGATTCCACTCTCAACCCAGTGTCATGAATGCCCTTGTATATTCATCAACCAAGCAGCAAGTTCATACAATGTGCCTGCCCAGCCCAAGGTAGATATAATATACTGCACATACATACACACACTTACTGTAAGTTTAAAGAAACACCTCAACACTCATAAACTCATACATGACCATTCTCACCCCCATACCTCGTCAAAGTGACCACCACCACTACCGCTGACCACCGCCAGTGCTGACCAGACCAGACCAGTCGAGACGAAAATCTTTACGACATCAAACACATGCCCTTGACACCTTCAACCACACCCGCCAACATTCTCAACCCATATGCCGAACTCACTCGCTCCAACACGTTGACCTTGTTCCTGATTTCCCTTCGGTCCATGACGCCCACCCACTCGCCACCACACGCGCAGTGGTCACTAAAGACGGCGTCGTCACCTTGCAGCACGCCGCACTTTTTGCACTTGAGATCCTGCACCTGCCAGCTCAGCAGACTCGCTTGGACACGAGCAATCAGGGTCTCCTCGAGCGCGATCTTGCTGAACTCACTGTGACATGCGAGACAGGTCCACGGTCGATTCGCCCCGTCCTGCTCGTCGGGCAAGACGTCCTCGTCGCGACAAAGGTCCAGATCTCGCGTCATCGTGCACGTGTCGCAGACCAGGTTGTCGAAGCGCAGACTGGCGCTTGGGTTCTCAAAGCGTGCCTCCTGTCCGAACTCGCGCACGTCAAAGAGCGTCAGGAGCTCTTTCCGCAACAATCGTGCTTCGAGCTGGAGTGGCTTGGACAGTGACACAATCTGCATGAGCGACTTGACGAGCTCGAGCACCGGGTCTCGAGGGTGTCGAGCGTCCGTAGATTCGAGCGTGCCACCTGGCAAGTTGGGGAATGACCAGTCGCTCGCGAGTTCGGGATGGAGTAGTTCTTCGCGTTGTCGTCGGATCAGTGCTGTGACTTGTTTCTTCAAAGGCTTGGAAAAGTCGTCCTGTAGTACCGTGGTGACTTCGGTGCTCGTTGGGTCTTCAGTCAGACTGATGAACGCCGACGGCAACTGTGTCGCTCTAGGGGTGGACGAAGAACCACCAGACTCGATCGGAGGCCGTTTCAGATTCTGCATCACTTCGATGAATGTTATGACCCAATCCTCGAAGACAGGTTGTAGAGAGACGGGAAGAAACTGCGACAGTTGCCAGTGGACGACCGTTTCAAGGTTCGAAGGGGTCGTCTGCTCTGTGATCGCCGAGGTACCCTTGCCTCCATAGTTGTATGCATCGTACCAAACAAGCACATCCCAGTAATCCTTGACTTCGAGCCCAAGGAAATGGAACAAGGGTTTCTGCTTGATAGATTTAAGGATATATTGCGAGTAAGCGTACGCGTTCTCAACCTCCTGCTTGGACGTTTGCAGAAGGAGTCTCGTGGGGCTTGCAAACACAACGTGCGAGCCTACTCGCCGGAAATCCGTGATGAGTTGCTGCATGGCCTTCTTCGACATCATTTGCACATAGTAGTGTAGATGCCGGTCGTACAGGCATGAGGCAGGGGCCTCCACCCAGCGAACTAGGTGTTGGACCATGACGTCTGCAAGTCTGTTGCCCTGACACGCCTCCGTCCACCATGACTTGACCATGTCCCGAAGAACTTCCAAAGCAGCTTGAGCAAACCCGCCATTGGACCTTGCGATGCCACTGCCTGAAGGTTCATCATCAGCGGCAGGATTGAAAGCAACAGAATCTGCAGAACCTTCAAGGTCGTTGATGATCGACGACGTTAAGAGGGTATTGATTGCTAGATTCTGCACAGACACATCTACACAGACCGAAGTATAAGCCCCTGGATTGTTAATCGAAGGCATCTCGACAACTTCGGTCAATGGCCCAAGAATATCGTCACGCTCATGGCCGGCGTGATCCGGACGAGGCTGTTCTGACCACCATAGGACAACATTGCTTCTCTTCAACCGTCGCGCGTAAGCCAAGTCGATCAAGAAACGTGGATCATCTTTCTCCAGGTTGCATAAAGGTACGTCTCCATACCGTGCAAGCTCTGTCAAATGTGCCAACCATCCTGCAGCATTCAAATAATGTGAAATCAACTGCTTGAATGCATGAGCTTGCCAGCCAAGAGGAGGGAGGTCGGCATCTGCATGCTCGGCAGGCAAAGATAGTATGGGATAATCTCGTACGATCCGGACATCATGCGCCAACTGTGTGCTTGAAGTTGATTGCATCAAAATCATGGTTGGCTTCGACTCTTCCGATCGCCATTTCTTGAGAATCTCGCCGATTTCGAGATGAGCTTTTCGTCTGGTGGTCACCTGCGACATTTTGAAATGTAGACTTGGCTGATACTCAAAAACGCTATCCACCAAAGCCTCTTCTGCTGTCTTTTGCCGGTACTGTTCGGCATAAATCTTGGTAGCGTTCGGAAGCTGAGCATCACGGGTCCGGCTCAGAATGATAATGTGCGCTTCCGACCTGGACGTTGAGAATAAGGCAAAGACGCTTCTTTCTCCTGATGTGATGTGGTAGAAGTAGACATAGCCAAAAGCACCGAGATTTTCCAGGTAAGTCGAATGTGAATTGCTTCTCAGGAGTGAGGAAAGATCAAAGCCTTGCTCCAGGCCTTTGCCTAGGACGCCCTTTTGGCTCTCGTCAAAAGAGCACATGTTGCCGAGCTTGAGCATGGCACGCATGAAGAGTGGCAGTTGTCGTTCGTACACACCCTCGACACTTGGGTGATTGCATAATAAGGAGACAGATTCGGCTTCCCGCAAGTATGTGTCTTCGGACATGCTCAACTGAAACAAGTGAACCGAAGGATGACCATTTGGTAAGGCATGATTGACCTTCTCAACCTCACAACCTGGAATCTCGACATTGGGTAGCTCCTCGCCCTTCAGATTAAGGTACAAGGTCCGGTGCACTTTTATAGCCAGGGGATGGATTTTGTTCCCAATCAAAACAAACGTCTTGACCTCTCCGGGTGATTCACCTTGTCGAAGCTGAAGTATTTGCCAGGTGTTTATAAAGAGCATCTCTGCTTGATTCCGGAAAAAGCTGCTGATCGAATCCGTCGCAGAGTTTGGTTTTTCGCCAAACAGCTGACGCCTTCTGTCTCTCGCTTGCTTCTGAATCTTCCATTTCTGTTTCTGATGTTGCAGCCAGCCACTGTAGTCCTCATCTGCAGTAGGAGCATCCGTGGGTAGGTCTGCATAGGGATCAATAACGGCCTGGTTGATGTTATCTGGGGATTTTCGCTTCGATTGTTTAGTGAGTTGTACTGGTGTCTTGAAACCAGCATCGAGCGCGTCCTCAATGTCACCTGTTGGGGGGAGACGGTGGTCAAGCAGGTTCACTGACCTCTCGGCAAGAGGTTTCTTTTCGAAGAGGTCACTCATCTTTTTCTGTTTGAATTTATCGTCCTTTGCTGTGATACGCTTCTGCAGCCATTCGGGATGGGCCACACGAGGTACGGGATTTCGTATCTTCTGGAGAGCTGCCGGGATGGTGATGAGCTTCTGGATGACAGAACCCAACCGCTCGAGATAGTAGTCCCAGTCAATGACTGTTCGAGGATCCATGTCTCCCGGGTCCTCCTTCAGCCACTTTCGCAAGAAGAATCTCTTCACGTTCTCATCTGCTGAGAAGATAGCAACGGGAATGGCTCTCTCCGTCACCGGGGTGTTTCTAGGCCTCGCTGAAATAATGTATTTACAGTTCAGCCCTTTGTCTTTGATCATTTGCTCACCCAAGAACTCCGCCAGGCGTTTTGCAGTAGTGATTGAGGTAGACTTTTGAGCCCCATATTCCTCCAGAGTCTTGGTCATGCTCTTGTTTTCACAAATCAAATCAATCAATTCTTCGTCGGCAAGAGTGTCTCCATGCTGGTGAAGCACGTCAAGCCATCGGTTGGCGACACGGGCAACAGCAGCGTAGGTCTCTGCCAGCGTCGTGCCTTCCAGGAAAAACTTGAAGATTTGCGTCTGAAAGATTTTGATGAGCTTCAGTTCACCTCTTCGCTTGACCTCGAACCCTTTCAGCTCAGCGAGACTGCCATCATGATTGAATACGGCATACCGCTTTTTCAAGTTCTTGTCTTCTTCTTTGGATGTGGGCAGAATCATGGCTTTGTAAGGCCCATCAACCTCGAAGAAGATCGAATTGTCGCTGTGAGTTTCGTATTTGAATGTAGTTGGGTCTATCAGGGTCTGATATTGATGATTGGTGTATGAAGCGTGCACCAAATGGTTGAGCATGACACAAGGATATGACACGGCCATCTTCTTCCCGTTCTTGAGCGTAAACACCACATTCTCTGGAAATGTGGCTGGGAGCATGCACCAGATACCGTCAGTATCCAATTCTAGTGGTCGACCAATGCGTTCGACAAGTTCCCGAGCCATCTGGATAATGTGAGCACCCGTAAGACAGGTGACACCCGCCATTTCCAAAGAATACCATCTTGACCCCTTCCGCATCACGTAGCCATAGAAAGAGTTGAGAATGACCTTATGAGCGAGTTGTAGCGAATCGAACAGCACAATCATCTTTTTGGCCTCCTCGATCTCCGTCGCAGAAGCCCCGGACGATTTCAAGGCTTCCGTTTTGCCTTTCCAGACTTTCTGTTTTCCCTTGAAATCGTACCGACGATCTCGGAAGTCTCGAACTGTGTCCACGTAGAATGGGTTTTCGCGTTGGCAAATGATGGCTTCACGTTCGATCGTTTTGGAATCGTGGATCTTGTGGTAGATCTTCTTTGAATATTCTTGAAGTCGTTTTCGCACTGCCGCTGCTTGTTCATCCAAACTCAACTCTTGAAATGTCCTTCTCATCGACTTTGGGTGTTTTCCCGGAAATGTCTCGTTGACCATGGCTCTTCGAATCATATTGTATTCATCACGTTTCGTAGGCAAGAACTCTCCTCGCCACGCCCATGGTAATCGTCGATCACAGGTCTTCCCGGGTCGGTTGAAATCGCAAGCCGCACAATCAGACTCAGATATCATGGAGTCGGGTTGCAGTCTGTTTGTGGTCATGATATTAGGATACATAGAAGCCACGTCCAAGTGATATATTAAGGGTCGTTCATTTCTGAGCGGCGTCGTCTTCAGGCTGTTCAACTTATCCGCAATTTGTGCTCGTACTTCATCGTAATTCGTTACGTCGTCAAGGTTTTTCTTCTCTTCGACCGTTATGCAAAACTTCAGAGCTGCGTCAAGGTCTCGCAAAAGTTCATCAATAGCGGCAGGCTCAATGGCAAAGTTTACCGGGATATCTGCACGAAACACCCCTGCTTCGATGCTCTCAACGTGCCCACCGACGTAGGTTTCTGACTCGAGGAGGTGGCCTTCCCAGAATGCTTCCCTCGGTTCTTTGTGCTTGTTCGGGAGGACGATGTTCTTTTGGTATGCTTGAACCATGAGCAACATCTCGCAAAGCGTGCCGGTTCCTTTCCGCAGAGTGTCATCAGGGTTGAGCGGGAGAATTGTGCAGAGAGAGAATATGAAAGGATGGACATATTTCATATACAGATAATAGGTCGCGACTGCATCGGAAACTGAGTATTCGGCCAGGATTTGTGGATGTTCACTGGCATAAGGCGTCATTAACTCTGGATCGAGCTCGTCCGGGTCGTAACCAAGTTTTGCCACAGTGACAGCTTTCAAGCCTCGACTTCCTTGTGGCAAGTAGCTATCTCGATTGACCCAAGCAAAGCAGTCCAGATGTGCACAGTAGTCACTCTGGTAGATGTCCTCACTGTTCTTTCGGAAGCCAATCTCTGCATACATGTCGATACCTAAAACACTGGCTCTCGCTTCCACGAACGGCCAATCAAAGAAGTCACCGTTGTATGTTGCAATGACGTTTGGTCGTGCTTCTTTGATGTGTGAGAAGAATCTCTCGATCACTGCGCGTTCATTAGGCTCATTGAAGATCATGAACGGCCCTTCGTACTCTTCTTTCGGAGTGTAATCAAAATCTGCAATGTCTTCTGAGACGATTTCTCTGTTCGTGATCAGGAAACCTTGACCATCAATCATATATGAAATCATCATGATTTGGTCAATGACCGAATCTGGGAATTTGAGCGGCAATTTTGTCGTCTCGATGTCGAATGCAAGCACAACTGGATCAGCACGTTGTAAACGATCTTCCAGGCAAGTTAGTTTGACCGTGCCATGTTTTGCCTCCACAGTATACCACTTTCCGAGCCGGATGTCCTCGTCGATCGTCACTCGAACATGGTAAGGAACGTCGTATTCTCGAATATCGACAATAAAGTCACTGGCTTCGGCGATTCCATTGGCAGTGGTCTCATTTAACTGCTCCTCATCATAGACATCAAACCCAGCAGTTGCGCTGGCGACTTCCGCGTACGTGTCCATGGCGTTGACCTTTTCTTTATTCTTCTCGGCAATGGGTAGGACTGACTTTCGCACCGCTAACAGATCGTTGACATTGGCGAAATTCAACCGCAGAAAAGTGCGCTTATAGCCAAGCAGGTGGTTAGGCATGTTCAGATCCTCCTTTGTAACTCGGGCCACCGACTTGACAAGGCCTTCAAACATCCTCTTGCACCATTCTTCCACTTCGGCCTCTCTTCCTCGTTTGACAGCCACTAAGAAATATGGATCGTACTCGACCGTGGCCTTGAAGTTCTCGTCATCTTCACCAATGAAATAGAAGTCGACCCCAGCTCTCCCACCGGATACCTTGGGATCTTCAATGACCGTACTGTGCATGTTGTATAGCCATCCTACTCTTCTCTTACCGGAGTCGTATCTGAGGAAGCCCATTGACTCGTCGATGCTGTTTGCCAGCCGAATCGCCTGGAACTTTTCATCCTGAGATGTTGCTTCTGTGTCACGCAAAGATGCAGCATCTATTGTCTTCGTCCGTTGAGGTCGAGAGGAGGGTTTGGAAAACCTGACGTTGGAGCCATATCTGTTGGGTTTCCTGACAGGCATTGTAGGGAGACTCGAGGTCAAGTAAACTGATGGCTGTTTTATGTCATGTGCTGCGAGAGGGGTTCGTTGTCATGCTGTCTCCGCGTTGAAGCACTGGGCCTAAGAGATTCATATGTGCCGTTTGTTGATCGCTGGATGGGCAGTAACAGGTTGTTGAATGTTGGCATGTAGACGAGGTGCGTGCCGCGTCTGAAAACGCGTCGGTCGCGTAAAGCACCCGCGAGCAAGCGGTTAAACATCGGCCATACATAAAAATCTCTCCACTTTCAAGATCTTGGGCTACGATTCAATGCTTGCTAGACTCCGAGCGCAGTTGATGCTTGCTGAACCACCATCACAACCACCATGGCCGACGATACCCGGGAAGAGCAACAGGCGCCTCCAGATGATCAGGCGCAGCCTGTGCGCCGTCCCAGACGACGACACGACATCCCCAAATCCCAGGCCCAGAAGATGTGGGATGCGCTCGGCAACCCGGCAGATCCTGCGAATGAAATGCCTGGAGGTACCTACAATTCAGCGGGTGGCAGACCAGCCGAGGTCTCTTGGAGGGACGCATTCAAATTCTCATATCAGGGGAAAGGCCCAGCCTGGTATCAGACGCCCTGTGCGAGAGATTCCTTGCTGGTTGGCATCGCTGCTGGTGGCGGAGTCGGAGGCTTGCGATTCATTCTAAAAGGTATTTGATCGCAAGCTGCCGCTGTTTGGGGATCGTACCATTGACACAATAATAGGACTTTCGTCTATGTTGGTGACGACCAACTGGGCCGTTGGTGGATTTGTGCTCACAGCTAGTGGCATGTACGCCTGGTGCGAGCGAAGACGAAGAGAAGAGCAGCGGGGTATCGCTCAAGCCGTTATCGGAATGAAAATGCTACAAGAGAAGAAAGCCCGAGAGAGGGCCGCCGCAGAAGCAAGGGCAAAAGAGGAGGAGGAAGCGTTGAAAAAGAAGAACCAGAGGTGGTACAAGTTCTGGTGAGAAAAGTCCTGTTTTGCTCATTCTGCATCAACGGGCGTTCTGGATTGACAATGTACAATATTTGCCGCTGGACGCAACTGGCATATCTGAACGATGGAAGAGGTCAAATATTTTGGAGGCTATTTAGTCGCCGGTTCTCTGAGAAGTTCAACCGTCCTCAAAATGGACTCGGACGCTTTTGCGCGGAGAGTTATCAAGAGATGGCACATCCTCACTGTCGCTTATACCGCGTTTTCTCCTCTCACTCCTCTGTTGCCTCGCTTCTCGTGCCTCTCGGTTTTTGTACTCCTCCAGCTGCTGTTTCCTTCGTCGTGATCTCGACCAAGCAATAGCAGCCGTCGGACGGAAACCAACCCCGTTGATGCCATAGAGATCATCGTCAGGGTCGTCAGGGTCAGGGTCATGGCCAGTGATTTCGGAATCATGCCAGAATTGGTCCGAAAGTTCTCCTGCAAGGGGCGGGGACCCTGACCTCGACTTTGTAGCTAATGACGCTGCTGAAATGCTTTGTGCGTTTCCCGCCACTGCTGGAGATGATGTTGAAGGGGGCTGTGTGGGCATCATGCTCTTTGCATCTATCGATCTGCCGCTGGTCGCATCTGCAGAAGTTGCTGAGAGTTGCGCTGTTTGACACGGTCGTGGTGACGATGATGTGTGATTGTGCTGCAGTGTGAATAGGTCATTGTCAATCTCCAAGCCGTCGAATTTCCTCGCGACTTTTGTCCGTGGACTTCCTGTATCCTCCTCGTCGACGTCGTGTGCAAACAACTGTTGGGAAAGAATCACTCTTGTTTCCAGATGGGTTTCTTGCCCACGCTTCCTTTTTGGTGAGGCCGAAGCTGAAGTCATATTCTTGGTTGAAGTGGGGTAGAGTGGTGCTTGACCGCGAGGAATGTACAGTCCTGAATGTGTGATAGAGGAAGAAGTCGATCTATTTAGATGACGGGAACACAAGGTTCAAGACCCCATGTTCAGTATGGTCGTTCGATCAGGGAATTAAAATGTGGTCACCGGGACCATGGCAGGTCGTCTCTCTCATCCATGAAGCGTCGTCTTGATTGGAGGTCTGTGCTGCGAATGAAATTCTACCACAGTTTTGGTCTCTGAAGAAGGACGGGACAGGAAGCTGCGAGGAGAAGAGCCAGTATATGCAGTAGTTGTGCTTATTATACTCCCATGAATTGGGAAGCAACTACAATGCATCGAAGATGCAAATCATGAGCAGGTAGCAATGTCCGTGGGTATTGTTTTTGGACTTCAACTTGTACACGTCCCAGCCATGGCTGGATTTTTGCCCATGATCAAATACCATCCAGCGAAAGAAAATCAACAACCATTGCCCACCAACGCCATGCATATAATCTCACTTCGTCCTTCATTCCGACTTGGACTTCTTCTTTTTCTTCTTTTCGCCCACCTCACCATCCGTGTCCATAGATTTGCGTTTCTTCTTCTTTTCCTCGACCTCAACCTCGTTACCTTCCGACTTTCGCTTCTTATCTTTCTTCTTCTCTTTGCCGTCCTTGTCCTTCTTCTTCTTTTCTTGCGTTTGTACAGCAGTAGGCTCGGCGTCAAACATCTCGACGTCGGCTTTGGATGGCTCGTCAATGTCCATGTCTGCGAGGACTTTGTCCATGGCGGATTTCTGTACAAAAATATTAGCTCACATATCGAGGGAAAAGTACGTGACATACCATTGCATCTTCGTTCTTCGTAGGCTGAGCTCCCGAGGCGTAGAATTCAAGTCGCTCTTCAACTTGCTTCTTCAGTGCCTGCCCAAACACTGTTGATGGTGTTTCGGAGAAGTTGTCGATTCTGGATGCAATTGAGCATTTGTTGGCCAAGAATCGAGATATCCTGCCCTTGTTCTTCTGTCCGGCTCGACCGATGTATGAGGAATGGTAAAGAAGGCCATATTTTGGCGTGTTGCCTTTCGTCTTCAAGGCTCTGAAGAGAGCCTTCTCGGCGCCCAAGATTTGCACGGTGGACGCTGGGTACTTTGAGAGGTTCGTCAAACTACCGGCATGTGAGATCAGCCGCGCACCAACGACTTCTCCAATCAAAGCTGCCAAGTTTGGCGCTACCACGCTCATCTTAGAGACGAGATAGCTGTAGAGTGTCTTGCGGTACTTGGCAAGGCTGACGACTCGTTCAGCAAACAGCGTTACATTCTCCATGTCGGACACGGAAATTTCTTGACCCATACTCGTCTTTGCAGCGTCGATGATACTCTTTGCGACGTCTTCATCGTCGTCAACAACTGCGGCGAGATCATGCAGACTCTCGTCAGATAGAGTCCTCTTATCCTTGACGAACAAAGCGACCTTTGCATATTTGTTGTTTTCGGAGACAATCTTGACCAGCTCCGGGAAATGCCACGAGTACCATTCCCGCACACGCATGGAAAACGTGTTGATGGCCTTGTCGAGCTGATCAAGGATGGCGATGGCTTGAATGATGTGGTTATCGTTCTTCTGCACCGAGAACTTGACCTTGGCTCTGGAGTATGCATGACCCAGACCAAGCTGCGCCGTTGCGGTGTCGCCCTCCCGAAGTTGCTTCAGGAGTTTCTCGGAATGCAGTCTAAGGCCTCTGAGCATGTCTTGAACTACCTCGCTTGTATCGCCAGTTTCACATTCAAGGCTTGGAAACGCCGTCTTGATACTGCTGGCCAAAATCTTGTCTGACACTCCCAGCGTGACTTTGTTCTTCTTTCCAGACTTTGGGAGGTTGAGTTCGAGGAATGATTTCAGGTAGTCGGATGCGATGCCCTCCGAGATATCATGAAGCTCTTCAAGAGCTTGTTTTCCATTTCTTAGAGAGTTAGTGACGGCTTGAGGCTTCTTGTGGGAGGGCCCGCATACTCAAACGGTAAAAAGCTAACCAGATCGACCATTTTCCCGAATCGCGCAAGATCCTGCACACTGTCTTGCACTTCTTTCAACCGGTTGCCAACGGTATCTTGCTGGTGCGCGACCTTGAAGAGGGAATAGCCCATCGGGCCTTCGTGGAGAAGATAGTCGGCCATTTTGGATTGACCCAGAAACGGTCAAAGTCGGTATGCAACCCGTTTGACTCGAGTAAGAATACAGTCCTTCGAATAATGGTCGCTAAGATGTGTCCTAAATTAATGCCGTGTTGTCCTTTGGTGGACGCAAGCTACAGTAACACTGTCCCAGAAATTCTCATGCTGGAAGAAATTCCGGGCTTTTGAAATTTGGAGAAGAATTTCGCGGGCTCCTTGGCAAGCTCAAGCACCGAGACGCCGCTTTAAGACTCTCGGCTCAATTACCTATTGCAGACATTGATGTATCCCGATAGTTGACTGGTAATTAATTGACAGTTGACGCGGAGTGGCATCTCAAGTATTCCTCGCGGCGCCCCTCGTTCTCCTATCGATTTAGTTGCTCTTGTACCGATCAAAAACCAACGATCATTTCCAGGATGACTGGCAGCATGCTTTGGTGGTCGGTCAATTTGTTGTCGCTGGCTTATTGATAGCTGCTGGCTTTTTATTACTTGCCGCTGCACTCTTCGCCGCGCAGACTGGCGGCACTGAAAATCAGTGGATCGGAATTACGGGCATGGTTCTGATCATCTTGACCGTACTGATACTGATTGTTGCTGGCGGGTTCTCCACCGGATACTTTCCTGATGTCAACGGCCCTTTCGAGTTTGCACATAAACCTGCACGGGGAAACATGAGTTGCTGGTTCTGGATATGTATAGTTATTGCTTCGGAGTTAATCGCGATGATTTGCTTACTGGGTTTTGGTGGATACTTCGCTTCCCACCGCCCTGTTCAGCACGGATGTAATGTGGACCTGACCGCGGATGCGAAAGGGAGCTCATCAATTTCTCAGTGTTAACTCACTTACGGTCTCTCTTCAACTCCAGGCGGTGAGAGTTCGTCGGCTATCACTCCTATCGTGACAATTGGATCCGTTGTGGTTGTAGTCCCGACCCCTGTAATAACGATTTCGATAGTACATGTTTCAGCACATCACCCGCATCAAAGCTGTACTGAGGCCATGGCTTAGAGGAGTCATCGAGCTTTTGGCCCATTTTCAAAAGCTGATATCATGGCCTGTCCTTCAACAGTCGACTTTCAGAAGAACCTCTGATAAGACCGAATGTCTCATCTCAGGGCGGAATGGGCCTGCATTGCGAACTATCAAGTCTCTTGACACTCTCATGGAAGCCAGTCTAGCAGCCTAACTAGAGGAGAGCGTGACATACTTCTCGGCTGGTTGGACTATGTCGACTAGTCATCTTCATGTTTGCTTTTCCCTGGGAGCTTGCACCTATAACAGTTACCTTTCATCAAGTTCGAACCACCCAGCACCAACGACCATGACGAGATTGAACATTTTAGGAGTAGCTGATGGAGGAGACAAGAGTCGAAAATGCAATCTCGTCAAGGTTATAAACTTAATATACATGCATCGAGGGCGAAGAAGAACGATCCACGTAACGAATTTAAGTGCGCCGGACTTGCGCAACTTAGCGACCAACCCCTTCGGGCCCCTCATCCAGTGACTAGGTGTAGACCAGGCAGATGCGGTTTCCTCTCAAGTAGCAATCAACGGAAAAAGCCCCGTGTTAATCCAATGGGGGACTATAGAGCACTAGTTCTATGAGATGGGTATGCTAGGTAGCATGGCAAACCCAGGGACAGTAGTAACAGGGTGGTCATTTTAGGGTGTATATGTACAGAAGGATAGCTTCATGGGTCAGTAGATCAGCAAGGCTAATTGATATAGTACGGGTATGTTTACTCTCGTAGATAGTTTCTTAAGAAGACCAGTGACAGCGAAAGCCGCGATTCACAGATCTATCAGCGGAAACACTCTGGTTATGTCTAGGAGAACAAGTCTCAAATGAGGACCAGGTTCCTAGACACGGGGAGGTTTCGGCATGAGGCCGGGTACTTCGTTCCAGACTCAGCGTGTGGCATAGACACCAGGAACGGCGGTCGTGCTAGTCAATGTCGGTGAGGAGGGTATATCAAAAGGTCAATGACGAGTTGGAGGTTAGTAAAGGCGGCATCACTTTAATCCCAAATAGGAAACCCAGCCAGACGTGAATTTACCATTCTCTTGGCATCACATCCGCCCGCCATATGTAGGTTTGCGATAGACATTCGCAGGGATTTCAATGACAGGCTCCTACACCATCCTCAGTCCAGTCTTTGATCCTTCATACACATCACCATGTCTGGTACGTCTGCCGTTTCTGATACATGTCAACCTCTACTAACAACTCTCCAGCGACACAACTCCTCAACCCCAAAGCCGAGAGCAGGCGTCGCGGTGAAGCCTTGCGGGTCAACATCAACGCGGGTGAAGGTCTGCAGGATGTTCTCAAATCTAACCTTGGCCCCTCCGGAACGATAAAAATGCTTGTCGATGGCAGTGGCCAGATAAAATTGACCAAGGATGGCGCGGTGCTTCTCAAAGAAATGTCCATCCAAAATCCCACCGCAACCCTCATCGCCCGCGCAGCCACCGCACAAGACGATATCACAGGCGATGGCACTACCTCGGTGGTCTTGCTGATCGGCGAACTTCTGAAACAGGCAGATAGATATATCCAAGAGGGACTGCACCCCCGTGTATTGACGGATGGCTTCGAATTGGCCAAGACAGAAACGCTGAAGTTCCTCGACACCTTCAAAATCACCAGACCCATTGACAGGGATCTCCTCCTCTCGATCGCACGCACATCTCTCTCGACCAAGATCAACCGCACTCTGGCCGAACAGTTAACGCCCTCCATTGTCGATGCCGTCCTAGCCATCCACCGGCCTCCTCAGAAACCTGACCTCCATATGGTTGAAATAATGAAGCTCCAACACAAACTTGCCTCCGATACACAACTCATCCGTGGGCTCGTCCTCGACCATGGCGCCCGGCATCCTGACATGCCCAAGCGTCTCGAAAATGCATACATCCTGACGCTAAACGTGTCACTGGAATATGAGAAATCCGAAATAAACTCGGGATTTTACTATAGTTCCGCAGAGCAACGCGACAAGCTGGTAGCGTCGGAGCGAAGGTTCGTCGACGAGAAGTTGCGGAAGATCATTGCATTAAAGAACGAGGTGTGCGGTTCCGACCCAAAGAAGTCGTTCGTGGTGATCAATCAAAAGGGTATCGACCCACTGTCGTTGGACGTGCTCGTCAAGAACGGCATTCTGGCGCTGCGCCGCGCCAAACGTCGCAACATGGAGCGACTACAACTCGTCTGTGGCGGACAGGCGCAGAACAGCGTCGACGACCTTGACGCCAGCGTGCTCGGCTGGGCCGGCCTCGTCTACGAGCACACGCTAGGCGAAGAGAAATTCACGTTTGTGGAAGAAGTCAAGGACCCCAAGTCCGTCACTCTTCTGATCAAGGGCCCCAACCAACACACCATCACGCAGATCACAGACGCAGTGCGCGACGGTCTGCGAAGTGTGTACAACACCATCGTCGACGGATGTGTTGTTCCCGGTGCGGGTTCGTTCCAAATCGCAGCAGCGGCACACCTCAATTCCGAGGCAGTGCGGAAGACAGTCAAGGGTAAAGCAAAGTGGGGTGTAGCTGCTTTCGCCGATGCTCTCCTCATCATCCCAAAAACTCTAGCGGCGAACAGCGGCCACGATATCCAAGACGCCCTTGCGGCTCTACAAGACGAACACACCGAAGGCAACGTAGTAGGGCTGGACCTCGTCACCGGCGAGCCCATGGATCCCGTGCAAGAAGGCGTCTACGACAGTTTCCGCGTACTGAGAAACAGCATCGCCAGCAGCCAGGGCATCGCGAGTAATCTGTTGTTGTGCGACGAACTCCTCAAGGCCCGACAGATGGGTAGGCAAGGTGGGCCTGGCGGCATGGATCAAGAATGATGAGCCGGGGCCCCTGATAATTTGGGGGGGGGCGCCTTTTGTATCGTCTTGACTTTAACTAAGAATCCGACGGAGGACGAACGACAAGATTTCCGAGCACCAGCCTACACCGAATGCTATTGACCGTTGATGCTCTTGCGTTGAACGACCAAATCTGAAAGGGGGAACAGTGATTTGCTACGCTTTGGGCCTGGTAGAACAAAAAAGACAAGAGAAAAAAGCATGGGCCACGGAGTCCTGGTGTTTTTCTCCTTAAACCCGCATCCAAAAGTCGGGACCGGCATGACTGACGACGAAATCTGAAAAGGCAGGGGGGAGTTAGAAAAAAGAGGGGAAGACGAACCACTGAAGGAGCCAGAGAATTTTGACGATTGAGATATTATCTGCAGAGTGAAGAACAGAGCGGACTGGGACTGGGGACCGGGACCTTGCCGCATATGACTGTACTCTTGTCTGTACTCTCTCTCTGTCTCTCTGTCTGTATCTTTGTAGAATATATTACCCGAGTTTAAATCTTCTACCCCCAAACCTACCAGGTTTTCTGCCTGCGTATTCTACCGTAAAGGGAACCTAGCTGGCATTCCATCCTCCCCACGTACCCACCTACCTAGGTACTACGAGTAACCTTAGTATAAGTTGGTATACCTGGCTACCTGGATCCCTGAGGTGCAGGATCTACTGGCAAGCTAGGTAGGTAGGTAGGTAGGTAGGTTCTCTAATACCGGAACCTTTGTGGAAAGGGGTTTGGTTATCATTGAACGTCTAGCTACTAGCGCCTGCCAGCTACGTCGCTGGTGGTTAGTTGACGAGGATAGCTGGCCTGTAATACTTGGGTACCTGATCTACCTGTTGGTGGTAATACCTTTACCTTTAAACTACCTTGTGAATCTGAAATAGAACGCAGAGCCGCGGCCCAAACCTCTGTCAATAATCATTTCATCATTTCGTCAAAGTCTCTTGTCGGTGGCAATGGATCCGTTAGCCCCTTTCGCGCCCAGGAAAAGACACAAAACAGAACTCACGACAAAGCTACAACCTGACCTTTGGCTCTAGGTAAGTAGGTAGGTACGGACGGCAGGTAGGTAGATACTTCCGGCCAACATTGTGCCCGCTTGCCTGCCTGCCTGCCTGCCTGCCTGCCTGCCTCCGTGTACCTCCTTGCAAGGATTCGCACACTTTCTTTACATAAGTTTGTGGTCTGTGGTCGTCGACTTAATCCTCCTCGTCCTGAATCGGAGAGAGGGCGGGGAAGAGAGATAGAGAGATAGGGAGATGGAGAGAGAGAATCAAAAAATCAATGTTTACTCCCCCACAGTCCACGAACCGTGTCGGTGATTTTCTGCTGCTGCCGCTGAATCTGGTCCTCGGTCTGCCCTCTTGCGTTACCTCGCGAGTCGACTTCCATAGCATCCCCGTCGCCGTCGCCGTGATCGTGGGCTCCACCTACGGCCTCCTCGCCATGAATAGGCTGGCCCTGGTCATTGAGCACTTTATTCCCGTTGACCATCTCGGCCTTTGGTTTCGGGTCGACGCTCATGGCTCCATCCATGTGCCCGGCCATCAACCCTCCGCCCTCGCGGAGCTTGTTGATGGCTCTGACCGTGTCGATGGCCTTGTGCAGTGTCCTACGCGCGTTGAAGTTCTTCTTGACCGTCGGCAAGAGATCTTGACCCTCGCCGGTCGCCTTTTCGGGGCTGGCGGGGTCTTCAGGCTTGATCCAGGGGTGCTGCAGGGCTTGGTGGGCCGTCATGCGAGCACGAGGGTCGACGGTCAGACACCGGTTGATGAAGTCTCGGGCAGTATCGGACACGTTGCGCCAATACTCGACCGGCGTGAAGGAGTAATCGGCCGCGAGGATGGCTTGCATTTCTTCGAGATTACTATCGTGATCGAAGGGAGTATAGCCACATAGCAAAAAGTACGTGATTACACCTATAGCCCATATATCGCTGTTGTTGTTTCGAACACGTAAAGTCAGCCCGCATCCACTTTTGGAGACTAAACAATAGCCCCATGAATAGAAAACGGAAACCAGGTACACGCCACGATGCAGAGAAGAAGAAAACCAAAGGCAAAACTTACACAGGCTTTCCGTGACCCGTCTTCTTGAAAATCTCGGGAGCCATGTATCCCGGTGTCCCACACGTGGTGGTCAAAACGTGGAACCGCTCCTCGTCCATGATGCGCGACAATCCAAAGTCGGCAATCAACAGGTCGGCATTGTCTTCTGGCGTCCGAAACAAGAGGTTCTCAGGCTTGAGGTCTCGATGCACGATGCCGTGGTCGTGGAGGTAGGCGACGGCCGACAGAGTGGCTCGAATCAGGTCGGCGGCATCAGATTCATAGTAGGAACCTTTTCTGCAGATGCGGTCGAACAGTTCTCCTCCCAGGGCAAGGTCTGTCACGAGATACACTGTTTCCCATTGTCAGATGTTGTTGTCGGTGTACACCGCCATCTCCACCACTGGCTCGAAGGGACCAAATCTAGTAGTACCTACAGTTGTTCATAGTCTCAAAGTAGTCAACCAAGGTGAGAATGTTGCGGTGTCCCACCGAGACTCTCTTGAGCACGGCGATCTCGTTGCGGACCTATCATATGGACATCGGATCAGTAAGTCACCCGGGCCAGCGCAGGCAGCCAAACTCACCATATGCTCACGTCCTGCCATCAGCCGCTTGTTGATGACTGCGCTTGCACTATCAGCTTGGACAGTTCTCTTCTCTCTTCTCTCGTTCAACCATGGGTGGTAGTGAAGAGAGCGGGACGAGGACGGCCTTTCCCACCTTTCGCAGCATAATATCTGCCCGTATCGATGTGTACGCACTCTTTCACCACCGAGTATGAGCCTGCTCCTAGAGTCTTTCCTGTAGGGTGTGTGTAAGCGCATGCTACGCTTTGCGAAACCCCCGTTGGAAGCGCACCTGTCTTGTAGCGACATGGCTGGATCTGAGGCTTCTGTGCACCGGCCTGCGAAGCCATGGCGGAGTCGTTTCGCAGTAGAATGTGATAGATACGCAGGCAAGCGTTGAAGGCCCTGGGGTCGTCGCAGCAGTATCTCGCCGTTCGATCTTGAACGGACGAGTATTCACAGGGCCGGCCTGGTGGAGGAGGGGTACGGGGTACCAAGTAGGATCGTCTCGAGAGGGAGAGAGAGTTGGAGATGGTTTGAGGCACAGATACAAACGGGTGTTGGAAAGAATGCTCTCGTTAGGTCTGGAGTTTGGTAGATCAGACCCTGAAAATAGAACAACAGGATGACCCGACGATGAAACTCTCAGCTGGGCATGGTAAGAGAACGGTGTCGCGTAGGCGGTTTATGTAACTGTGTGGCGGCTTATTCGTACACAGCATCTCCCTCCAAATGATTAGCTACAACGTGTTTACTAAGTTAGAAGTAATTCCTTGCCCCTCCATTCACACAGTCCCCCGGGGTCAGATGGGGCACAGGCCATCAAGCAAGTCGCTAGGTGATAACGATAGGCGATCAGGAACCAACTTCACTTCCCATCTTCATTCAATCCCACGAATTATTTCCCCCTTCTCTCACTCAACACATCCTCTGCTGAATGGCGTGACACTTGCCCCCCAGGTCTTCTGGTGGTTAGTTCTAGATCCAAGCATCAGTCAGGACCTTGGAGGTAGCCTTATCCAACAGCATTCCAGAACTTTTGCTGTAAAGCAATGATAAAGTCATGCCAACAAACAAGATTAAATTTAGTTATGTCCTACTATGTGTATGTACAGCTAACGAACGTCAAGGCCAACGAAGCCAATGCAAAGTGTAAAACAACAGCACCCCGGACAAGACCGCCCTCTTGTGCCTCTCCCAGCCTGACTCTGTCCCACTAATGGTCCATGTGGTTTCTTGTCCTCTGGCTGTACGCTCCAATTCCCTTAACAGGTGATGATGCTGCAAGCGTTCGGTCGTGGTGCCGAGAGAGGAACTTGGTCGGCAACACCCTCGTCCACGGCGGTGGCGGTCCAGAGAGTGTCCAAGTCTGGGAGGACGTTGCAGCATCGGAACTGATTGATTGTGTGCAAATTGCTGTTAACCGTGTCCGCGTCATCAGCTCCGTTCATGATGTTCATCAAAGGCACAAGGACGTTGCTCTCGAACCCTCCGAAAAGGTCATCTACTGCAGCCTGCGCCGCGGTACCGGGCAGAACATCGCTCTCGCAGGCCAGGACTTGCAACTGCGTCGGTTCGTTCTGAGCCGCCGGAAGGACTGTCTGCAATGCGGACAGGATCTGGTTTGGGTCGGAGAGCACAGTGACGCTTGAATCGAGGAATCCGTTGACAGTCACGACGTCACTGTTCCATGCGATGATGGCGTTGATGACGCCCACTTGGCCGGGGTCGCCGGCAGGGCAACCATTGGGGCTGTCGCGTTTGGCGAAGCGCAGAGTGGATGGAGCGGCGGCTGAGGTGCCGATGAGAGCGAGGAGAGAGGCAGCAATGATGGACTTCATGATGATCGATTTGGTGTCTCTGGAGGATTAAGAAGCTGTGTGTGTGTGTGTGTGTGTGTGTCGGCTGTTATGATGCGTGAAATGAAGGTGCGATAACCGAGAAAAGAAAGGCTCAAGGAAAATTGTTGTTGTTGTTGTTGTTGTTGTTGTCTGTTGTAGAAAATGCAAGATGATCTCTGTCCTCTAGAGGCTCGAATCTCTCACCTTTATATCTCGTAGTGTCGCTAGCACTCATACTCAGCCTTCCACATCACCATGGCTGTTCGCCCATTTTGCGGTAGGATCGCACCGCTGCAGCCATCGAAGGATTGATCCTGTCAAGCTCTCGTCTAGATTACTGCTGACGGTGGTGGCGCTACCCCAGAAGAGAGTAATAGTAATCCCGAAACAACAGGCATCTATTATTGAGGATGTCAGCGAGGAGAGAGAGAGAGAGACAATGATGCATCCCAATTCACCCGTTGAGGCGCAAGCAGCCACAAGACCAATGGCAAACTGGAAAACTTTCCATACATAGCAGGGGATTTTAGTAATGCTTATTCTAAGCTTGACGACTGCGGATTGGCGACGGCAGAGCAACCAAGACAACTTGAAATAGACAAGCATCACTAAGCTATTTCTTGGCCTCTGCCAGGTCGCCAGGAGCACATGGGCAAACAGTGAATAGCATAATATTGTAGGTACGTAGGGACTGCTCGTACCGTCGTACGGAGTACTTTTGATTGAGTTGAACCCCGGAGAGTTGGCTGATCCTGTCTGTAATCAGACCATCCCATACGTGAGATTTACTTTTTCGTCACTAGGCTATTTGGAGAGTTGACCGCAGGTCTTGTAGAGAATACCGGCTCATTGCTCCTTGCCCACCCCTTTCCAAATAATTTGACCTTGTTGCAAAGGCCTATGCTTATGCTCATATCCAGCAGATCATGTCCATGCTGTCTGTAACCTCTTTGAGACATGTCCTTTGCCCCCAACCAAATGTAGAGGTGTAGCTGACCAGAGAAGGGTCTTCCCTCACAGGGATGGTGATCCTCAACATGAAATCAAAATCTGCCATTGTAAATCCCTTATAGTGTAACCCCCTCCAGCAGTCACAGTCCTTTTTGCATATCAGAGAGTCTACACAGCCTATCGTTGGAAGCAGTGCCGATGCATTTCGTTTGTGGAAAGTGCTGAGGACACAGTAACGTCCTGTTTTCGGGGGTTCCGACACCTGTCATCTGATTAGTGAGGATATGCCAGGTACCTAGTACCCAGTCAGAGTTCGGATCTCACAAGTAATGCTCCGTACGAGTACTTTTTTGGTACGCTACAAAACTTGATTTCAATCCCAAAAAGTCAAATGCAGTCTGAATTCACGCCAACTCTGCCCTTCTGCGATTCTCCAAGCCCGAAATGGCCCCGAGATCCCCCGGCCGCTGAGCAGATGTACCGGTGTTGTTGGGATCGAGCGCAAGTCGCTGTGCTCTGCCGCGAAAATCACCTACGCTGTGTGACTGGTCAGGTTCCATGTATACTGTGCGCAGTGACAGAACTCGAGATCGACCGAGGAATAGATCGACCCGGGGAGTGATTTTACGTCAATCGAGACAAGTTTCGGATTCTTTGACGTGAAGGGGTCGATCTGTCCCAAGTAGATAGGCTCAAGACAAGCGAATTTGACCTCACCACGGGTAAAGCCTGTACGACCTCGCTTGGAAGGGGTGGACGCCCGGGTGGCAGTCAATGCCGTCGGTAGCTGTACTCGTGTGGGAAGTTGCGTCCTGCCTCACTGCTGTCCTGCTAGGCATACCGCCCTGATGGCGGTACTACATAGCACATGGCCGTATTCCTGGTCATCATATTGCGTGCTGATAACTACTCAGCTGATACTTTTGCAACGAGGGGCGCTTGTCGGGAGCTTCCCCCAGTAGGTGGCCCGAGTGGCTCCCCTGCCAGCCATGTCTTAGTTGCAGCGGTGAATGCTGGGCTGTCACTGGGCGTCGTGAGATGCAATGTTAGAGTTAAACTTCGACCGTGTTATTGGTCTTTGGGACAATGTGCGGGCTTGAAAGTAATGCAGTTCTCGACTTCACCGCTGCTGCTGTCCATGGGAGATTCGTTTATGCGGAATATTTTTCCGGCCAAATAAATCGGTCCTTTATCAAACGTAACGCATCTGGTGTCTGAAAACTGTTCCATTTTGATGGGAGCTGACCCTTGTGTGGGGGGTAAAGTTCAACTACGGAGGACGGCTCAATGTGCTCCTTGACCAAAGCTGATCGAGTATAGCGCGTACCAAACCCTCGGTTTTAACGACCTTTTGTGACGACGTCGGGCAGCTTCGTGGAGTCAACATCTCATCAAAGGGAAGTGATCCAGTCTTGTCACAGTCTGACAGCTACTTGATCATTCGATGTCCAGGTGAAGACCTCGATCCACGCGGAGATTGCGGCCAAGACGAGAGCCGCCCTGGACAGTGCACTTGTACGGTGTATGCCGAGTCAGGAAGAGGGAAAGCGTCAGTTTCAAAATGGGTGGACGGGACACGCTCACCAAGGCGCCAGTAAATACTGCCACAGATCCGAGACTGCATCACGCTGTCATGTGAACTCTCGTATGGTCTAGCAGCTTCATAGCTAATGTATGTGTCGTATATTGAAAGTGGGAGCAGAGAGGAATATTTTATGCATCTGAGCCGTCAGACGGGAGGCGGGAGGAAGGATAAAAATGCCGCAGCGTGCGAGGGTTTGGCATCAATCTGCGACTTATTTTGATAAGTCGACTGTCCAGCACACACATACTCCATAATAGGCCACACCTTTGGCCCCGTTGGGCTTAGACGGTCAAAAAATGAAACCTGACGGCCCAGGGGAATGGTACACCGACTTGGGCCCTGTTCCAAGAAGCTTCTAGTCTGGGACCGCAGCAGGGGCCGCGCGTGGGTGTAGCGTACTGAGGGGTCTTCCACTTCCAGCACGGCACGACCCGCCGCGACGACGTGGACGCAGGTGGTGGTTTTTGGTTTTTTCCCGAGGACCTTCATGGGAATCCTTGCCAACTTGTCATTGATCCCGCCTCTGAGAAATGTCCGAACAAGGTTTTCTCTTCGACGACAGGGAGCCGAATTGTACGTCGGTCTGCACTGCCGCTTGAAATTGCCTGTTATGGGAGTGCATGTGGCTCCATTACCCCCTTCGTCTCGATTACGCTCGACCGGTGTCATCCTGGTCGCTAGATCCCTTTTCCTGATAGACACGGCATTCGACGGTCTTGACCCTAGGGTTTTTCGCTGCATCTTTCAAGCTGTGGAGCGATTCGGTGAGCCTACGTGGCTCTCTTCGTATTTGACCGTTTGGAAGCCGCTGAAGCCGTCTTTGCCAAGAGCACCATGCCACAACGTGGCCATAAAGAGGCCATTGTTTCGGATACGCCTTACCCTTGTCCAGCCACTGTGCTTGTAATCAACGCTTTGTGCGACTTCAATATGCATGACGGCGCGGGAAAAAATGTCATAGTAACGTATGTTTGACATCAGAGAACCGGATCAAGCCAGCAACCACGGCTATGGATCTCTCCTTGCGGAGCACCTTGTTTCTCGTTCGAAATGGAGTAAAAATAGTGTTGCGTAGGGAGAGTAGCACCCGTCCAAGCTGTCCATCGATGTTGGTCGCCCAAAATCTGTTTGCCGAAGGGCATTTGAAGCTTTCGTCTGGTGTGCTAGTCCCGGTCCCACCAACACCGCTCCTCGCCAGAATCCACCTTCGCTCCAAACTTTGCAGAATATCCCACGTCCATGGCCAAGCTTGAGCGAGCTCTTCTGTTGAATGTTGTGGAGACGGGCAAGGTGTTGATCAGTTGACAGTTGGAGGAACGGGAGCCTTGGACAATAAGAACCGACACCAACATGGATAGGTCGTGATGATGACTTCTGGATTCTGTTTAGAACGAGGTTTTCTTTCGGAGCCTCGCTATCGTCACGGACAGCAGTATGGACCAACTGACATCGTCGGCACCTTGTGGCCGCTGATCTCTGCGAGTCGAGCTTTCTGGATCCTTGTCCCGGCGGGCCTTCGCCTCTCGTCCAATTTCTCGCACGGAGACTGACAGAATCAGAAATCATGCGTGCGCATCCCACTACCCTGGTCACTTGGTCTATCTTCGGCATCTGAAAGGTGTAAAATTCTGTCGAAGGAATCATGAGCGTGGCTGCTTACTCTAGACACGAGCCTCGGCCGTGCGCCTAGCAGCACCGACACCTCCAATAAGGAGGCCATAGTCACCTTGACTGCGACTCTCTCAGTTTTCTCGAGACTCAACACTTCGCGTGCTAGTGCAGTTGCGTATTAGTTGAAGTTTGTTTGACATTTAAGGAGCTGTCAGGTTCAGAAGGACCCTAATTGTGTAGACTCTCGATCGGAAAATAGGCATCGTATCTCGAGCTGACCGTCTTGATACTCGCCCAGGATGGGATTCGAATTGAATAGACGCAGCCATGACAGATATCTGTCTGAGAGCCAGTCACTTCCTCATGGCCGGGTTTGCGCCAAGCAACGTGCTCAGACGCTGAGAAGTGGTTGCAAAGTGCTCCGGTTTCCTCCTGACCCGCTCTATTTGATGGATACACTATGGTCCCGTCCATCCTGACCTTTGGCTTCAGCCGCGCTTGTAGCCTCCGGCGCGCAGCCTGGCTCTCGGCAACTAAGAGCCCGCCTTTATGGGCAGCTGGAGAATCCATACACTCTTCCACCTGCTCGTCGAAACCCGCTTGCGATGCTCTGGAGCACCGTGTCTTAGCAGAATCAACTTATCTGGCCATATCCCTCTTGCCACATTGATATACTCCCCCGAGCACCCAGCACATAACAACTTGCAAGGCTCATGTCGTGAAGACGTGTGCGCTTTCTTCCTGCAGCGGTCGCTTTATTGGACTGTGCTCCGCCCTGATGCCGCCTCCGCGCACAGTAGGGGCCGAAAATTGCTTTCACCTCTAGAGTCTCCATTGCCAGCTGGCAGTCCTCCACCTTTCCGAAGAAAGATAAGACTTTCATCCTGGCTTCAGTAACATTGTGCAAGACTCGTTCTTGCGTGGTGTGACAGAAACAACAGTCGATTTTCACTATGGCTGCGAGGTCAGAAACAACCCCCTTGCGCGCGCTTACTCCCTGCTTATAGAAGTCACAGGTCCACCGGTGACGAAGATTTCCATCGGAAGGTCACCTATTGTGACCGAGAATATCAAGAGCACTCAGTGCGATATGAGATCTATCAGGTTCCCATTGACGCCGTAAGCCGGGCCCTAGATCACGAAGTATCGAGACAGCAACTGAGGTGCGCAGGAGGAAGAAACGAGGCTGCTTGAGCAGCATGAGATGCTCAAACTGATCTATACCGACTGGAACAATGGGTTGTATGCCCCAATCGTAGGAGAGCCCGAGGCCATCCTCGACTGTGGTTTTGGGACCGGTGCTTGGGCCTACGATGTAGCAGAGTATGATCCCAACTGCATGGTAAGTTTGTCTTTCGCTCATCGGGTACTCAGGGCCTGAAATTTCGCTTTCCTCAGGTTACCGCCATCGATATATGTCCACTCCTAGCACCTTCGGATCAGTTGGAGAACATTGATTTTCAGGTAAAGAGTCTCCTAGGGAGTGTTCTGTGGAGATCCGTCGGCAGACCTCTGACCTGGAATGTCTGGATTGACCGGGAACAACCTATCCTGCCCCAATAGCATCAGCACGGAACGAGTGAGGCTAATTGATTTGGTAGATCGCAAATTTAAACCACCGTTTAGACTGCGCCGAACCAAACACCTTTGACCTGATAAATTCCCGCTTTGTTGCCAGTGGCATTGCTGCGACGCGCTGGCCCAACTATTTTCGCGACATGCATCGGTGAGGGGGCCCGCAATCTCACATCCAAGTAAATTTCCCTGACCTTGGGAGCACAGCCTTCTGAAGAGCGGTGGGTGGGTGCAGATGACTGAATGGGATCTTTTCTTCCGTTCGGATTCCGACAATAGTGATGCCCTGCAAGCCCTGCATGAGTGGTCGAGACTTTATACGGAAGCCTTGGGCTCGTCCACACGTCCGGAAGGCAAAAAGAGATCTAGGGTTGTACAGGACTTCGAGGTCTGGATGCGCATGGCTGGTTTTATCAACGTTAGCACAGACGTCCGGGACATACCTACGTGTGCATGGCCACAAGGTGCGCCGTCTTGCTCAGAGTCTGCGTGGTTTCATCAGATTGACAAAAAAATTTATACAACAGATGCACACAATCGGAGTATAGGCGAAGCCAACCTGACGAACATGAAAGGGCTGATACACTCGCTGGGCCTGTATCCTGTCACAAGCCGTCGACTTCGAGAAATCGAAGATTTTCATGACTTGATTGAAGCAGCGTATGCCGAACTAAGTGACGTTGGAGCCAAACCATATATCAGACTGTACGGAACCTTGCCGACCACCCTGTTCCTGCTAACTTGTGATGGTAGTCATACGACCTTCGGTATGAAACGCTGAACGTGTTTAAATGACAAGATTGTCGCGATCGACTCTGTTACCGAATGCATGTCGCCGGAAGTATACACCGGAGGCTGAAATCATGACGCATGACGTCCAAGTGATGGCGGTGCAACAGGCCAAAGTTCAGACCTGAAATTTCTGTCCAGGGGTCTGCACTCTGTGCTCTTGACTGGGATAGGGACGCTCCTGACGCGTAAGGTGTAACCTTTGGTGGCTGGCCATGCTTCCTTGAGCACAGAGACGACTCTACAGGCATTGCTCTGGTAGTCGTAGGAGCGCCCGAGGCGAGAGGCGCAGTGCAGCATGCTGGCTCCCGGCATTCCGACCATGCCACAAACAATTCGAGGAGTCCATGGCAAGCCTAGATCGGTCAGGTGCGTCCTTTGCATGAAGTCCATCGTCACAGAAGTTGTTCACTCTTCAAATCACTGCGCACTTGGCAGGCCACAGGCCAAAACAGACGACGGCTGGCAGCGAAGCGTGGAAAAGTTGGTTATCCCTGCGAGCTGACGTGAAGTGACATGTTGGGCGCAGAAGCCGGGTCAGAGTTGCCATCTCAGCCCGCGCAGAGGTAGGGGCATCTCGATATGGGCGACACAATATACTCCAACCTTAGGTAACTGTAGGCTGTATTCAGTAGCTCGGTCCTGGGGTTTCTTTACTCAACGAATGTATTACTCAAGTGGCACCTGTGAGATCCCTGAACAGAGTGAAAGATTGAAAGATCCTCGGACCGCGAGCAGGTGCGCAAAGGGAGTGCCACTATGCCTCAAGCGTTGCTCGCCTGCGCCCCGGTAAGGGTGTTTGGGGGACCCCTGTCGAACGGCTCCCAGGATGGCACTGGGACTGAGTCGTTTAGTTCTCTGGGCACGAGTTATTAGTTAGTAGTTTACCATTCCGCCCCAGGGTTGCCTCGCCGGCGTGTTGTTTTCTCGTCCACCAGGAAAGTCGACAGTGGTCTATACAGCAGCCTCAACAGCCGGTTTACACGGTCAAACCTAGACAATGATATTTAACAAGGGCATCAGCATGGCCGACTCGGCTCTTACTCCGTCGGTAACAACTACTGCAGTCTGGACTGATTGATCACCTCTATAAGACGAAGATTCTGTCCGTAATCGTACAGGCACTCAGGCACGGCTTAGGGACTCGGTGGTCCTCATGATTCATACTGGGGCTCTGTGTAATGGCCAGTATGCATCTGGGTCAAAAAACCACACCGGCGATATGTAGGCATGGTCGAAATATTGTGCAGGCTTCCAGAATGATCACAGGTCTATCTACCGTCTCTCTCTGTCCCACACACCGCTCTCTGTTAGGCCGTTCAGATGTGCAGCGACAGAGGCATGCTTAGTGGCCTAGCTTTGAGAGCCCTACAACTGCCGCCAGCCTGCTTATTGATGTGAAGATCTTGGTGATCAGCGGTAATTTTCGCAGACACATCTCTTGCGCCCTGTGCTCACCCCGACAGAAGCATAGAATGCACGGTCAATGATGGATGGTACAGGCTGGTGAGGAGGAAGTTTAAGCTCGGACGCCGCAACTGGAGAAACAGTGACTCCGTCTTGGCAATTTCATCTCCATCGCAAAAAGTTTCTCCGCATGCATTTCTTCTTCATTGATGAGACTCCCGTCCTGTAAGCCTAGACTGTACCGTTGCTTGTGTGCCTTGAGAGCCTAAGGAACCATGCCTTCGACGCATAAAAGAGACAAACCCTGGGACACAGACGGCATAGACAAGTGGAAGGTCAGTACGCAGGCCCCCCATCCTCACATGCGCCAGCGGCTAACGCTCTACGCTCTATATAGATCGATGACTTCAAGCCAGAAGACAATGTCGGTGGTACCTTCGCAGAAGAGTCTTCCTTCGTTTGCCTCTTTCCAAAGTATCGCGAACTCTACCTAAAACAAGCCTGGCCCCTTGTCACGAAAGCGCTGGAGAAAAGAGGAATCGCATGTACGCTCGATTTAGTCGAGGGCAAAATGGAAGTGCGCACGACCCGCAAGACTTTTGATCCTGCTGCGATCCTGGACGCAAGAGACCTCATCAAGTTGCTTGCACGAAGCGTGCCTGCTCCACAGGTGATGCAACCCACCACACTTTCGTTTGTGTACTTCATTGACAGGAGTTTCAGGCCATTAAAATTCTCCAAGACGATACCGCCTGCGATGTGATCAAAATACGCAACCTGGTTCGAAACAAAGAGAGATTCGTGAAGCGCCGGCAGCGGCTTCTTGGACCTAACGGTTCCACACTGAAAGCCCTCGAGCTCCTCACCAACACTTACATCTTGGTGCAAGGGAACACGGTCAGTGCTATGGGCGGTTACAAAGGTCTCAAGGAAGTCAGAAGAGTGGTCGAAGACTGCATGAACAATATCCATCCCATATACCATGTCAAAGAACTCATGATCAAAAGAGAATTGGCCAAAGATCCCACCCTCAAAAATGAAAGCTGGGACAGATTCCTGCCACAGTTCAAGAAGAAGACATTGAGCCGAAGACGAACACCCTACAAGGTTACCGACAAGACCACCAAGGCCTACACCCCCTTCCCGCCCCCCCAAGAGAAGAGCAAGGTTGACCTACAGATTGAAAGTGGCGAATACTTCCTTGCGAAGCAGGCCAAGGAGCGTGCAAAGGAACAAGAGAGGAGAGAGCGACAGAAGGAGAAGAATGAAGAAAAGCAACGCCAACGAGAACAGGCCTTTGTGGCTCCAAAGGAGGATGTCCCAGAGAAATCGAAAAAGAGGAAATCTTCTGCTGACGGAGAGGTCCGCAAATCGAAGAAGTCAAAAGCTGCTGTATGAGCGGTACAAGCCTGACTTAGAATCATGAAGCGCGACTCACGAGAACCAAACCCGACACAGACATCGTACCTTCCCGGCCATCAACCATGACTACAGATTCGTCGGGGCAAAAGGGTCAGTGAAGTCCTCTTTGCTATTGAGAACTGGACCGCAACGAGGAATCTGTCAGCAGCTTTGATCTTGAAGCGACCACATACTGTCTGGAGGTCCGGGAATCTAGATACCTACCTGATGCGTTATCCACGGCCAATGCCCTAGCAATCGAACGCGAGGCACAGTTCTCGAAGCAGATGGCGTCGACAAGGTCGACAATGTGACGTTGGTTCCGGTCTCGATGGCCATCCCGGGCCTCTTGTCCGCGAACACTCCACCAAGCAACGCACCTTGTTGGGAGTTAACCTTCTGAGATACCACCCTGCAATCAGTCGCCCTAGACTGATTCAACGCCTAGATCATGTTAGCTCATGCATCTGCTTGACGTTTGACCCATAAAAGTACCCAGGTAGAGGCAGCTCCACGCCTGACCGCCGCCACTTTTGGTCGCTATTCTTCACCTGCCTGGGCTGCCTCTGCTCACAGACCAGGCACTCAGTACCCCTGGGCTTGGTGGCGGGGATGACACAAGCGAAAGCAAAAGTGCAAGGCCAGGCTTTCAATGACAGTAACTCCAACAAGCCCGGAAGGTCTAGATTGGTACATGATGTCAGCTGGGGAGGATCGGCATTTGCTCCGCTTAACCTTGATCGTCCGGTGTGGGAGGGACAGGGCTGACAGTGAGCCGCAAACCACATATGATCACGCAACAATGGACCGTTCGATTAGCGACGTGCGTGCCAATGCGACGATGACCAGACCTCATTCTGCGATACTCCGCTATTTCCACTGCTTGATTGGATCTCAACGGCGAAACACCCTTGCCAAAGCAAAGGCCACCGCTAGCGTATATGGATAATAATTTCTCCGTTCCGGACCGCCGTAGTCCCATCTTCCAGCCTTGCCCAGATCATCCCCGTCTTTGAGCTTCCAGCACCAATGAATCAAGCTCGCTCGAATTGACTGCGCGGAGAGCGGAGAAGAGGCTTTTCAGAGACATGAGTCCTACTGGCTGCCCGCTTATACAGTCGGCCATTCGAAGTGTCAAGAGTTCGCCTTATTGGCTGGGACTTCTGCCAAGAACCTTTTCGCTCAAACTCATTGCATCGTCCGAACTTTGAAGTTCTCCTTGAAGTTCTGCAAATGCTCGCGACAGCTGACTTGATGACCAGGATGAGCTTCAGTAACATTCGTGATAGGCTCGCCCGCCTTTGCCCCAGCAGATGGGGTGTCTTGAGGAGATGTTGGCAGGACGGTGTTGTGTTGAGCGTCGATAAGTGAATGCCTCGTGACAAGGTCTATAAGATGGTCGCCCTCGCCCTCGTCAGTTGCACAAGTATTCTAACATCATCGTCCATCTTCAACCAGTGAAGCAGTTCTTCTTTCTTCCCCTCATACCAGAACAAGTATCTTTGACGAGCATACTTTCACTACAATCTAAGGGGGCACTCCAGGTCTATACAAAACACCATGGATGTCGACGCCATTACCGAGCGCCAGGCCTCCACCGCCGATGCCATGGCGAACCAGAAGCGCAAAAGTGTGGTGAACCAAGGCCTCACCGGTGCCTCTGCTCTGACGGTCCGACAGTCCATCTTCCCTGTCGCACTGGTCACGCTCCTCTTCTTCCTCTGGGGTTTCGCCTACGGCCTACTCGACGTGCTAAACGCCAAGTTCCAAACGTCGCTCAACATCACCGCCGCTAAGGCCGGCGGGCTTCAAGGCGCGTACTTTGGCGCTTACTTCATCGGCCCCCTGACGTACTCTGGCTATATCGTGCGCAGATTCGGGTACCGTGTCACCTTCATGACCGGCCTCTGCATCTACGGGGTCGGAGCACTAATGTTCTGGCCCTCGGCGGTGTACAAGTCCTTCGGCGGCTTCTGCGGCAGCCTGTTCATCGTCGGCAGCGGGCTCTCGACGCTCGAAACGTCTGCCAACCCCTACATTGCGACCTGTGGACCCCCACGCCTGTCTGAGTTCCGTCTGGAGCTTTCGCAGTCCTTCCAGGCTGTGGGGTCTGTCGTCGCGCCACTGCTGGCCTCGCGTGTCTTCTTCAAGCACACGCACTCCACAGACCTCTCCCACGTCCAGTGGACCTACGTCGGCATCGCTGCGTTTGTCTTCCTCCTCGCCGTGGTCTTCTTCTTCGCACCTCTCCCCGAGGTCACTGACGCGGACATGGCCCTCCAGGCAGAACAGTGCGCCGACCTGACGGGATACGAGGTGAAGCCCCTACGCAAACAGTACAAGCTCTTTTTTGGCGTCGCCGCGCAATTCACCTACGTCGGAGCCCAGGTCGCCGTCGCCTCCCAGTTCATCAGATACGCCCAGGAGTCAGCTGGCATTAGCGAAGCGGCCGCATCCGACCGCTACGCCATCGGCCAGGCTCTCTTCGCCATTGGTCGCTTCGCCGCCGCCGGTCTGTTCATGTTCGTCAAGCCGCGCCTGGTCCTTTTGGTCTTCATGACCATGATCATGGTATTCATCGCCTGCTCCATGGGAGTAGAGGGGGAAGGCGGCGTCGCCATGCTCTCTCTAGTGCTTTTTTTCGAGTCGTGCATCTTCCCTACCATCTTCACCCTAAGCATCCGAGGTCTAGGACGGGATACAAAGCGAGGTTCTTCTTGGATCGTGGCTGCCGTTTCGGGCGGAGCTCTATTCCCAGCCTTGACGGGCTTGGCGGCTGACAACTTCGGCTCCTACCATCTGGCCATGTGTGTACCGCTCTGTGGCTTCTTTGTCAGCTTCGTGTTCCCAATCTACCTGAATGTCTTCTGCAGGAAGGAGTTGGATGGTTTCCGGGCGACAAAGATTGGATACAAGGACGAGGGACGCGGAACCATCATCGGTGACGCCGACGACATCCAAACCTTCGAGGCCATGGCCAAGAGACAATCAGTGATGGTGGAAAAGGTCTGAGGGACTCCTGGCCATCTTTGAACGGGACGTGGGACTATGAACCTGAGTTCTGTCGGCAATGGTTGGTGGCTGTTGGTTGAGAGTACTTTCATGGAACAGAAAGCACTCGTGTCACCCGTCATTTGAAATTTCTTTACCGACGACGCAACGCAACGCCTCGTCGCCCCCCAGGACAATTCTGCTGAAGGATTGATTGAATGATGTGATGATCTCCTATCTTATTAGTCGAACGCTAGTGCATGTAGAAATCTGATTGATTTACTTATTATTTCTCGACTGACCGAGATTCCCACCCCTAAGATCCTCGTAGACACGCTCATATATATATGTACACTTTTACCCCTTTTTTAATATACTCTATTCGAGTCTTATCCGATCGACCGTTTGGCCTCTCCCTCCTTTTCGAGTATACATGGTCTGTACACTGTATATACGTTACCACAATACTTCTCATGCAAGGCAACGATAATTGATTAATTCACTGTGCAAGATGAACCCTAACCCTAACCCCAACCCTAACCCCAGCCCACACGGGTTCTTTTTCTGATCACCGTGAACGAACTGGACATGCCCCCAAAGGTCGAAAACGGCCAGACATGGTGAGTAACATTATCGTCAGATTAATGAATGGCACGTCCGAAAACTACTCAATTCCGAGACTAATAATGGTTGGTACTAGATACACCAGCACCGCATTTCTAGGAGATATATGTCCATCACAAGAGCACTTTATTTTTGTTTCGGATTATAAATGAGCTGATTTACCAAGTACTGACTATATATTACCTATCACTCTACATCCTAGATTCTAATGCGGCTGTACCATCTCATTAGCACGCGGCTGATCGTTGTATATGTGTGGGGGCATCATGAATGCTTTCCTGCAAGGTCTGGACAACTAATAACTTGTAGCCGGAAAAGCATGTCGCTCGGGCCTGCGGCCACACGATTTCACCTATTGAATCCTTGGCTGAAGGTCTGATTGTCGATTTGACGCCTCCTTCTCGACTTTCGTGTGAACCCGTCGGCGCTGGACAACCACAGGATCAGAGGGAGCCCTCGGTGGTTTGAACACTGGCTTTGGACTCTGAAGATTTTGCCATAATCAGATACGAATGGCGACGGCTTCGAGCGTTGGTGTCTCAGTGGATCGAGAAAGCCACCCCGTCACCAGCCTTTTTGCCCTTTTCTGTCCGTCCCTCTGACAATTTAGAGCTTCATAAATTGGCCACGAGCATATTCATCCCGCAATCGGCCACAGGTTGTGGAGAACAGGGCTTCCCGTCCGCTCAGCCGTACTTAAGCCACAGGCCGATCAGTTAGTACTACCGTGGGTGACCAGGTGGGAATCCTGATTGTTGATTGTTTTTGCCCTTTTTTTTTGAGTCTGCTGCGTCATAGCTTTTTGGAATTTGAGAGGGGGCAGGGGGAAGGAGTATTTATACGGAACTATCCAGCGTTCCAGCTCACACAGTGGAGTGGATTTTCTGTGGAATAGAATCGACTCGACAAGCCACCGAGGCTAGAACAGCAAAGCATCTTTCGGATTCCAGGCTGGCCTTTCTTTCCCAGAGCATAGTCGAAATGCGTTCCGTCGAGGACGTCGCTTTGGCGTGGAGAGACAAGATTGGTGTTGTCCAGTTCATTGCTATTGTACCATGTGCATTTCGTCGGCCACTGGTCCACAGAGAGAATCTCCTAAACTCCGATACTAGATTGGTATGACAATGTCCTCATTATCGTCGCATCGTTGCCATCACTTTCGTCGTCTCCATCATTCGATCGTCTCTCTTTTCCTCTCTCCGCCTCTCTCCTTTTCTCAACCTGGCCACCCATCTCTGACAGGGCTCCTTGACCTGGGACTTTGACGAATTGGTCGTTCTCTCCGTTTTCCACCTTGCCTTCCTTTCTGGCTTTCTCCTCCTTTTCCCTCTTCACTCTCAGCTCTCGATCCAGCCTTTGCTTTCTCCACTTCGGGCCCCAGAAGTACACAGCCCAAAGCATAGGGCTCGTGGCGACCAGAAACAGACTGAGGAAAGTAAAAGTCCATCCCCTCCCCCATGCGTTTATCATTGGAATAACCGCAGCCGTCGCCCCGGCGCCCAAGAGGCATCTGACGACATTGTTTGCAGCAGTCGCCGTTGCCGGACTTTTGGGATAAAAGTCTATCAACAAGGTACTCGTCACATTGAACCCAATGCTCATGCTGATGCTCATGAAGAACAGCACGACCACCATCGCCGCTAGCGGTCCATTTATATGCATGATCCAGCCAAACAGGCACACCAAGACCGTAGTCGAGTAAACCGCAGGCATCGCCACCTGTAGTCTTACCTTTTCTATTGGGAAATTGCTCAAATCCTGATCACGGCCCTTCTTGATCGTGACGCCGAGCTTTCGGCACCACCGCGCGAAATTGCGATCTAGCAGTTGCCCATTGATCAAGGCCGCGCACATCGAACCGACACCCATGGGGATGTAGCACAGACCGATCTGAAGGACGCTGAAATTATAAATCTGCTCAAACTGGGAGGGTATTGCGGCTGTGACGTCGTAAAAGGCGGCAAACAGAAATGCATTGTAAAATAGTAGCAGGAAGTTTTCCTTGTCGAGGATCAAGACCATGGAACGTAAGGGGTTGGGAAAACGGAATTTTTGCTTCTGCGGTGCCATCATTTGCGACTCAGGTGTTGCAGAAATATAGTCCTCCGATTGCGTACTGCGTGCCTTTCTGATTGCGAGATAGTTCATCAGCGACATACTCCATCCTTTGGGCGGTATTGAGCCATTGCCGACTTGATTCCGCGCTAGAAATCTCGATCAATCACAGCCCCGAAAAGTTTCACAGCCACACATACCTGTTTCCGGGAAGAAAATCCCAAAGACAATCAGGAAAGCAGCGCCCATGATTGTCAAAAACCAGAAGATTGCCCGCCACCCAAGAAACTCTGCAAGAAGGCCACCGATGACAGGGCCTATTGCAGGACCCAGCAGAGAACCCGCGAGAGTGAAGCCCATATACTTGCCTCGCTCTGCTGGTGTGGCGACATCGGACACGACAGCGCTGCACATTGCAATCGTCGCTGAACTGCCGGTGCTCTGTATGCACCGCAGTACAAAAAGAGCGGCATAGCTGTGCTGGAGTGCCAGAGCGATATTGGCAACAATGTAGACGATGAAGCAGACTACGATTTGTCATTAGCAGATATTTTGTACCAAACACGGGCGAGACAAAGGCTCACTAGCATATGCAGGACGCCGTCCCGCAGCGTCTGCAAAGTCCCCAATAAAAGTTGGAGCGAGACCTTGAAAGATCTATAAATCCACAATCAGTTGGTTCCGTCATTTGTGCAGAGCGCGCTCTGGAGGTCAGGAATCCCCACCATGTACGATGTTAGAGTCAGATTGATAAGTGAATCCGAAACATGGAGATCTCTAGCCAGCGGTACTAGAGCAGGGAAGTAGATCTGGCCCGAGACTGGCGAGAAGAAGCCAGCCCACGAGGCTATGAAGACGATGAACCTCTTCTGGTTCTTGCTGAAGACTGAATACACTGGTCCGGCAGCCGACGCATTGGTCGTTATCCGCTGAGGTTGGGGATCTATTTGGCCTTCTTGCGCCGGTTCGTCCCGCGCAGTGCGCACCCTCTCGATGGCGACGGACTGTCCATCGCTGACGGTCATCCGGGTGGGAGTTGCGTGCTCAGAAGATTCCGACGAGCTGGTGGTGGTCAGGTCTGGCTGTCCTCGTCCGCCGACCAACTCGAACTCGGCCTCTTTCGTCGGAGACCGTCTCCGGCTCAACGATTGTCGACCATTGAATCCATCGGGTTCTTCATCTGTGGCCGACGACGGCACGCCCGACATTCGGCGCGGTCCACCGGTTGTCAGATTTTGAAGAACAAGGCGTTCCAAGAAGATCGCCCTATTGCTGACTCAGGCGTGCAGCAGACATACAGTACCCGTACAAGCCTCGGCGACCGTTTGAGATGGTCACCTATCAGTCCTTGGGCACCTTTTGTCGTGCGGATCGTGGATTAAGCAACAACACGCGAAAATCAACAATCCTTGGGGACAATAAGCGAAGATGAAGAAAAAATACATCGAGAGGCGGTCAGACTGTGTCCCTTCTCTCTGACTTCTCTTTTTCTCTCTCTGTATTGTCTCCCCCCACCGAGACCTGTGGCGTCTGCTGGTCCCGGTCCTGGTCCATCCAGTGGGCGGCAGTTGGAAAGCAGCGTCGTGCATTTTGCCCGTGCAGAACGAAGTTTTGGGTTTCCTGCATACGCGTAAAAACACATGATTTACCTGGGGATAGCGGCCGTTACATGTGTCATTACACCCGCATAACGCTGCAATCTTGTGCCGCTTAGCCGGCCTGCGGACTCTCCCCGGCCACGTCGATGGATTGAATGATGCCCTCTCCCTCTACTTATCTCTCTCCCCCACCAAGACCCCAACTCACCGACGCGTGCTGAGTACGAGTACGAGGTTGATTTATTTACCGCGCATTCTGAAATCAACCTGTGTCTAAGCTGCCAGACCAGTAGGTAGGTGTTCGTGCCGAAGTGGTCAGACTGTCCCTTGGGGTTGCCTCCTCCTGCTGCTGCTGCTGGCCTGTATGGGTGCGACACCCTCCACTGGGGCCAAATGAATGCAGAAACTTGACGACGTCAAACTCCACAACATCCACACCAGCGATGACAACGACAGCGATAGTAGCGGCGACGGCAACGGTACCGCCTCACTCTCGCCTCCCTTCACATTCTACCCGGCCTGGGCGTTCAATGCCTCACAGACATGGTTGAAATGGGTCAAATTAACGGCGCACGACGTGCACCATGTTCTCCAATCCCATGAAAAGTTTAGCGAGACAACCACAACGACTACTGCTCCCACGTTGACCCATCATGGCCATGGCACCGGCCGACGGCGTCGCGACGCGCCCCTTTTGCTCTTCTACCTCAACCACCCGATCCAATACGTCCAAGTCGTGGGCGTCGTTGTCGCGTTCGACGAATACTTCGAGAAATTCTGGCTCCTGACCATCGACGATAGTAGCGGCGCCACACTGGACGTGACATGTGCGAAGCCAGAGAAGGAGAAGGAAGAAAGGGAGAAGCAGAAGCAGAAGCAGAAGCAGACAGGTGGATCGAATCCCGCGAATAAGAATGCCCGCGACGAGCGTACCACCATCATTACGGACTTCCAAGATCGACAAACAAAAGAAGGTGAAAAGGAAGAAGGAGAAGAAGATGAAGTCCTCCTCCTTCACCAGACCGTCCCGACCTTGACAATCGGCACCGTCGTACAGGCCAAAGGCACCCTCTCGACCTTCCGGTCGTGTCGCCAGCTCTCTCTCCTCCGCTTGACCGTCGTACGCGACACGGCACAGGAAGTGGCCCTGATCGCATCTCGCACGTCGTTCTGGGCGTCGACGCTGTGCAAACCCTGGACTCTGTCCGCAAGTGAATTGCAGAGCCTCCGATCCGAGGCAGAGGACGAAAAGGCCCAAGAAACCAAACGCGCCCAGCGAAGAAGGCAAAGGGAGGTCAAGAGGAGACAACGAGACGAGCGCCATGCCGCGCTTATCGCAAAGGCGTATCAGAGGGACGAAGGCTACAGAGCCAAAGCTGCAGACCAGGCCAGAGCCGCCGGGGAGCGTCTTCAGAAGAAGACACAACAATAATTATCACACGACGCTGTCACCACATCCGCATCCGCATTCGGATCCAGATACTACACCGTCTCCACCTACATGTGCAACCGTATCTCGTACTATGGCAACTTTGCAATGCGGATGGCCGAAACAGATCTACTGGGTACGTCGGATACGGATACAACCCAAGGATGGTCTTTTCCTGTAGTCTGTCAAGCGCCGAGGAAGAGATCATAATCAGAATATGCGCAGTGAATAATACATCCATAGAATTGCGTGGAAATCGAGTCAATATGCACGTCTCTATTTCAAACCTATTGATCTTTCTGCTCGTTTGCCTGCTCGGCTCATCGCCGGCCCTTCAAAATATACATAGATTCGACCAATATTGACCTGGCAATTCAGTCAATATCTTGGATGCACAAAGGGTGGATGAGAAAATCTTTGAATTTATGGCAATGTACAGTACTAAAGAATCATCGCCCTCGCCAAGGTTGCTGGCTCGACCCTATGGCCTCGACATGGCTCTCACCAGCCATTCTCACCGCCAATCTCCTCTCCCCGATGGTCTTTTCTCTCCTCCCTCGCTCTCAATTAACCTCAACAAGCCCCGGGTAAAGCTTCAAAAGACCCGAGCAAGCATGGAAAGCATGCAAGCCGTCATCGGGTCTTTTCTCCAATCGAATCCGCTCCTTTCACTTTTGTGTACTACTAAGACACAACGCCGAAAATAGTTGCTCCACCCAGCCAGTAGATGAAGGTGCAATGTATTTTGCTGACTGAAACACATTCTCTCTATCGCTCTCGAGTGCAGTCGATGGTCTCTCATTGAAGTATTGTCAATGGTAAGGAAATTTTCTTCAAGAGCCCAACCAATCCGCTGTGCTGTAAATGCTAAAACATGGTGGCTCACGCCGGGTATCAATGCACATCTGCTCAACCTCCCCACAAGCGGCCGTCAGTCAAGTATTAGTGTTCGAATGGTATTATGTTGTACACTTGTATCATCCGGAAGGATTTACTCGGGTTTGTCTGGTGATCTCGCTCGATCGCCATCGACATTCGGCTGTGCTTTTTGTGTGGGGGGAGAGGCAGGGTTTGATGGCGGTGAGCCTGGCGCCTCGTTTTCAAGACCTGCAAGCGCACTATGAACCAGTCAGTATCTCGTCCTATTAAGCTCGATATATCTGTGACTTACCTGAAAGCATTTGTGCTCGACTCATCCTTCTTCTCCTTGCCAGCCGGAGGAGTGCCGGTACGACTACTGTTAGCACTGTCGTCTCCGCGGGACAACAAGCCGCCAGGTCCAAGACCGCGTCGGCCGCTGTTGGTACGTCCGCCCAACAGACTCGGCGGTCCAAGTGTGCCAGCACCAGTGTGGCTGGGGTTCCGAGCAGTACGGTTCCCGAGCCTCCGGAGATCGTCGGTGCCCACACGGTTTGATGTGTCGGGAGGAGGCATCTGTCCTCCGTAGCCACTGAAGCTTCGAGCGTCACCACGGCCCATGGGAAGTCGGCCTCCACCACCACGTCCGCCACCTTGCTGTGCAAGTCTCTGAAGTTCTGCTTCACGAGCCTTGCGCTCAGCCTCTTCGTGGATCTCAGAGATGGTCTTGGGACCTTTGTCAGCCTCCTTTGACACCCAACCCTTGGATCGGAGATCGACCACGTCCATGAGCATGAATCGGAGACGACTTGGAAGATCTGGTATAGCAATCATGTGATTGATGCGGTCGAAGTAGACATCCATGCGACCCTTGCCCTTGCTTTCGGGGTCATCAAGCTGCTTACCGACCGTTCGCAGCAGACTCGTCAAACTTTCAATTTCGGCTTCCTCGGGAGTGCCTTCATAGTCGACCAGTTTCTTCACGCATTCGTGCATGATACGTTCCGTCAACATTGAGAGTTTAAACAACTCACCAATGAACCTGACTAGACCAAGACCACGTCGCTTGGCAGCTGCGGCGATATAGTATTCGTCGGACAACATGACGGCTTCCTGAGTCTCGCCCTCCTTTGCAGTAGGGAGATTGATCTTCCATCCTCGTTCAAATTCCTCTTGACAACGGTTGAGAAGATATTTCCGGAAGAGATTGCCGCCTGTGACCACATTACCAAGCTTATCCTTGATGCCCTCATCTCTAATGTCAGAGCTCATGCTTTCCAGCATTCTACGACAGAAAGCAGCATACATTGGTGCCCAGTGAGCTTCGTCGGTAGCCTTTTCGAAAGTGAGCTGAATGACTTGTCGCAAAGTACGGCCATCCGTCTCGTGTTTAGATTGTGCGGCAATCTCCAAGATCTGATCAGCAATTTTGTCAAACTTCTCGGGAGTCATCTTGTTCAGTGCGGCCTTGACCTTGCGCTGCACCACATCAGGCTCCATTAGGCCGTCGCCACCAGGAGCTGGGCCAGCGGCGGCAGCACCTTGACCGATACTGCGCGGTTTCCATCCGGTGGCGGATGTTTCCAGAGCAGTGATGTTCATGCCAGCAGTCAGAGGCATGGACTTGTTCTCTTCCTGAGCATGCTTGGCATTTTGCTTACCGCGCTTGCTTTCAGCACGAGATCCACCTCGACTGGCACCACCAACGCGAGGAGAACCCGGAATGGGGCCAAGCGGACCGCTGGACGGAGTACGACCCATGGCAGGAGCCATCTGCCCAGGTCGACCAAACTGAGCGAAAGGATTGCCGGCTATTGCTCCACTTCTAAGAGCAGCATTGGAAGCCGCAAATCGCTGTTCAGAAGTTGTTCCAGGAGGCAGACTTGCACGAGCGCCTCCGAAGCTACCCATGGGACCTCCAAAATTGCTCATGGCGGCCGGTCCACGTGACGATGGGTTCCGACCACCCATACCCGAAGGAGTTCTGGCGGAGCCACTGGGTCTGGCTGAAGTGTCACCATCACCTAACGCATCCCTGATGCGAGTATCCCAGTCCAAAGTTGGCTTCTCTTTGAAGACGGACTGGAACTGCAAGAGGAATTCCTTGTTATATTTGAATTTTCGGTCAGCAGGTGCATTGGCGTTTAGAGCTGGGCTTGGTGAAGCGATGTCAGACGGATATTGAACTTTGGACAGATCGGCAAGCTTCTTTGCGGATTGTAGAGCTTTCAATGTAGCACTTGGCTCAGGAGGCTCAACAGGTTTCTTAGTGTCGAGGGTGAGCTCTGCGGCCTTGCCACGTTTGGCCGGAGCCTTCGCAGTGGGAGGAGGCATGGAAACATCCGACACTGGGGTAGCTGTACCACTTTCGGCAGGAGTATGTGCAGCAGGGCTTTCAGTAGAAGCAGGAGTGCCGAAGGGATTAGCCTTGAGTTCAGCAAACATCTTCTTGCTCGCTTCGTCCGTCGTTGCTCCTGTCGATTTCTCTTTCTCTCGTGCGAGCTCTTCTTCTTCGGCCTTGCGTTCCATTTCTTTCATGTTGGCTTCGTAAGCCGCGGCCTCTTCCTCTTCCTTCTTCCGCTTTGCTTCGGCTTCAGCTGCCTTCTTCTTTTTGTACTCCTCTTCACGACGAGCTTCTTCCGCTTCTATAGCTGCCAACTCGGCCTCGATTGCATCAAAATCAATCTCATCCTCATCCGGTTTGGCAGGAGCCACAGGCTCATCCTTAGGTTTCTCTTCAACTTTCTCAGGTTCCGCCTTTTCTGTTGGCTTGGCCTCTTCCGCCGGCTGCTCGACTGCGTCATTCGTAGCAGGCTTATCTGAGTCTTGCGCTTTAGCCTCGCTTGGAGAAGTCTGCTGCACAGAAGTATCTGCGGTGTCCCGAGTGGGCTGCGTAGTCTGCGCGGACTCCTTCTCTAGCTTGTTCTTCGCCTCATCCTCGGCAATCTTCTTGGCGATGGCCTCCTGCATGGACTTCCTTGCCTCCTCGGCCGTCTTTACACTGGCACTGTCGGTTCGGTTGTGGGTGTTGTCAGCGGCGCTCGCCGTACGACTTGGAGGCGTGGGTGCTGTTTGTAAAGCGACGGCGGACACTGGTGTAGCACTCGCGGGGGACGCGGGGGGCTTGGTGAAAGAAACCACCTCACCAGCCGTGTTCTTGATCTGAATTGCAGCACTTTTCTTTGGAGGAATGGTATAGGCGGGTTTTTGACCGGATGCGCTAGGCGTGCGTGCGTTCTGCTGAGGTCCAGAAGGACCAGGAGTGTGAGGAGCCTGGCCAACACTTGAACCAGGTCGATCAGGAGCGGACATCTGTGATGACTGTCTGGACATCGAAGGGGGCCCGCCTTGGTTGCTGTAGGTACCTTGCATGTTCGGCGGAAATGCATTTTGCTGGAAAGGGGGTCTGGGGGACTGTGGCGGCATGTATTGGGGAGGATATTGTCCCTGCATACTCGGTTGTCCTTGGAAATGTTGCTGATAGTGCATCTCGATGCTTGGGTCAGCTCGGGTCGGTAGCCCAAAACCCTGTGCTCTCACAGTCAGAAAATGTTCAAAATTACCACTTTCGGGAGAAAGATCAGGATAAGAAAAATAACTAGGGGGAGGTGCAACAGCGGGACGATTCGCAAGATCGGGGCGATAGTGGTCCGAGGCGGGATCTCTGCTGAAAAGGGGTCCTTCCTCATGTCCACCCCTACCAGAGGCTCTGCCGCGGCCACCTTGACGACCACCACGGCCTCGGCCTCTTGTAGGTCTGCCACCTCTCTCTCGTACGGGTTCATCACGGGAAGACGCTTGCGACGGGTGGTGCTTTACATATTGGGGTCCCATATAATATCCATTGGGTTGTCCGGGCATTCCTTGCATACTGCCGACCAGATGAATCTGGTTCATGTTCGGCGTTCCTGGGGTAGCGTTGACGAGGGCAGGGCTTCGGGTGCCCATGGCGGGAGATCCTTGGAAGGGTATCTGTTGACCTCGGCCACCGTACTGGCCTTGCATAGCGCGACTGTTTGGAGGCTGGCGGAACGACTGGTGCGGAGAGTATTGCATCGGCTGCTGGTATGGAGGGTTGTTGAAGTTCTTGTTTCCTCGGCCACCTTGAAAGCCGCCACCCCGATTAGGAGCGGACTGCATACCAGCGTCACTGTGAACAGACTGCGATGATGCTCGCCGCATGTGCTCTTGCTGGATACCAAATTGTGGGTGAGGCCGATGCATCATCTAGACATATTAGCGACCGGTGTGGCAAATATTTGTCACACGACTTCTTACCTGGTCCCCTGAATCTCGTGGCACGACTGGCATATCCCCAAAGGTATAACCGTTGCTAGAGCCAGTGATAGATGTGGGCGGGCGGCCTCCAACGAGGTGGGAAGGCTGAGGGATTGGGGATGGCGAGTTCGAGGCAGCACTGTCTCTTGGGTTCAGTTGACTGACACCCAAATTGGATGTGTTTTGATGAGCAAGAGACGGAGTTCCCATTGCGGGAGAACTAGAGGGATTGCCAAACGAGCCAAAGGTGACACCGGGCTTGGTTTGAGGACCGGTCGGTACGGTGCCGTTGGTTGGAAAACCACTGGCACCGGTAGGCGTGACGGTCATGGATGTTTTACGTGTGTGGTCAGGCAGTGAGACGTTGCCGTTGACCGAAGGGATCGCGGGTATGGTGGGATTTCTTCCGTTCACGGATTCGCTATGACCGTGTGCTGGCGGAGCACCTCCAACTGCTGCAGACATCTTGTTGGGCTCCGATGCATTTGGTTTGGCAGAGGGAGGAATGGTGGCGGATGGAAGCGAGGTTCGGCCTTGAGAAGCCAAATTCGATCCGTTCGCAAGATTTGTGTTTTGAGCAGACGAGACAGGCTTCGATCGACCGGTGGAAGGCTGCGAAGGCGTGCTAGTCATCAGATTTGATAAATCGTCAGAGGGAACGCAGTGGACGTCGCAAGGTTGACTTGAAAGGCTGAAACGAAGAGGATGACAAACGCAGCCTTTTTCGCTGGAAAAGTCGTCCGAAGCTGCGGTTTGATCAAAGAAGAAGATTTATTGATTTCTCGGTTTGCGACCACGACGCGGCGACTGTCTCGAATGAACGGAAGCCGCTCTCTGTGCTGATGGTTGGGCGAGAGAAAGATTTGATCCTGAGATCAAAGGTGTGTGTGGTTTTTAGTTCGGGATGAAAAACCCGTGAGAGGAGATTCGCAGCGCAGGCAGATTCCGATGGATGAGATCGGAGCTCTGACAGTGGCAAATGTCGACGAGATGAACTCCGCTATACAAGGGAGATAAGGGCACGACAACAAATGTGTTGACGGTGCCAGATGAACCTCTTCGCGATGGAAAGAGGCGCAAGGGGGTGTGTTGTTGTAAAGGGTTGGGTTGAGGGAAAAAGCGCTGGACGGGAGGAAGGAGCAAAAAAAGTCATAAGGGGAAAGAACGTTGGTCTTGGCTTCGGGGAATCAGAAACAGCGTGACTTTGGCGTTTTGCTGGCTGCACTACGACTTGAGAGTTAATTCTTTTATGATTATTCTGTACTCGTACCGTCAAAAAACAAGGCAGCAGAACGGGCTGCTTAGTATTGTCGGGTGCCGAGTGAGAGGCTCACCACTCTTTCACTCACTCGTTACTCTTCTAACCGGTGACCGCAGGTAACTCTCTGACCCTTTGACCATCCGATTCTTTACTCCTTCGTCGGGCAGTGCCCAATCCTGCGCATCCAGCTTGCGCTTCAACCTCCGGTGTACCACAACTGACATGCTCAGACAAGCCTGAACCCTATAGGTGGTACTGATCAACTGCCTGCTCGCCACATCTACGTGTACAGCACGATCTCAATTTCTTATCCGTCACCTCATCATCCTACGGAGAGAAAGTCCAGCTTGCTTCTAACATACCAAGGCCTTGTCCACTTGGGTTTGGCATATGACATGATTGATGATCGTTGGCCCAGGACTCGTGTCCGCTCAATGCGACGAAGGTTTTTCTGACTGGGTTTCACGACGAGGAGGAAAGAGAAGGATCCTCGTCCTTCCCGCAAACCAACTCCAGCCAAGATCAAGATCGTCATTATGTTATTGGCGTCGGCTTTTACATCTTCGAGCCAACGGAACATGGGTATAAGCTGCGTCTCAAGTACGAGAACCGGCCATTATTCCCTCACACCAGTATCAGATGTGGAAGTCTGCAGGCCCAATTCCAGTCTCTCTCTGCGTAGGGGATACCCAGGTTGGCTTCTTATCCCTGACTCGTTTACAGAGTTCCTCTCTGTATTCCCCGTAGCTTTCTGCTGCGGTTTGCGTTCAGCACGATGCAGCCACTTTAAAACTCCCACCTCCGATTTACGTCTTTCAAACGTCAAAAACACGGGCCAACCACATCTGTGATTCGCGCCACATCTCTTGCGCCCGCGTCTCTTCGAAGGGCACTGGACTCTCGTACTCAACTTCCGTACAGGAGGCTTTTCTGCTTTCCTGATTCATCATTATTGATTGATTCATTGCTTCCTTTCGGAACGCGCCAATCTCAAAGCGCATCACATCCATCTCGTTAGATCGGTGCTCGGTTACAAGAATGCAATTTAACGCCTATTTCCGGTGCTCTACCTCCTGATCCTTGTCTCTGAAGGCTCGAGTCGAGAGTTCTGTCGGCTATCTTTCTAGCGGTTTGCCTATTTTCCACATGCGCTCCCGAAGCCGTGGCCCGGCTCCATCTTGGCCCTTGAGCGAGCCCCAAAAGTAACCAGATGGCCCATGGTCAGCTCCTAAATTTAAAATAGTGCTGAGAAAGCGGCCGGGACCGCAGCCGTTGGAACGTGCCAGCTCATGCCCGTTCAACAAGACCTCCTGGACCGATTCCTGCATCCCCGTCGCCATGGGTCGTACTACGTGCGTCGCTTACCTTGTACAGGGCATGCGTAGGACGACCTGTCTTGCTATGACTCACTCTGCTTTGCAGCAACACAGGACTTTGCAGAGGCAGTAAGCGCAGTTATTGGCGAAACTTTGTGTTCTCTCACTGTGTCTCGCCGCGGACAATCTTTGGTAGGCCTCACTACGGATTTTGTCGAGTGAGACGATTCCCAAGAAGCACAGACGTATCCTGGAAGCACCGGAATCAAAATAGTATTTAATGTGTTACCTCGAGTAGGTATCATCCTCAGTCGAGTCGTGAATGATAACCTGGATTGACCTAGGTACTTTGGGTGTAGCACTGGATCACCACGATCGCCATGTCTATGTTACTTAGGTACATAAAGTACATGGTATAAAGCCATCTATCCATCCATTCACCCTTGTGATAACTTCCGTATCCAAACCGACCCCATCATTATGTCATGTCGTGACTGTCGTGAAGAAAGAGAAAAGAATAGAAGATCACAATTTAGGCCTGCCTCTATGTCCAACGCCGCGCTTCCTAGGATGGTGCAGAGGAAAAAGAGAGAACCGCTTTGAGACGGACCCCAAGAAGGGCATCAAACTCGTGCACTCTTTCTGGCCGTTTTTTTCGCATTCTTCTGAAATGCTTCCTCCGGAGGCTCGTCGATCGCTTTGCGCTTCCCCCCTTTCTTCGGACCGCCTCCATACTTGGCCTCGAGGTCGTCGAAGAAGTTCTGGGCGCGTGACTGCTGGCGTTGCAGGATGAGGGCCTGCAGGGCATCCGTGTCGCCAGCATCCTTGTTGTTCTTCGACTTCTTCTTGTCCTCCTCCTCCTCCTTCTTCTTCTTCTTCTTCTTCTTGGTGGAGGAGCCGTCCTTTGTGCCGAAGAAGTCGTCCCCCAGCCCCAACTCGCGCGCGTATTCCCGGGCCTCCTGCTCCTCCCTCTTGGCGGATGCCTTTCTGCGTTCGCGACTCTGCTTGCCTTCTTTGGTGTACGCGTCGTACGCCCGGACCTCGCCCTTGGAGATGGCGTCGTCGATCATCTTCCTGAACCTGTCTTCGTCCTCCAGGACCTCGCTGCACATGACGCTCTCGAAGACCAGGTCCATGTCGCCCTCGCCCTGTTCGTACGCGGCCAACACGTCGCCCCTCTCCTCTTCGCCGCCCTGGTACTCCCGCTTGACCTGCTCGATCATCTCGCCGTTGACGACGTTGGCCGCCTGCTCGCGGAAGAAGTCCACCCAGTTGAAGTCGTCATCTTCGAGGTTGGCGCTCTCGGCCGTGTTGCCCGTCGCGTCGTACCGCTTGCGTCTCCGTTCGTCGCTGAGGATGGCGTACGCGAATGCGATCTCCTGGAACTTCTTGTGCGCCGACTCCCGTTCGTCGCCCTGCGCTTTGTCCGGGTGGTGCTTCAGCGCCAGTTTCCGGTAGGCGGACTTGACCTCGTCCGCGGTCGCGGTCCGTGAGACTTGGAGGACATCGTATGGGTCGATGACGGGGGGATCTGAAACGGAGAGATCTTCTTCGACCGAGCTCGTCTCGCTGGGGTCGGCCTCTTCTACGGGTTCAGTAGGCTTGGACTTGGTCTTGCGAGGCATGGTGCGCCGGTGACGATGATGAGAGAAAACTTTTGGTTCAAAGAGAGAATGACCTTGACTAGGTGTGAGGGAGGTTGTCAATGTGAAGAGATATATGAGCACCGGGAAGTGAAGAAAGCGAAGCAAATTGTGAGTTGCGAAGTGAGACTGTGTACTTGCAGAATGTCGGCTAAACGCAGTTCGAGATGAGTCCAAGGTCAATTAATTAACTGGAGGACGCGCTCAAGGCACTCAATACGCGTTTCCCCACACTGCGAGCGCCGGGCTTTCTGCTGTTCTAGCCTTATTAGGCGTGTACCTACTCGTACCTGTACTCGTATATGTACCTGTACGTGGATGTTTTGTTGGGGCCGGATCGATGTTTGAATCTACAAGTATGTCCTTCAGATGTCCGAGCTCGGTCGAGTGAGAATACAGATCACCGAATGGCCACTCAAGGGGATCGTCAGCCCCCCTGGTGAAGTACTGTATTCTAAGATTGACCTGCGGATCAAAGTGAAGCCGGCCTCGAGAAGTTACGGGCAGCAGGCTGTCAACACCTCCCTCTCACACTCGATCCTTGACCACACCAACTTCGAGAACGCCACAAGGACGAGGACGAGGACAAGTCCACAGACCATATCTACTTGTAGAGATGTCTCCCAACTGGAGCCAAGACCCTGAAGGACTTTGTGGCAACAAAATCTGTCCCGTAATGCGGGATTCAAGGGCAGCCCAGATCCCCGGACAAGAGAGAGAGAGATCCAAAGGGTCGTTATTGACATCATCACCCGCAGCCTTGATCGCGCTCCCATTTCATCACCACTTTTGATATCTGATGCTTGTACTCGTACTTCTCCTCGCAAGAGCTATAGGTACCCCAAGGTGAGTAGCCCCTCGATCATGAGTATCGTTCTACGGATACATTGTCCTGCACCACTGGAAACCCTACGATCTCCAGTCTTCATGTCATGTTCTCCACGGACTGGTACTGTACATCTCTTGATACTGCAATACGAGTACACGACATATAACCCAGCGCGGTAGTTGCACCTACTCGTACTTGTACTCGTACATGCCATTCGCCACGCGAGTGCCCTTTCCAACACTTAAAAAGAGTACCTCGATAGCCGACTTGTATTCCTCGTTCAATGCGTGTCCCAACAACCATCTCGCCTACTATCTTTGAAACCTTCCCGCGTCTCTTCTTACAAAAGCAGAGCTCCTTTGCGGCAACAGGAACAACCTTGACCCGCCACCGGCCCATGATGTCGACTTCAACAACCCCCTCGTTTACCGAGTACAAGATCCAATCATCCCTCCCGTCATCGCCTTCCAAGCTCTCGGACCGGAAGGCTCTCTTGACCGCTTCCGTCCTGGACCTCTTTGCAGGGTACCCGAGCAAGAGGAAGTTGTCGTTGTGGACCGATGATGCCGTGTTCAGTGACAGCCTGACCATCGCGACGGGACGCAGACAGTACGAGGCTCAGTGGTACGGTCTCAAGGCTGTCATGGCGGACATAGTGCAGGAGGAGGTGGCCCTCAAGAACGTCGGCAACCCGATGGAACTGCATCTCAGGACAAAGTACAAAGTCAAGGCCGTTGGAAAGGAGCAGGTCATCGATTCCACGGTGGTAGTGCACATGACTGATGACAGCGACGGCGCAAAGATCACGAAGGTCGAGGACAAATGGGGCGGAACACCGCCGCCTGACGGATTCTTCTCCAAGGTATGTTTTGGCGTATTCTATGACGTCTGCAAAAGCAAAACCCATGCCAGAGTGCTGTTGTGTATTCGACCGAGCTGACATGTCGATGAACCAGGCCATGAGAAATCTCAATTCGGTCACTGTACCGGGGTTCGTGACGGTGCCCAAGTCAATCGAGGAAGAAGAGGGCACAGTTTGAATAGCTCATGCCAGCCGTCATTACGGACGACAGGAATGAATATGTTGCAGACTTGTGACCTGCGAAAGGATATGACACTCAAGAAGCATCACAGTTGCGGCCACGTCTGAAGTCGAGTCTGACGATCCCAGACTCCAAACAATGTCTCTTTTCTCTTGACCTCGAGCGCGTAGTCTAATGTTGCGCCGTTCGCCCGATTTTGATTCCTCCCAAAGACTGCACTTCAGTGCCATATCAAGTACCATATGCGCGGGGCCTGGGACTTTCAGAGTAGTACGACAAGTGACCATGTCCATGCCCCGCTCCAGATAGAGTATCATGATTGAGCAACCTTCATCCAGACCTTCAATTTTCAAAGTTTGCCAATTGGTCCTAGAACTTCCGTGTTCGCCAACGTGCGTCTTGTTGGGTAAGCTGTCAGGCATTACGCTGGTGTGGTCGGTGCATGCCAATGGCAGCATGACAAGATAAATCAGACCAATTGTAAAGGTTGGGGGGTCCGTAGCCAATAATGCCCGCGCAGTCCGTATATCACTCAATCAAGATCAATGGTGGTTTCAGACTTTCACTCAGCCAATTGCACTGCTGACGGACTATCCGAAGACGAGCAAAATCAATGCAAACGTCACCACCAATATGCTAGTACCGAAGCTGGCTTCTTTGCCGATTGAATTGCTGCTGATGATGATGACTCCAGTGGCAGTGGTCTGAGGAGGCGGTTGCTGGGTTATTGTACTCGTAACAGGCACTACTTCCGAAGTCACCGTGCTCACAACGCACTGATGGCACTTGTCCGTCGTTGTAGTAATGACCACCGGAGGCGCCGTGGGAGAGGTGCGAGTGACCACAACAGTCGTTGGGTTGGTACGTGTGGACGTTGTCACCACATATACGGTGGTAGGATGTACCGTTGGAGTATAGATTGGATAAGTACCATCGCACCATTGTCCTGCTGGACAACATGCTCCGTTGCCGTTCCTCTCCCAGTAGCAGACATTCGGGTACGGACAGCAGAGTTGTTCCAAAATACTGTTCCCAGCACAGTACGGGTTCTGATCTGTGCCGCATCCATTGTTAACGACTGTCGTTGAGGCGATTACCGCTGAGAGCTGTGTTGCGAATAGCGTCGCAACGACAGTAGCCACACCACAGAACAGCATTACGATTTTGGAGAGGCTGTGCGACGAGCAGGGACGAGGGTCAGCTTTGCACCGAAAATTGGGAAGGCTGGGGATTTTGTAGCTTTCTCGATACACGGCATACAGGACTCGGGTCTTCCTCCGTCCATCTCGTCGATCAAGCCATTCCCACTCTGTAGGTGAGACCGGGAACTGCCTATGAGCAGCTCGAGTGGACAGGCGAATGAAAGGCGAGAAAGTCTTCAGCGATGCATGCCATGGCGATCAAGAGCCAATGAAGGAGCTAGGAGAGGATGCCTGGAGAGGGATGCAGGCGGAAGCTAGGGAGGTGTCGAGGACAGCCATGGAGTATTCTTGCATGCGAGGGAAAAGCCATGATGACGGAGGATGACCAGGTGACGTCTCTGCCGGAGATGCTGGTCACTTTGGGAGTGAGGAGAGGCGGTAGGGAGACCTACAGCAAGATGGCTGCACCTATGGTACCCTCATGTGGCCTGTAGGTGCAAATTCAGCTCCGGAGTTGGCGGACCAAGAGGCGATAGCATCAGATAAGAGGGAGCCCGATATCGATAGCGATAAGCCCTATCAACCCAGCAGCCAGCAGCACAGCCTAGTGAGCCTACAACTAAGTTAGTTGGGTACTGTGCACCCCACCAAAGCAAGGAAAAGTAGATCCCTATAGGTACCTACAGGCTACTCCCACTTACGGTCTGCCTAGGCTATTGCGAGTACTACCTGGCCTGTACATGTCGCCAGGGAGAGTGCGGCAAGGTACGAGGACGAGTAATGCTGGCAATCCCATCTCCACAATCACGCTCGACATCTTTCCCTCTCAGGGTGTTCCTCCTCAACCGTCCTCGTCCATCTCTGCGTATCCATGCCTGAGTTAGCTGGTCTGGGCATTCTGGCTGTGCTGAACCCGAACCGTCCCAGGCCAACCCCACACGTCCCTTAAACTTAGTCACCGCAGCCAAGATGCACACGCCCATCGTCACAAGCCATCCGCCTCGCTTCTGCTACGCACTAATCGAGAGATGCTCGCACCCAGACTCGCGACCAACCCGCCGCTGGATCTACGCAAGGTCCCGCAAAATGCTTCTTCTCTTGTGACACTCCTTTACCATCTCACACGAGCAGTCGCGGAATCACCTAGGGTCCGTCTGCTGATTGCTGTTGTTCTCGGCCCTCGTCCCTCGCCCTTCCGCAACCGTAGTCATGGACAGACCGCCTTCCAGATCACGAGCGCCGTTGAGCCTCGAAGCTCTCATTGACGAGGAAAACAGAGAAGTCCTCGCTGCCATGGATCGCTCCAAAAGATCCGCGTCCCCTCTGCCTAAAGTCGCCCACGCTCGAACCGCAACGCCTCCGCCTCCCATCCGAAGCATGCTCGATGTTGACGATTTCACACCCAGACACGGCTCAATCGCAGGCATAGGCGTTGGAATCACAAGCCCAAGGAGATCTTCTAGATTGGATCCTGCAGACCCTTCGACCTACACCTCTCCACACTCCAGCAAACCAAACTCGCCTGTACTTTCAAAAGCTGTCCCCGTCAGCACGCGACAACGAGGTTCTTCAGATGCGGATCGACCGACGGGCCTTCCCAAGATACAACCAGATGACAAACGGGATTTTGAGCAAAACTATCAATTTGATATAGCTTCTATACCTTCCAGTGCAGCCCTACGGTCGCCCGCGGAAGGCAAGAGACCACGTGAGGGCTCGAGTCCATCGATGGCTGCTGCAATGTCAGGCGACTTCTCTAATTTGTACGTGGCCAAGCCTAAAGGTGCTGGAAACCAAACCTCCACAGCTGCTCATCACTCGAGATCTGCTTCCTCGCCTACTATGAGCTCCAGATCAGATTTGTTGAGCCCTCCCAGTCCGAGGGGACACCTGCTGCTAGACCCCCGAAATTCCGCCGAGAGTCAAGCGTCCAACAAATCCGATAGCTTTTCCACGGTCAACGACGACTCCGAAGGACCTTCTGGCCGTGTACCACGGGATGGACCAATTGAGGAAGACGCTGTCGAAAGCAGTGATGAGGAGGTTGACAGTAGCGATGAAGACGAGACGACTAGAGGTCGCCCCGAAAGAAGGCCAAATTCGACTGAAGATCCACAGATAATAGCTCAAGCGTTGAGCAAGGATAAAGAGAATGAATCGACCGCGACTCCGCCTGTAAAGTCACTCCTAGAGCCCTCTATATCCATTACCAGCCCCTCAGGAGAAAGCATGTCTGAACAGAAGCCTGAACACAAGCCTGAACAGAAACCGGAACAGAAGCCGGAACCTTATGCACCTTCCACAACATCTGTGGAGGACGAGGATGAAGACTGGGCCGCAATACAAAAGGCCAAAAGGCTCGCTATCAATATCTCGCCTGTCGACTCCAGTGTCGCAAACCGGGATTGTCGTGTGATCCTCCGTGGTGACTGGTTGGGCTGCAAAAAGAAGGCGGAAGCGGGGCGGCGATCGAGCAGACTATATCTTGTATGTAGCGACCTGAGCGTCGAAGCAAGCTACGCCATGGAATGGGTGGTCGGGACCATGTTGCGTGACGGCGACACTATACTCGCCATGCATGCGATTGAGGATGAGTCTGCTGGAAAAGCATCGGAGGAGCAACGAGACGCACTCACCGCAGAAGGTGCCCGTGCGGGCCAGGAAACTGCCGATGTCATGGAAACGCTTACTAGGCAAACAACCCAGGGCGGCGGGATCAGTGCTGGCTTGAGCGCTAAGAACAAGTACATTCCAGCTACGGAGGCGGAAAGCTTGTCAGGATCAGTCGATGCACGGAAAACATCCAAGAAGCAGATGGAGCGTCTCAGGGCTGTCGACTCGGTCATTGAAAACTTTTTGAAACTTGTGCGGAAGACGCCATTGGAAGTCCGGTGTACGGTGGAAGTAATCCATTGCAAGAGCCCGAAGCATTTGATTTTGGGGGCGGTAAGTTCAGCACCCGTTGTATCTGTGGTGAGTCATCTGCTGACAGGACTTAGATTGATGCACTTGAACCGACCCTCTGTGTTGTAGGCACCCGTGGCCGCAGCTCTTTGAAAGGGGTTCTTCTGGGGTCTTTCTCCAACTATCTGGTGACCAAGTCTTCTGTCCCTGTGATGGTGGCGCGAAGGAGGTTGAAGAAACCACGATCAGACGTCAAGATCAGCAGTACAAAAATTCGGCTCAGCAACAATCTTTCTGCCACTCATATTCCCACGAAACGAAGGAGTTTGACCCAGGCCAGAATCGATTGAGTACTTCCTTGAAGCAATACATCGAGGGTGTTTTGGGGTGATTTCCCTGGCACCGTAACTTGGCAGCAACTTCAGCATGTGAAACGACACTATAGCACGGATACAACGAGAGACTTGTGTACCATCTGCACATGTGTTCCGGCGGGACTTTATCGTTTGGATCAGTGGGCAAACAGTCATTGGCAGCTCAATGAGTGACATTCAAAGGCATAAAACCTGATGCTGCTCGCGGCGAAAATGGACAAAAAAATAATAGCACAAAGAACGAAAAGAAATACAGCATGACAGATATGAACTTGAGATGAAGTTTCCTTGGGGAAAAGGCAAGCGAATGGAAGGAAGGTGAGGGAGGTAGGATTGATTATCAAGTGCTGGCAGAGTAAGAATTTACAGCAGTAAGCGTAGCATTCACGTGCATAAGATAGTTTGGTATATTAATAGCAGGCTCAGTTCCTTTGTTGCGACAGAGAGTGCTCGAAATTGAACATTTGGTCGAAGCAAGGACTTGTAGATGAATGAATGTCCTAGATGATGGCTAGTTCAATATTTCGTTTGTTGGGAGTCATCAAGAAACATTATCACTCCCACTCTCGCTCCAGTGCTGTCACCTGGGTGTTTGTGAAGTCTCCACCACGAAGACCGGAGGGCTGGCGCCGCGGTAACGAGGACGACAGATCGCCGGTGTCCATAGACCAGTTGTTTCTATTCTCGGTCTGCAACGCGAACATTTTTCAACATCTCTTCGTTTAACTCCTCTGGTATCTGGGCCGAATTTGATGCCACACGGCCAGACGGACATCATAGACGAGACTTCAAGGTCTCGCTGATCACTTAGTCTACTACGATCCTACTGGCTATGCCAGGTAGCTATGCCAGAGGTCCCCACGGTTGATGTTGTGGTGCTGCGGCTGGGCCTGGTTTCAGCGCGTTCGGGAGCGATGTGAAGGAATGAAGAAATTAGAGTTTGGGACTTGGCCGTATACCCAGAGTCTTGCGATGCTGGCTGACCAAAAAGATGAAGGAATGGCCGAATGGGGCAAGTCTACGGTACGTATTAGGCAAGTCGTCTGATGATGTCATTGGAGACTGGAGCGTGTGTTTTTCGGGTTGCCCGATACACGAGTTCACGTTAAACTCATCCTCCGTAGAAGTCAACAACGCGTTAAAGCCCATTGTGCTCGGGAAAGCTACCTACGGTACATCGACAAGTAGCAGCGGGGGAAGCGGAAAGTAATAACGAAAACTTGTTTCTTTCGGCTGGCCTCATTGCACTCGTACGGTGGTGTTTACAGATGCCTATCTGCGCCCGCTTTGACCGGTACTGGGGTTGACAGATAAATTCCGTATCGTATCGTCTTCGTCCCCATCCCTGTCCCTATTCTTCTCGATCGCATCACAACCCAACCCCCGTCCGTACGATGTCCTCGACCACGCCCCCTTCTCGAAGAAGTGACGTTCATCTCACGCACCTCTCGCACGCCCTCGACCTCGCGCGCAAATCACCTCCCAAACCCACCAATTTCCGGGTCGGCTGCGTCATCGTGTCGTACCCGCCGCCGGCCGACACGACGACCACCGGCACGGTGCTCTCGACGGGCTACACGCTCGAACTCGACGGCAACACCCACGCGGAACAGTGCGCGCTTTCGAAGCTCGCGCACTCCCACGGCCTAGAAGACGAGTCCCGCCTGCACGAGCTGGGCGGTGAAGGGGGTCTCCTCGCCGGCGCCAACAACGTCACGCTCTACACGACCCTCGAACCCTGCGGGCTCAGACTGAGCGGGAACAAGCCGTGCGTGGAGCGGATCATCGAGACGAGAAAGAAATCAGGAGGCGGAGGCGGAGGCGGAGGCGGGGGCATTGCCAGAGTCATATTCGGCGCGAGAGAACCCGGCACGTTCGTCAGGGACAGCAAGAGTCTCCAGAGGCTAGATGCCGAGGGCGTCCCGTGGGAATACGTGCACGGTCTAGAGGACGAGATTCTGAGCGTGGCCATGGAAGGACACGACACCAACACCAAAACCGCAACCGACAACGCCGACGCCTCCCACACCGCACCAGAAGCCGGTTCCGCGACGACCGCGCGTGGCATAGTTGACATATCGCCCGAGGAGAGAAGACGACAAGAATCGTTACCGAGAAATCCGAAGAAGAGGATGATGGAGACGGTGTGAACACACAGCCCCCTCTGAGCTAGCTAGCTCGCCAGCTGCCTAGAGGTGAATCGAATCTTCAGAAAGTCGAGCCAAGCAGTCATGAGGTATGAGGTATGAGGTATGAGGTACGAGGTATTAGAAAGAAGATGACAAGAAATCAAAAAGGGCTTGACTTGTTATTTGGACAAGAACCAAACCCTCCGAAGCACACCCCTACCAATGGTGTCTTGTTTCGGAGACTGTCGAGATATACCATGGGGAGCTTCGGGGGAAGGGGTGCCCGCCGCTGCAGTGATTTGACTCTGATGCTGTGTCGTCACTCACACACACACACACACACACACACACACACACACACACACACACGAGACCGAAAATGAAGCCGAAGTCGACGCTTCTTCATTTACGACCTGGGCAACCGACACAAGAGTGATGGAGATTCGGAGACGACACGGTTCACCTGCTCGCTCGCTCACTCACTCACTCAGCAGATGTACCACCACGACCGATGTCTTAGGATAATACTACTGCTGGCTTGTCAGCGACCCAACGACAGAACGGTTATCTCCACGCAGAATTACGGTATATATGTATATTCAGGGACCAACCAGCCTCGATATCTCTGGATGTATGAACCCGTCGGTGTCGGCGTCGTTGAAGAAAGACAAAGACTGAAAAGAGGCCAGGAGCATAAACTTTCCAAAACAACTCGAACAGCGTTATATGAACGGATTGACCGATCATGTTCACAAGACCAAAATATAGAGCACGGTATACTCCGTACTACATGACGACGGATGATTCCTGATACGCTACACACAGATACTGCGCGCGTCGATAGGCAGGTAGATTGTACGGAGGTAGTTTTTACCTTTCTGATTATTTTCACGTCTTCCACTGTCCTCGTACCAGTTCAAAAGTACACACTTTGAACGTACACGCTGGACGTATAACACACATGGTGTGTTCGAGTTCAGTATCTAAAACCGTTCCTCTCTTCCCTCTCCCTTCGTCCAAAGAAATCCTAGGCGTTTGTTCTGTTCTCCTAGAGCACCCCGTCGCTCCGCGACTTGCTATATGTACCTTGCTCGGATTTTATACTGTACCAATAAATAAAACCCAGACGCTCATCGCGATTCTGAAAAACAACCAACCAACGAAACAAAACCATACCATGCAGAGACACCGTCGGGACTGAGCTGATGCTGCTATCATGCTTCATTGATGCGACGCTTCACCCCTCCATGTCAGACAAGCAACTAATGCTTCTCTCAGACCGAAACAAATAAAAGCTCACATATCAAAACACAGAAATGTCGAAACAACAAAATCCGAAAAACAGTCTTCCGATTATCATCCCTCGGCAGAAATATCCTGGCCCCTTGTGGCCTTCATTAACGTTATCGATGGCGACATGTCGGCCATGTTCGATCGTTCCAGTAGCACAGCCAATTGTTCCACGTCACCGTCGGTCGCGGCTTTGGCTTGTTCCCTTCTGCCAGGTCCAGGTCCGTCTACCCCAGTTGACACGTCCGGCTTCAACGGCGGTAAAGGTGGGTGCTGGTTAGTGGCCTTGCGCTCTCTGATGATCTTCAGGAGCGCAGTGACTTCATCCTCCAGGTCGTCTAAGTCCACCTTGTCCCTACCACTACCAAGAGTCAACTTCTTACGATACGTCTTCAACATGCGCGTGGCCTGTTCTGTTGCCATGCCCATACTGCCAAAGTCGGATGTCTGGCTCACACTCTGTCTGCGACTTGCAGCAGCAAAAGATTGGGATCGAAGTTCGGGAACTGATGGAGGGCGTCGCAGCCGGCCGTTATTCGGTTTCTGACGACTTTTGGGCGTTCCCGGCATTGACAGAGGTACTGGAGGAGGAGGAGGAGAATGCGAACGGTCAACTGGTCCTGTCTTCTCCGCTGTGGTGGTAACATCTTTGGCCAAATCGATCCTTGACCGCTGCTTTCTCGGTCGAGACGTAGTTCGAACTGGCGGAGAAGGGGAACGGCGTGGATCTATCTGCTCTGGATTGGGTGATTTGCTCGGTACAGGAGCGTCGGTTGACTTCGTCGGGGTATCTTCAACGTCTTCCATCGTAGTTGATAGAGCAAGCCTGGAAGTTTTCCGTTTTAGCCGAACAGGAGACAAGGATCTGGGCGTCGAAGGTGAGGGAGCGCCGTTATCCCGAGTTAACTCTGCGAGATCCATCTTCGTCAAAACTTTTCTCAACGGTGGGAGAGCAGCAGGAGTCGGCTTTGATGCCAGCTCGCTATCTGATTCGTCAGTGGAGATCCCCAGCCCAGGAGTGCGTTCTTGCGAGTCCAGCGGCAACGTCAAGGTTGCCCTGGAGATTCTCCAAATCATTATCGTTCCATCCAATCCCGTGCTGACAACAGTGCATTGGCGAGTGCCACTGGCTTCCGGGGCTTTTTGTCTGAGAAGGGAGATATCGCTGACTCCTTCTGTATGTCCGGATTCTCGACCCAACAAAGCCATGTTTCTCTCGTTGTATACTCGTATCGATTTATCCATGGAGCAATAGCCGACCAGAAGACGATGGGAGCCATCAGCTCCTTCAGGACTCGCCGAGCTCACCATGGAATTGAGGAACACAGTGTCTTCGTTTTCCCCATCTCCAACCTTGAATGAATCGTTCAAAGTGCCCGTCGAGATCTCAACTTGGGTCACGCGGCGATCCATGCTGGACACCAGCAACAGGTCGTCTGTGGAGATGGTCATCGACAAAGGCGACCCTTTGAGAGTCAGCACTTTTGTGTTCAGATATACTGGCGTCTGAACGCCATCCTGGTCTCGCAGAACACGATCTCGGATAACAAGTGAACGGTCGGCTGAGCAGGACAGCAATTTTCCCCCATTTTGCACGAATAGAACTTGGTTGACAGACCCAACATGATCATCCATAGTTTGCAGCAATTCGAATGAATCCCTTGCGATCCGGTACAGCTGCACCATCCGATCCCTGCTGCACGTCGCTATCAAGCTTTGGGGGTCATGGCTTGTAATGCTCGTGATTTCGGCACTGTGAGCCCGAATCACCTGTGCTTCTTTCCATTCTGACACCTTTATTAATTTGAGCAAACCGAATCGATCTCCCACGACGAAGCAGTTGATCTCCTGTATGTATCGTACGCGAGTCAACTCATTCTCACAGTCATTCGCATCCGCACTGCTGTTATCGAGGTCGACAATTTCTTGCTTGATGAGCTCCCCTTGAGAGCTCCAGAACTTGATCTCACCATTCTTAGACCAGGTGAGAAAATCGCCAAAAGCACAACCATCCGAGAGGGTCTGCACGCCGAGTAGTATACTATTGTGGGCAGCGAAAGTCGGCTGTGACTCGTTGGAGTCGCCCGGTTCGCAAGGCTGTAGTTGCAAACTGCCGTCGCTGTCAAGTGTAATTATATGAGAGGGTAACGTGCCTACTGCAGTGACACTTTTCGCTGTTTGTTGAACTAGCCCAAGTGAGCGTCGGATAGAAGAAAGTCGAGGAGGTTTACGTCGCAACATTCGGCTGGGTGAATCGATGCTGGACTTCATGAGCAGGTCAAAATCTTCAGACTGTAAGCCATGAGATGTACCGAGGAGTAACCTCTTAGTATGTGCCAAATATGCAATTGAAGATATCGGGAAATCCGTCTTCTTGAATACTCTCAGTTCAAGCGCAGTCTGAGAGGTATCCACCAGGCAAAGATGCCCCGTCTCAGTCCCCACGACTGCCAGACAATCATCAACGGCAGCCACGCAAGTGAAGGTTGAATCAACCATCGAGCCTAAAAGACAATTTCGGCCTTGTAAGGGTGCCGGTCCCGGGGCGGCACCAGGGCTCGTGGCGTAGGCATCCGATGCCCTGAAAAATCGAGGCTTCCTGGTTGGAGATTGTTTCGGATTCTCCTTCGCTTGCCAGATCTTGATGTGCCTTGTACCAACCGTAATTAGACTGTTGCCACACCAAGTCATGTCACAGACGTTAGTCGTGCATTTGTTGGCCGAATGAAGCGTTACTTGACCTGTTCTTGAATTCAGAGACCACACAAACAAAAATCCATCATTGAGGTTGCCCAAGGTTGCGAGAAACTTCATGTCACCACTGAAGGCTATGCAGCGCACCCCATAGGTGTGGTCACTGACGACAGATGTCGGTGTCTCGCTAGAGGCGTCTTCGGCGGTAGAGAACAAAAGCACTCTAGGGTTATAGCCAGATTCTCCGACCGCAAGCCATCGACCATCTTGGCTCAAGGCCACACATGACGCAGACTTGATCCTTTCTCTTGCAGTCCAAGTCTGGGATCCGGATTCATCCAACCAATCTCTTCCCAATGTCCCGCCTGCAAAGTCACCCTGCCGCTTTCTGGGGGTGAATGTGGTTGTCCTCCTCTTTGACGGCGTAGTGGCCGGTGAGCTGTCGTAGTGAGACGTTGGAGGATGGAGCGAGTGAGCCGTCGGCCGGGCTTTGAAATACCGGTGTGAAGGCGTATTGTCTGGTTCGAGCCTTGCGAGGACCGCGACCGCTCCAGCGCAGTAGGCATAGGTATTCGTCGGCGCACAGCATGCAAGGCCATTGGGGCTATTCGTGGTCGTCCCAATGACTCGTTGCAACTGTAGTGTAATGTCTGTCGATCGCGGTTTTCGATTGATTCCAGACGGTGTTTTGGCAAGAACCGGCGACCCTGTGGGAGTCGCACGCAGGGAGGGGGTCTGGGTATTCAGGCGGCTTCGGAGGCCGTACGGGTGAGCAGCCATCTTCGCTTGTCATATGTCAGAGAGCTGACTCGTATAAGTCGTGCTGCGTGGGTGCCATGCAAGTGTTTACTGTGCCAGCACTGCTGCGATCTTTGCTGTTGTGCTCCGTCGTCAGATTGGGGGGTGGTGTATCGAGTATGTGACCAAGAGTCACGCGTCGTTCGCCCTACGTTCAAGTGATGTTTCCGCCCATTTTGCAACAGACAAGACTCTGGATCTGCATTTCACGTAAGCCTGTTGGCGCGAGGTCGATTTGTTTATGGACCAACACGATGGCGGTGGTGTTTATTGAGCTCGGTGCACATGTTTACATTCCTCCATGGGGGACTCAACAGCCACACGAGGCTGGTGACCCCAAATCCAGGGACGTGTGGCTGTGGCTATGGTTGTGGCTGGAGAAGCTGTGGCTGTGGCTGCCACATATGGCTGACTCATTGCTTATGTCAGTCACCCGAATCGCGGAATCTCCCGGCTAAATGACTTGCTGGCCCAGAGTCTGGCATGCAGGCGAGGCGAGGATCCTCCATCGCCCACGAGGAGCAGAGACCCATCCCCCTTGTACAGACCCAGCAAATCTGCATGGTGACATCGATGGCTCACCGTGATATTCCTTCGCAGTCTCGCAAAGCCCTCGTGTGCTTCCCTCGGTGCTTCACGGATGCCACCGTAGCAGTGATCGATGGGTGTTTTGTCACACCGTGCTTTGTCTTCTGTTGAACACTGCGCACCCTAGTGCTCCCACCGTTGAAAGCGTCTTCAAATGCCTTCTGGGTGTGATGTCGCAACTGTGCGACTTTGCCAAAGATTTACCAAGACTCGGGGTTCTTGGCTGTAAGCGTGTGCGAGTCAGTTCGAAGAGCATTGTTTCCCTTTTCGTTGGAAGTGCCCTCGGCGCAGAGATAAAATACGGCGTCTCATCACCACGGCACGATAGCTCACCTCTGAGAGGAATGCGGTGGCCTCGCAAGACAGGGTTAAGCGCTACTCGTCCTCCGTCGCGGTCGAAGCACGGAGCCTCAACGAAGAATGAACAGCACTAATGGGAAGCCACGGAAAGCCAACGTTTACTTGATAGGTCTCAATTGCGATGGGCTTGATGTGGCTGTTGATCATAGTGCAGGTCTTCAGACGATCTGTGGGCTACTCCGGGGTATGATACCGGGTTGTAACATCATGTTAGCCAGTCTCGAGGTCGATATGAACTCCGCCTAGCACATCTCGAGGCAAAGGTTCTGGTATGAAGGGCAAGGTGAAGCCTTCGAATTGCGAAGCACGGGCGAAAGTCGTCCCAAGTTCGCCAAAATTCGCATAGTGAGCTTGGAAGTCCGTGAGTGCAGGGGTTGAATGGTTCGTGCTTCGACGGTGGGTAGGTTTCGAGACGAGTTCTCACCATCAATCCTGGACGTCTCAAACAAGAAACTGCATTACCGAAAATGTCACCTATTGTAGCGCTTGTGCAACGTCACCCGGCGAGCGGCCCCTCGCTTGGACTGATCTACAGAGCACCAGGGAAAACGACGGATGTGATGCAGGCTGACTGACCACCTCCCGAAGGCACAGCAGGGGTCGGAGATGTAAGATGCAGCAGACGATTCGCCAGGCGAATGGACGGATGGGGCTCTTTCCCAATGCGGATTTTATTTCTCTGTATGCACCGTTACTCACGACTGTGGAGCGCAGTGCTCAAGCCACGTGTTGTCCGGGGAGGGTTTGCTGGTTGCTGACCGTATTAGCGATTACTTGGGATGTCTCGCATCGGTTTTCGGTTGGTCAAGGATACAGACAGACCACTCATCAAAGTCCCTTCTCGGTAACAAGTCACTACTCGTATGGCAGTGACGGCTGTTGGACGCCCGTGCAGAATCACGTCTTATTCTGCAGGCTACGAGAAGCAATCTACATCATGAGCCCAAGCAAGGTCGATTTCTGTCTGAAATGCCCTCCATACGTGGTGGTGGTGGTGGTGGTGGTGGTGGTGGTGGTGGTGGTGACGCCGTGTTGTAATGTTGAGCTGCTTATGTGAAGATGTACCTGTAACATGTCTGGCTCCGCTCCGCTCAGAGAATATTCTAGAGACTCGCCAAGTATCCAGAGGGAGCAATAACATTGCATTAGAGGGCCCCCGGCACTCGTACATGTACAAGCAGATGAATTGATCCGATGCCAGCCACCAACCGCCGCCTTCCCAGCCCAAGATACGGAGTCCTGCTATCAGTCTATAGATCGGCCGATTGACAGTCAGGGCCTGTGGGCCTGCATCTTAACTTCAGCGCAGTTCGGATCGCGGCAGTTGGCTGGCAAATGTCACCATGTCAACTACAGCCCATCCAGTACCGGGCGGCGGTGTTGGAAGAGCTCACCGGAAACCCCTTTGCAGAGGTACAATACCAGAAAAGGGTTAACAGGCCCGCCAGTCGACTTTTGTTGCAGGACGATTTCATGGTTGCTCAGTAACGGATCGCTCTTAGGCAGATCTTGGTTGGAAATGTGCTATTGTACTCCGTACTAAGCTCCGTATCTGATTACGTTCTTTTCCATAGTTCAGCCACATGGACGGGCTTTTTCCTTTCAGACAAGCCAAGATATTCATCAACATCATGAAAACCTTCATACGTGGGAAGAGTATGCAAAATAAGTGTTCCTGTTCAATAATCCCCAGCACATCACATGCACATACTCATGGGAGGTCGCAACTCCCAAGGACAAAGCACCACCCACATCCTCGATGCAGCGCATCCCACCTTCGCTAAAAGTGCACAATCAAAACGATCACAATCGTACCTGTGAAGGTTGGTATCTCGCTGCCCTTCTGGTTGAAACGCCATAGATAATAGTCGAAGTCCCAAATTCAAGAGGAAAAATTCCGGTTTCGTGTGGATCTCGTATTGTTGTTACAATGAATCTTCAAATGAATGCAGGGCGAACTCAGAATTGAGATCAGGAGCATTCTTGTCAAAGTACGAGTCTGAGGGATGGTAAAGAATGCCCGTTGATGAGAAGGCATCGAACTTGTCGAACTTGTCAGGCATCAACATCTCACTGAACGACTGATCTTGACACGCGCGGAGGGCATTGAGCTCGGCATTGAGCTCCGAGATCCGGCCAGTGAGACGGCCTACCTCGTCTGCTTGACGGGTATACGACTGCAGGAGGTCCTGGTGCTTCTCGTGGAGATCCTCTAGCTGGCGTTCCAGACCTTTGACGTGCTTCTCCTTGCGTTCTCTAAATGCTCTCTGGGATGCTCGATTTTGAGCGCGTCTTCTCTGTGAGAGTAGTTAGTAAAGATGACTGTGTGCCATAACCGCTTGGAACGCGAAACTCACCAAGTGCATGTTTGGGATGGTCTCCTTTTCCTTGGCGGGAGCTGACGTACTTCCTCTGCGCCTTCGCCGTCGGTCACTCTGGTCCAGTGAGTCCGAGTTGCTGTAGTCTACAGGGATCTGAGTTGTTTGCGTGGTCGAATAGTAATTTGACGAAGATGCTGGATATCGGAACATGTCGTACTGCATAGAAGCAGAGTTGAACATGATTTGACTCATTTGCTGAATTGCATTGGTCAATGGCACGTCCGAATCCACGGGCTACATGAGTTCACTTACATGTGGCGAGTCGGGGCTTGAGCCCTCAGAAGTACTGTCGAAGTAGGGTCCCGCTGCAAAGAGTGACTGACTCGGTGATTGTGAAGGTGAGCTGACAAAACCAAAGTCCATATTGAAATCGTTCTGGAGTAGCGATGCCACTCAAAATCGAAGCGGTAGTCGGTGTCTTTATCGTGGAATCAGGTCTCACGGCTATGAAGATCTTGTGAGTTGAGTAAGCGTTGGATCATTCAGGGTGAAGAGGAATGTGTAGGGTATTTCAGCATGGTCAATTCTCTAGCGACGGGATCTCGACACTGTCAGCCATTATCGACGCTATGAGTAGCTCCGTGAGGCTACCCTGGATCTGCCAACGCTAGCTTCTGACGGGGGTTTGTTCAGCCATTGCTGCAACCGTTGCAGACTCACCAACGGTGTCGTGCGCAAGCATTGTGTTGACCGACGGGAAAATGGATGGACCGGGAAGGCTCCACGCTAAATGGTCGCGCACCAAACTGTGTAGGGTAGTCTGAGATGCGAACCTGATTGGCGCATGCGAGGTCCTGGCAGGTCAAGGCTCTACTATCGTAGAAAGGGCAGAAGCACTGGCCCCAGGCCCATGGTCAGCACCAGACCCGGAGGGGACCACCGGCACGAGTACAGGGTATTGGGGAAAAAGAGTCTGCGGATGAAGGCGTATTCAGGGTAAGGTTTCGACCTATCCAGGCCGCGCCCACTAGCCTGCCACTGCCAGCAATCTTCGTATTGTCAACGCGGGGCTACCGCACAATATGAAACCAATATTGGCGGCTGCTCCGTGGACTCAGAGGGGGGAAACGCCTGAGAAAAATGCAGACGTGGCTATACTTCGCCCGACTAGGAAACTGCTCTAACGCCAAATGAGACTGGGCAGGAGATCGATGGCTCCTTAGCTCCTGTGCAACATCGGACAATTGCCGGTTGTTACCCGCACTAGGAGATACGCCAATCTGCTGAGTGAACTGCGTTGAGTGAAGTGTCTCCGGGTAAATTCGCTCGGCGGCAAATTAGTCGCAAGAAGACAGACTCGATCGTTGACCTGCAAAATAGGCACTCCTCGAGTCCTCAACGACTGAGCGGAGTCCGGGTACGTACTCTTGTCCTTGGATAGGGAGAGGGGTATCCGTACGGAAGCACCACGGCCCTCGCTGCACAGACTTGAGGCAGACCTAGGCGGATCCGTCTCGTCCAATTATGATGGCTCAGGGATCCAGGGATTTGTGCCTTGATCATGTAATACGATTTCTGCTTACCGATACGCCTTGGCAGCGTAGTGCAGCGCCAGACGCACTTGGGATGCAACCAGTCCACGGCCTGCTCGCTGCCGACTGGTCGGTTCGATAAAGTATGTTCACACCCCCTGGCACTTTCCTTAAGCGGCAGTTTGTGGCGTTTTTAAGTGCTATGCGGAAAACCGGTCATGGTGCAATGGCGTTCGCGCAGCAGATGAATCATGGTAGACGGATATTCCAACCCGCTTGACTCGATATAGCAATGGGAAACTTCGGACGCAATTTGCTCTTTGCGCGATCCTTAGCGGACCTGCACGAAAAAAAAAATACGGGCTTGGGACCAATGGAGAACTCTGCAGTCGACATGGGTCTTTTGCGCCCCGAGGCGTTCGTGTACGGCCATGGGATAGTCATGTGTCTGTCTGCAGCTCGGCCGGCGAGAGGCTGAAAAGTCGACCCAAAGATGCGCCAAGCAGGACACATTCCTTTTGCAGTAAGCGCGTCGATTGACCACGTCCACAAGCTAGTGTAAAAGTTCTGGAAGTTGATGGTGGTCTGGGATGCTCCATAGGGATGGTACAATTGTTGGCAGGGTCCATGTCTTCTCTCAGAAGGGCAGTTGGCAGTGTCCGTGTGTTCTCTCGAAGAGGCAGTTGCCAAGTGGAACTGCTACTATTCATTGATATTGCCTTGCAACGCGGCCAGGAGATAGAATTGTACTCCATACGGGGGCCCTTCATGTTGGTCCTAGGCCATCGTCGCCCTTCTAGCTGCACCTACGGCTTTTTGCCTGCCGGGTTGGTTTTGATCGTTTCGTGTGACGCGAGGCCTTCGCTGTCTCAGAATATGCCGCCTTATCCGTTGTATCCTTTGGTGTGTCGGCGAAGTTTGTACTGGGTGTAGTAAGAGATAGGCAGACGGAGCTCATCACCATTGAAGAAAGGGTCAGTCTGCGAAAGGACAAAAACAAATATCTGTAGAGACCCTGTAGATCGTTTGTCCGCTAGTCAACGGTTCCCCATCTCGAGACCCTGATTGTCACCGGTTCAGCCCTGGGCCAAAATTGCCCAGTTTCTAGAAGCCTAGACACGTTGTCGAATGCACTTGCGACATTGATGCTGACATTCAAGTCCGTAAGTCGTGCGAGCATGTTTCGGCGTTGCAGAATGTGGGCAGAGTCTTCCTTACTCCCATAGAGAGAAATTGTGTTGTCGCTGCAGGAGGGGTCATACCTGATGAACACCAAAGAATGGAAATGCCAAAGAATTCGGACCTGTAAGGTTTCATCAGAAGTTCGCCAATTGGAGATGATCGGGAATCTTTGGCACTCGGATTGCGCCAAAGCGTCCATATGCCGCAGCCCTTGTTCACGGCAGAGGGCGCTCACGAATTCAGTACTTCCACCAAGTCCCAGGTAGCCTTTTATCGTATGGCATCTGGTAATTGAGGAAGAGGCATCCCCAGGGCTCGTTCTTACCTAATACCTGCAGGCACAGACAACATGATGATGCTTGCCCAGTCCATCATCCACCCACCTCTACCAGAACTGTCCTACAGCCCTGAATCTTCATCTCCATCTGCTGCTCAAGTACGACCAAACCCCTCCAAGACAGAACCTCAACCTTTCAGGATAAGAGCAGCTACAACCGGGCCCTGCTGCTCCAGTTGTTGAGGCCCAAGAACCAACAGTTGTTCATCTATCTCACGATCGATAAGAGTCTTAAAACGCATACTAGGACTCGACGTGAACATGAACGTGGCTTCCCTCCATCTCCTTTCAGACCATTGCGCAATGAGCCATGTTTTTGGAAAGGGATTGCCTTTGTATGCAAATCGGTTTCGAGCTGGACAGTCCAGACTAGGAGATGGAGGCACTGAAATTCGTCTCCCATGCCGCTCGTAGACTCGGCATAAAGCCACCAGAGTCAGATCCACCATCTCAGCCTCCACAACGACAGAGTCGCACAACATGCTTCTGGCAGAGCGCCTTTAACTTGCTGTCTATGAACAGGAGACTTTCCTAAGTCCGCAATACTCGATTGGCTGATAACAGTCCATGTATCTCCGCAGAAAGGAAATAGTCAACCACACAGCGTATATAACTGAAGTCCTCAGATCAAGATCAACTTATCAGCCTTTCAAATCCAGACCTGGTGCCAAAAAAGAATCGTTCTGTCCGAGGACCGCGACAAGTGTCAACGCAGCAACAAGTATATCAACCTCTCGATCGTCCACCACCAGCAAGCCACCCAGCTCAAACTTTCCACTCGCACTCTCATAGCGCCCAACCTCGAATCGCTTCCCCGCCACAGCCTTGCACAGTGACAGCCGCCCACTCAACGCCATAGGCTTACCCCAGAACGTGGAGTCCTTGGAGAAACCCGACGCCGATGCGCGAGATGATGGAGCGTGTGACGAGGTATCCCAAACATACGCCACGCTGTCCTTGGTGAACATCTGTGCGCGCGAGCGATGCGATAGCGGCTCAACCTTGATCTCGTGCACACTGTGCGTCGAGCCTGCAGGGAAGATGATATGCACGGTGCCGAAGTTCAGGAGGTGCGTGCGGATCTCAGCTATGGATGAACTAGTCTCCATTCCAGGCTCTCTTTCTGCTGTGGATGAAGGTGTATCAACAACAGTGAGATGCGACGCCACAAACTTTGCTTCTCCGTTGATAGCCCACACTGGTGGAAAGACCGGGTTCGCGCGCAGAGTCGATTGGGCCAACTCCTGGAACTCCGGCGTAATGTCTTCGTGGAATAGCGCATGTAGCCGGGCTGTGAGATCGAGGATTTCGGAATGCTGGTTCGTCGCAGCCAATGTACGAAGATAGAGGATCCTCGTAGGTCGAAAGGTGACGGATTCGTCGATGGGGAGATCTCGCATGTCTTTGCTTTTGCTGGCCATGGTTCAGAGGACTTTGCGGGCAGCGCGCTTGGCGGTTGGTGGTTTGTGAACTTCGAAACCATATGAGATGATAGAGATGCGTATGTCCGTGTCGAACAATAATCTCCCTAATATACTGCCCTCACAGTAAGCTCTCAGAGTCCCAAGCGAACCCAAGCGAACAGGCATGTTGGTCACATGCGCCCTTCCTCTCGAGAAATCGCCATTGCTGCAACTTGCATACCACCTCTATGGAAGCCAGGGCGCGCAGTCAGCGAGGACTACATTCTATTTTTAAAGTCAACTCTCATGACAATTGCATTTTGGGGTCGAGGAGGGGAGCTAATCGGCGTCTGTTGTATCATCAAGTAGACACGGCACTTGAGACGATCAGTTCGTACTCGGAAACTGAAAACGGAGCTAGTCAGTGTAGAGTCGAGTAGAGGGATTTCGGCAGACTCGGACAAGAGTTGACCGGCTTTTGAGATCGACCCTATTTAGGTACTAGCTAGTGTGGAAAGTAGTCGGATACAGATAACTTCATTTGATACCATGGGGTGTGTAGACGTTGGTTTCGGTCATCCGATCTTGAGACCACCTCGTAAGCGAGGAGGCTACTAAATCATTTGACAGATGGAATCGGTTGCGCACCACCCTGTCACCTTCACTTAGGCATATATGGCCGCTGCTAAACCAGCCCGAAAGTACTCGACCTCGATCGTCACGAAGGAAAGAAAAGTCGAATCATCCCGTCATCATCGTTTGACAGGGGTGAGCTTGACGTTCAATGGCTGCAGATGCCATAGGATCTGGCCTGGATAGTCAGTACCGAATAGGGCGGACAATGACATACCGCGCCGATTTCAGCCGGGTAAACAAACAATGGGAAGATCAAGTGGGAGAAATTTGAACGCAAAATAGGAGGAAGTACTCCGTATATGTGGCGTGAGTGTTGCGCAGTGCTTGGCTCAGCCAGTTTTATGATTCAAATGACCCCGACGCGTCTATCAAAGGAAGAGTTGGACGTGGAGAGCGATGTGTAGCCGAGTGGATTCACATGTTTTTGTGCCAACTGTGTGCTTTTGATGTGACACGATGGTATTGGACCTTCGCGATACACGTTAGTCGCTATGGAAGAACATGAAGATCTTTGGACATGTGTCATGGACATCCTTCAAGAACTTGCCTTGTTCTCTGCATTGCTCCGCTCGTATGACGAGAAGTTGATTGGATTGGCTTGCCTCTGTCAACCCTGAGATCTGCGACCATGGACACACGCTTGGCGGGTTTCGACAATGGACGGATCTGAGAGTGCCACGAGGCGACAGGCATTTGCATATTTAGCCCCTGCTGAAGCAGGGATAAGTTGGGATACCTTGTATTCAGGGCCAGGCTCTGGTCAATGACAGCCTGGACTCCCCATACAATAGTTGATCATCTTGTTGGAAACTTGTGAATCAAGTATTCGTTCCACGTATGGAAGATCTCATATCGGGGCGAAAAAGCTGTGTAAACTCCTGAGTCTCATCACGGCCCCATCAGTGGGGGAGAAAGTGAATTAACGATATGTTTCAAGGGACCGCGCCTGCCGCCGTGGTCACGGCACGGGCCATGAGGCGAGGGCGAAACGCCACAGAGAACAACCGCTTCCCTTGCCAGGCAGCCAGCCAGCCGGCCAGGGGGGCGAGGACGGGATAATAGACGGATTATGGAGGAACTGAGGGCCGGTAGGCGGACAGATCAGGCGATCTCGCAACCCAATGGTGGTGTACTTCACTGAGTGCAGAGTACAATAGACTTCCGCCGGTGGTTTGCACGATGCGAGGTGGGTATCATGACAGCCCGACGCCGGCGTTTCCGAGGTCTGCAACCCTAAAGGACTCACTCAAAGCAATATGAATATTAGAATTTGGGAGCGACAGGCACAGGTACTGCAATCATCGAAGGCTCTCAGGGCGTAAAAGGTGTCACGTAGCACAATCAACAAGGGGAGAAATAGGGGAAAATTCCAGTGGGAAACACATGTGCAGAACACGTGCATTCCAGTTCCACGCTAGTGCGTCTCGGGTCTAGCGCTGTTTGGCAGCGATAGCGGGCGCAGATCACAATTGATACGGAGCACAATGAGATGAGTTACACAGGCTGGGGATGGGGAAGGGCATAGACCATAGGACGCTGTAGAGACCTCAGACCCGGTACCTGTGATGGATGACAACAGCCTCACAGGACACAGACACAAATAACCATCGCAACCTCGCCGGCCTCCTGCCACTCGACAAGCAGCCCCTTTTGTTCCTCTGCGGAGATGGCTGTCGATCCCTGTGCATTGCGGCGTCGCCGGCGCATGGCTGTCCCCTACTAGCCGTGTCTTTAGGGTCCTTGGAGGCTCTCTAGGCTCTGCAAGTACCTGGATAGACTGTGCCAGACTCCGCCGTGCTCCCATTCCTGTCAGTCAAGCTGGCCCCTTCTCTGCCTCTGACTCGCTCGCCATCGACGGCTCTTACCACCGCCTCCAAAAAGACACTGGGTCCTGCTCTTCCCCCGGCCATTCATAGCTTGACCTTGTGTCAATCGCGGTGAATAACGAGTGCTACCATTCCACCGCAGTTCTCCATCCCAGCATCTCTCTTTTCCCGACTCTGACCACGGCTACTCCCTGTCTCGTTGCCTCTATCGAGCTATACCCCCAGACCATCGAGACATCGACAAGCACCGCGCTGTGCCTCTCAAAGCCGGAGACAGGGTGTGCACTCATCACAGGTTCGGCTCAATTCCCCAGCATCTGAGCTACTAGCTGACGAGCGACCTCCAGCAGTTTCCCTCCCTGCCTTTCTTCGAGCGACACGAATTCGGCTGCTGGTTCTAACCTGAAGCCATCGACGACCATCCGCATACAACGCCTTTGCGCTTGTTGAGTGAACATGAGAGAAGACTAAACACAATAGTCTTCCGTTAGACGTTGAATACGACTTTTCCACACATATTCTGAGTGCCGCTGTTTGGGGAACCCTGTTGTGACGCGGCTCAAAAGATGGGGTGCACCGGGTCGAAGATCGACCCTCAGGAAAAAGAAGCGTCACAGCGGAATGCCAGGATTGAGCGTCAGTTGCGCCATGACCGGAAGGCTGAATCTCGCACCGTCAAAATCTTATTGTTAGGTATGATACCCAACAGGCGCAACCCTAGCTTGGACGATATTGACTATACACATAGGAGCCGGCGAATCCGGCAAATCCACAATCATCAAACAGATGCGCATAATCCACTCGAACGGCTTCCAAGAAGATGAAAGAGTACAAGTGCGAGCGGTCATTTACTCCAATGTGGTCGTTGCATTCCGCGTCCTGTATGAAATCATGCAAGACGAGAAGATTGAGTTCGAGGACGAGGCCAATGAAGCCCACGCCGAGTTTCTCGAGAGCATCGATTCCGATGTCGATGCTCATGAAGCATTTAGGGACAAAAGAGTCAAAGAAGCAATGGTGACTCTGTGGAAAGATGCAGGAGTACAAAAGGCCGTTGCTAAAGGACACGAATTCGCACTACATGATAACCTCAACTTCTACTTCCAGAACATCGATCGAATGTTCGAACCAGGTTGGACACCGAATGACCAGGACATGTTGCACGCACGACTTCGCACCACGGGAATTACCGAGACTGTCTTCGAGCTGCGCGAATTGACATTCCGAATGATGGACGTCGGAGGTCAAAGATCAGAACGTAAGAAATGGATCCATTGTTTCGATGGTGTTCAGTGCTTGCTTTTCATGGCAGCTCTGTCTGGATATGACCAATGCCTGGTGGAAGATGTGAACGCCAATCAAATGCATGAAGCTCTAATGCTGTTCGAATCTCTTGTTAACGGCGAGTGGTTCAAAGACAAGCCAATCATTTTGTTTCTCAACAAGATCGACCTTTTCCGCGAAAAGTTACCTGTTTCGCCCCTCTCGGCCCATTTCCCGGACTACACTGGAAAAGAGGGCGATGAGGAGGCATCGAAACAATTCTTTGCCAACCGTTTTAAGTCCATCAACAAAAACAGTGATCGAGAAATCTACATCCACTTCACCAACGCCACCGATACCAACCTTCTCAAGGCCACCATGGAAGATGTGCAGGATATCTTAATCCAAAAGAACCTTCAACGGCTTGTTTTGTAGTGCTGGCTACCAAAAGCTTTCTTGCCGCTTTCTTTCACGCTATTACCTCCGGGCGGCGCGAATTACGAATTTCTAATCATTGAACAAGATGACCAAATCCATGTCCATCATCCTTGCACAATGTTTAACGTATGCTTCGGATCTGCGGTATGGGTGACTCTTCTTTTCCGGGAGGCTGGTCTTCACACTGTCACTCGACAACGACTTATCTCCACTATCATCACTTTCTCGGCAGCGCTGGCGAAAGGGGCTGATTTATGGGCGGATCACCGCATGTTTTTCATTTCCAATTGGAAGTCAGGATATTGGTGGCGCACAGCACGAAATAGTTGGTATCCTCGTGGGCTGCTGTGTAACTACATCCCACCAGAGCAAGAACTGTCCGACCGAGGTGGCAAACAATGAACTCGATCTCAGGAGTCAAAAGCAGAATGGCACACCTTGTACATGATTTCTCTTTTCTTTTTCTGCTTGTCTGCTTAGGTCCGAGACAAAGAGAGAGACTGATTGAATTGATGGGCTGAATATTACGACGGAGCATAATGGGGTTCGCTGTTTTTTATTTTTTGTTCTCTTTCCCCTGTTCGACCGGTCGACCGGGGTTGCTGATGACAGATGCCCGCCCGACCGCAGATATCTCTATAAGCAAAGCAGTCAGGTTCCAGGAAGAAAGCCGTATTGTTTTGTGTCCAGTCTGCCAGGTGGAGAAAGGAGGGAAAAAGGAAAGAAGAAGGTAGTTTCTCCTCGGACGGTGGTGGTTGATTCGAGGTCCTCAATGTTCTCGGACACGACGAACGTTTGTGCGTTTTCAGTGTGCGTTTTCACACTTTTTACGTACCCTCGATTCGCCCCTTTCACGTCCGAGCAGAGCAGAGCAGAGCAGAGCAGAGCAGGGCAGGGCAAGGCAGATCACAGCAGATCATGGCAGATCCATAGCAGAGTAGAGCAGATCACAGCAGATCAAATCAAATCACAATCATCAGATGGTCCCAGACATCACAAAATCAATCGTACACCCAATGTCGGAAAGTAGGAAAGGTAGGTATGTACCTGGCTGCCTGCCTGCCTGAGGTAAGGCATGTAGATAAAGAGAAAAATGTGTGAATGATCCCAAGTGCAAACTGGTCCGTCCTGTCGCCAACTGTCTACCTATCAAGCATCATATACCTGACTCAGAGCTTAGGGAGACAAACAAACAGCCACCTGAACGACAAACTATTCGAGAGTCAAACAACCCATATTGAGTACCGGGGAGAGAGAGAGAGAGAGAGAGAGAGAGAGAGAGTGTGTGGAATAACCAACCGACTACAGGGACCCAAGGTAGGTCGTCAATTATCAGACAAAAAGCGCCGGCGCAACACTAACTACTATCCTGATGTACCGCCGTCCTCATCAAGTACCCGAAAAGGAACCCACAGAGCTACAACTCCTCTTATTCCCGTTCTTCGTCATAGTCGTCGTCGTCCTCATTACCATCATCGTCATCGTCATCCTCCTCCTTCCCCTCCCCAGGCCCGTTGGAAACCCTCCTTAGTAGACCCCATACTCCGTACCTGTTGTTCCTGTACGTGTACTCGTATTCTTACTAGTACTAGGCTGAAGATAGATCAATCAAAACAGCCTCAATGACTATTCTTCCCGTCGCCCTTCATCTTATGATACAGATCGCTGGCCAGGGAAGTCGAAGGTCGTCGCTCTTCCGACATCCTCGTGCCACCCGTGGGCTCTAAACCGAAGATGCTGTCTTTCCTGGTGACGTCGCTGGCGACGGCGACACTGCCCTTCCTCGCGTTTGCAGTGGCGGAGCCGCCTCCTGCGACGGTGACAGATGCACGACGGTTCCCGTTCGCCTTGTCGTCCGCGACGTTTTGGACGGCCTGCGCGGCCGCCGCGGCGTTGGCGTCAAGCGAAGCCTGCGACGCACGCCGGTCGCTTTCCATGGCGTTCGAGGCCGCGCTGTGACGTCGGTAGAAGCCGCTGTGGCGGCGGAGGAAGTCGTCGTACGTCGCGTTGGCCTTGTATCCTGCTCCGCCGGTCAGGGCGTGCGGCATGGTGAATGCGCCAGACATATTGGACGTTCAGAGAGAAATAGTCCAAATGAAAAAGACGGCTGTCCTTGCAGGAAACTTGCGCAGCAGCACTAAAGGATAAATAGTAGTGTAGTTGCTCTGTTTCGATGCAGGTCAAATTGATTCGAAAAGTTCCACAGCTTGTAACCCAGCGTTCGTACGTGATGGTATGTTAGAATGATCCAGTATAGGATGAATTCTCGCCGCGATTAAGAGAAAGGAGACACGCATGCAACGAGCGGTCGACGTGACTGATGTCGAAGGGTGCTATTCCGCAGGAATAGAGATGGGTGTCTGTTGAGGAGCTGGTTGTTCAGTGACACGACAAAAAGTATGGGCATCATGTGCGCAGCTTTTAAACCATTTTCTCGCCTCCTAGTCACCGTCGCTAGATTTTGCCTTCAATGTGAGCCAGCATGCCTGACATGGTCCAGCCTCAGAGAGTGGTCACGCTCCTTGATGGTGCCACCCCGCATCGTATCAAGGCTGAGCTGGACCGTTCGATGGATGAGAAGGAGCGAAGGTTCCGGCTTGCATTACTGCCAGCCAGTAGGTGACAAGTGGCGCCGCAATACTCGGGAAAAGAAATCGTAACTGGTGGGTGGCGACAAATAGAAAGGCGGGGAAGTTGTAGCTGGGGTCAAGGCTGGCGAGCAAAAGGCCGAATCTGAGTTCGTCACAGAATCTGCTGCTTACCACGTCAGCCATAATCACCATCCGTGCTGCAGAGGTTGAGGCTGAATACGCAGATAACGGTGGTGGCACATGTCTGACAGGACGTTGGCTGAAGTATATGGCCAGTAGTGGCCCGTTTGTCGGCATGAATTGCTCTTGAATGCGACGATAACAATAAGCCAGTCCCTGGAGAATCGTGTGACATTCGTTCCAATTCCTGTCTACATGGCGGCGATCGGACCATCAAATCCAGGACTTCCAGGTCTTTCCTCAAGACACCTGATGGAGGTGTTGCTGCGGCCGGCATCGTGGCCGGCATCGCTAATCAGGTCTGCCTCTGATCAGAGAACCTACCAATCTCTTGTAACCGCGAAAACGATTGGTGGTCAAATCCTATGCTCTCAAGGAAACGCCAACAACTCCTTGATTGGTTGGATAGCCACCGGAAGTGGGATATCCGAAGCTGCCAAAGTCTGGGTGAAATGTGCGAGCACCATTGTTGAAATTCGATGTTCCAGGTCTTGTTTCACCACCATGTGACAGATGAGTATGACCCAGTACAAGACACCGGGGCATCGACCCCATAGATGTGCCAAATCGGTGCGGCGAAGTATGTGACTTAGTGCTCTGGACTTGGGCACGAGAGGAGCCGCTTGGGATATAGAGCAACCGTCGCCCTCTGCTTCGATCATCAGGCTGATGACGATACAGCATGCCTCGTATCTTAATTCACCCTCCTGGTGGCAGCTAAGTGATTCCACATATGATTCATTGCTCACATCTATTTCCAACCGGTCTTGTTGTAGTAGAACTCTCATAGATGCAGTATGGGCAGCAACGTCCTCGCCACTTCGATAAAGTCTGTACCAGGTTTGAAAGCTAAGAAGGAGACGCGTAACCTTTGGTGGCATTTCAGCACCAAGAGCCATCCGCCACAACGCCACATTTGGACAGTATAGAGGTGAAAGCCATCCCGTTTGTGCGGGAGCCTTGCTGGAGTGTAGCTCGAACTTTTGGAGGATCTTGGACCAGCTCTCTTGAGTCTCCTCCGAATTGGCCAACATCCAATGGGCGTATGATAGAACCTTGGTCAAGAAGATATACCGTCCGTCTGTGGTCACGAGCCAGGCAGGATCTTCTTGCATGCGCATGAGTTTTGTAATAGCCCTGTAATGCATGTCATATTCCCGAGCAATCTTCTCTCCAAGTGCTCCTCCACGTGTGGGAGGCAATTGATCGGAAACATTGTCCAGCGATGACCGCGCCAGCGACTGCGATTGCGTCGTTTCATCCGCGCTGGACGCCGTGACTTGGCACACCATGGGAACTCCCAAACTCATAATTGCAATCATGTTGTCGAGAGTGGTAGCCTGGCCTGGCTTCGCCAGGGCAGAGTTGACTTTCCTGATCACTATTCCCTTCAGTGACAGCAGGCTAGCACGCGAGCCGTGGCCAGTCACTGCGTGCCGATAGGTAGAGTAGAGGAGTAGGCAGCCGGCATATCTGCTCTCGCAGCAGTCACCACTCCGTAAGATGGTGTTTCGGACAAAGGCCTCTCCAAAGAACAGGTGCATGTCATGCTTGAGGGAGGAAAGGTAATTAGAGTCGTCGCTCGGGATGGATAATTGAGGAAGGATATGAAAGGCATCGTGGGTAGAGCCCAAGTAACAGTCAAGCGGCGCAGCTTGCCTAGGCGAGGAGAGACCTACAACTGGGGGTGACCTCTGACATAGAGAGCCGCAAGAATTGTCCGAGGAAGAGGGAGTATGGCTGTGACCAGCGGAAGTCGGAGTGGAGAGGGAGGTCAAGGTTGGTTTGTCGGCGGATTGTCCTGCTCTGGACCTCCTGTGTCCCCACCAGGACGCATGTCGTCTGGCAAGCCGCCGGGCCTGAGGGGTTAGCAGCTCGGTCTGTGAATTGATGAAGAGTATTGGCGGTCGCGAGGTATCTTTTCGACCCTGACCATTAGCCATAGTGGCCTGGGGGTCCTTTGACAACCACTCAGCTGCGACTGTTCCGGGGCCACAAAAACGATCTCGATGAGCGAACCTGATCTTGGTGTTGCTGCGTCACTCCCTAAAGCTCGAGATGAATGGTTCGTGTGAAGGCTCATGCAGAGCGAAACGAGCTAGGTGGAAAATTCCATCAGGGAAACCAAGTCTGGCGTGTCTCTTCGTAAGCAAAAACACATGCAGCGAGGCTGAAAGATAGCAGGGTCTGCCCTCGGGGAAGATCGGATTATGTAATGACAGAGGCTAAGCCATGTTGGGAAGTTGCAAGGGTGTCAAAACGTCTCTCGACATCGGACTCTCATTCATCTCTAGAGTGCCACATTATGTACTCCGTATGGGAGCAACAAGCTACAATGCAGGCGACTTTGAGGCGTCAGGCTCAACGCAGTACCCCTCAAGCTCCATAGCTTACGCCGAAAAGCTCTTCGTAGATTGCTTTGCCCAGTTCGAGTCCGCTGGCTGGGTTTTGGCCCGTGATGAAGGTTCGTCCATCTGCGCTCTTGCTAACCACAACATGTCCTTCAAAGGGGTTCTGCGCCTTTTCGTATTTGCCGCCGGTCGCCTTGTCAAGCTCGGTTTCCACGCTCCATGGCTCCACGATGCCGGTGGATGGGAATAACAGCTCGCACTCTTTGTTGCTCACTCCAACAATCTTGTGACCATCAAGGATAAACTTCCCATTGGATGGGTTCTTGACGTGCGCGTAAGCGGCAGAGCCGTGGCAGACCCCAGTGAGGAGCTTATTCTGATGGTAGAAGTCAAGAATCACCTCCTCGGCGGTTTTCGAGTCAATTACGTCGAACATGGCTGTGATGAATCTGGTCAGCCACATCTGGCAGACGGCATGCGACAAAAAATCTATGCTTACGACCATAGCCTCCGATAAAGCAGATGACGTCAAACTCATCTGCTCTTCCCTTGAAATCTTCGAGCTTCCCAGAGTTCTTCCAGAGTTCTTGCTTGGTCTCGTAGAACCGTGCGCAAATCTCATCGTTCTTGAAGACGTCAACCGACTTTGGGTCCGGTGGCGCATTTGATCCAAGATAAGAGGCAATTGTGATCCTGCAGGAGGGTTCCAAAATTTCGAACGGGTGAGCCAATTCGGGCTGTGAAATATGGTGATTACTTGTCTAATAAGCGGCTGTAAACACTTACCAGATACCATCCCGGCTCGTGGGATGAGATGACCATGAGGACAGCAGGCTTTGCGGATGCCATTGTTGATCGTGACCAGGACGAGGCCTGCAGGGTTCTGTACTTGTGGAAGACTTCGGGTTTGCTGATGAGATGTGTATTAGTCGTTGGGAGTACTGTTTGAATGATGGTTTAGTAGATTGCAATGGCATTCTGATCCTCTTTATAGCCTGGCACCTGTGGCACTGTTGTTGGCGATGTCTATAACAGGTAAGTCCGTACTGAAAAGCTTCGGAGCTACATCTACGAGTTTCGAGCATCGAGGCATCTTCGATATATGCCAAGTGTTGGGAGACTCAATGGTGCCAAAGACAATGGTTTCATGGAGTCCCTGGAGATACGGAATACCCCTTTGGGTGGTGAGTTCAGAGGTCAGGTACGCCAATAAAGAGAAGGATTCTCTGTGCTCGGTCATAGCGTGTGCCATATGCAGATGTGGTTTGTCAATACGCGGTGAGAGAATTTGCGACTCACGTACAACTTGCACCCAGCAACCCTTGCAAATGCCTAGATAGGCATAGTTTCTCTATGATGGAACAAAGAGTTTCCTGCTGACAAAGAACCCGCGCGGACTCCTTTCTCCTGAGGACGAGGTACAAGTACGCATGGACACTTCCCCGTGAACCAGGGTCTTGCATGCGTAGGGACATCATTCTTGATTATCTACGGTCGTCACAAGCCTAGGCGGTATCATCGAGGATTCACACCATCTCTACCTTGAACAGCAATACTCCACTTGCATGGAAACGAAGGCTAACCTATTTCCCTCGCATTCGTACCGCAGCCGTTGTAGCCTTGCAGCTGCCAGATCTTGACGCTTTTGACTTGCATAGAGGGGCCATTTCTATTCTGCCAAGTAGGATACCATTGGTCTCTCGAGTCCCAAAATTGCTTTCTTGCAAATGGACTCGAGTTCTCCCACGGTTTACCGCCCAATCCGTCGCCGAACCAACCGTTCGTCCCGCCGACGGCCACGTCGAGGATGAGGAAGAAATTCTGGTCGAAAGGCGCGGCTTTTGTGCCGTTTGCCCAAATGTTACCCGGGGTGTCAAGACTCAGAGTTGAAAACCTTCCGAGCTCCCAAAAGGACTTGGAGAGCCCGTGGTAGAGAACCTGCAGCAGACGGCTGTCAAGGTAGGTGTACATATAGTCGGGGGTCCATTCCAAGCCAAAGGTGTGGAACTCATCGGCAAAGGTCGAATGGAGTGCTTTTTGCTTTTTGTATGTTCGCCACCAGCCATCACTCGCCATGGTTGGACCCCAGTGGAGGGTCGAGGAGATAATATTATTGCCACTGAGCGGATATGTCCAGTTGTTCCCTCTACTTTCCGCCATATCGATCTCTCCACTAGCAGGCCAGACGCCGTAAACTGAGTTGGTCGGGAAAAGCCAAATGCCGGGCCAGAGCCAGTCCCCTTGAGGTAATTTGGCCCGCACCTCGATTCGGCCGAATCGTATATTGGCTCCTGGACTTGTATTGATACGACCAGATTTAACAGGATTGATCACAGTGCCATTTGTGGTATTCGTCACGGATACGCAGTTGTCCCAACCTGTTGTGGTGCAAGTTCCTCGGTTTAACAGATTTAGACTAACATTATGCGTCATTAGATACTCATTTTGAAGAGTAGGTTTGATGTGAAGCATGTGGTCTTGAATGAAGACGTTTTCGCCGTCGCCTGTTGTCTCCTCGAATTGACCATTGCCGAAACCCCCGACCTGGACCTCCTGTAGCCAGATGGATTTGTTGAGATGTGGAGACCTAAAATCGTCCTCGTAAATAAGGCAATACTTGTGTACAGGCACATTTCTGTAGCCAACATACACGTTGACAGCTGAGACGCACAGTCCCAAGACGAGACCAGCCAGAGGGATAATACTGAGCCACTTCTGTCGAGGGTCTTTCTTTTCGCGAAGCCAAGAAACATCCCTGTCCTTGGCCTTGACTCGACGAGATCGAAAGTATACCCCTGGTTGGACCGGCTGCTTTTCTCCGACTCCAAAATTGGGTTCCACCTTGGGCAGCTGTTGGTTGATTGAACTTTGGATCTGTTGCAGAGGGTGGTGCATACCAGAGTCAGCATCATTTCTGGGCGACTTTTCGGACTCCCAACGACGGGAATCGTCTTTGGTGTTTACCCTCCTCACTCCTTCGAGAATCTCCGCCGGCGAGAGGGAACGTTCGACCTTGACACTGTCTTGGGATTCTCTTGGGCCCTCTCGTCGCCTCCAAAATTTGAGCACGTTGAGATTGTGAAGAATTCCTCCGGTGACATCAGCGGGTGTACTCAACTCCGGTTGTACGGTGCCTGAGCAACTTGAGGCCTGGGGAACCGATATCAAAGGATAGGAATGTAAGGAAGATAAAGGCCTGTGTTGGTAGCCAGCGTTCGGAGCTCCACCAGCTGGTTGCGAAGGATATGGGATGGCGATGCCGATGCCGATAGTCGTGGAGGCTGCCTGTTGAGGTAGAGAGTTTGTCCGTTCAGTGCTCGTGCCAGTCTCAGTTTCAGGCCAAATTTCCGATTGCTTGTTGATGTTCTCATCCAGGCCATGGCCGCTGTCGACATTCCGAAGACTGCTCGATTTTCCCTCGATTCCTCTTTCACTTGACTGTTCCGAGTCGGTCAGAATTTGATCGCGAAATGGATCCTGGTCTAGCGTCGCCATCTTCGCGATTTAGACCTGCTTCGTTCTTATATAACCAGCGTTTCTGTGAGCAGAGCAGTGAGCTTCCCGAAAGTCACCTTCTGAGTACTGAAGCAGCGTGGTCAAAGTAAGAGCATCTGGTGCACAAGCAAACGGACAGCAAATATCTTCGTACCTTCTCAGAGGGCTCTGTGCATCTACCTGGATTGCATGTGGTGAACTCAACATGGCTTCTGAACATGTAGTCTGTGCATTCAAGAAGACACTAGGTCCACAGGTGCTAGGGAACGACTCGGCTCCGGTAGCCGTTTCGTCGCTTGGAGCAAGACGATGGTGCAACGAAGCATTCAGAGTCAATAGTCTGGTGGGGTGGCTCAGTGCTGCGGCAACATCATTAGGTGTGAGAGCGACTTGGTCGTCTGGAACGTCCTGATGGATTCCGAGCCGTGCATACTGTGTCAAGAAAGTTGGCCCTTGCACATATGTCGCGAGACACGAGATCCTCTAAGCAAAGGACGAGATGAGGAAGCGTGCTACCTAGCATAGCTGGAAGTATATTTCCCACAGAGGGAAGGCGATTTCGGTGGAGAGGATTTCTTCGCTCTTCAAGCGATAAGTCGTTGTGACAGAGAACCGTCCGATAGTTGCATCAGTTATCTCATTACCGGGCTATTCTCAGCGAAGGTCCTGACAACATACCTCCCATATCGGCGATGGGCGCTTCATGTCCACGTGTCTCTTCATAACATCCAGGCAAAGTATTCGGAATAGTGGAAGATGTGCTTCGCAGGAACCCCACTCGGCATGTAGGTCCCATACAATATTCTGGAAAGGGCCCACAGACGCCATCGCGGAGGTGGCTGCGTGACGTGCAACGCTCGGGCCGTCCTGATGCTTTTCTCGACGTCGCTATGCCTCCTACTCGCGCTGGCGCTATATATCGGTGCTTCTCTCGGCACCAAAAGTGCCTAGAGATAGATTGATCATTATTAGGCTTTCAACGGCGTCGATTAGTGCCGACGTCGTCTGGTTGGCTACTCCACTTGAGCGAATAGGCTCACACAGGACAAATTTCTTGTGTGAGAGCCTGTCCTACCGCGAGAAAAATAGAACTAATAAGAGGACTACTAGAGAGACTATTAGAAGAACTATTATAGGGAAACTGCAATTAATGTTTATGCTTCACAATAACGTGGCGCGTTGTTGGAATATCGGAGCGGACATACGATACTCCGACATGGATCAATTGAGGTATTTATTGGCGTGATTTATGGTTGAAGCCATGTCACTAACCTCTTATGTCGACCATCACCGCCAAGGGCTAATTTGATAAACTGCCATTCCACAACACGGTTACTCCTGCATGAACGGGAAACGGGGAAGGCTGAGCGATCGCTCGGGCGCCGCTGATGTGTGTCGAGACACCGGCGAAGAGAACTGGTGCTTCCCTGTGCCGAGCTCTTACTCCGAACCATATCGCACGGACCACTGATGTAACGGCAACGTCTAAGAGCATTGGCGATGTGCAAAATTTCCGATCTGCCAACAACTGAATGGAGCGTGTAAGACGCGCTTGAAGGATGCACTTTGCCTGGAAGTCTGACCAAGTCGACGCATATCTCTCTGAGCAATACTCGAGATCAAAAAAGCGAGTTGCGCCTGAAGCGCCCACTGTCTGTACCTATTATGAATCCTTTGAGAAGGACCTTCCAGGGATCCCCAGGAAGAGACCAGGGAAAGACAGTCCACGTTTTGATTATGGCTAGCTTCCGGGCACAAAGTCGTTGCGAGGCCGACCCGAGCAACGAGGCCAATGTTTTCAGAATCCGTTCTCAGTAACGCAGCCTGGTGGGCCAAGTCACTTCAACGCCTGTCACGGAGTCAATAACAACGACCGTTTATTATTCATGGATTGATGTCGGCAAGATCCAGTTGGCATCCTTCACCCGCCCGCGTGGCAACTAGCAAATCACCTCTGTTGCCATCCGAACGATTCTGGTTTTGCCCTAGTACGAGACACATACTATTTCTTTGTGTCAATTCAGCAAGCCTCTCGACGCCCACAACCTAACTTGGCTGCCATGCTGTGGGACTAACTAGCGGGACTTTCCCAGCACGAGTATCTCTACTCGGCAACCACTGATGGCGTGAATACTGGCGCCAGCCACCAATCGAAGATCATCTATTGCCCTAAATGGACCTGTGCTGGTATGGGCTCGACCATTTTAGGCCATGGGAACGAGCACGTACCAACAAAGTCGTCCATAGGGAACAGCTTCGGTCCAAGCGGAGGACGAGGGAGCCAGATCTATGTGTTGCATTATACATTCAACGGTGATCAAAGCGCAATAGGATGTCACAAGTAATCGAGGACAAGATGCCGAAGTTCTGGCATCCACTGAGCTCGAAACGCATGCTTCCGGAACAGAATTGCCGCAAAATACAAGAAAAAGTAATATTGGAAGAGACACAAAAAAGACGGGCTCACTGGGCCAGTCCGCCGCAGCTTTTCAAGCCAGCTATAGCGACGGGCCGCTGCTTCTGATCAAGTCTCTTCCCAGGCGACATGGCGAGTCCACCAAGGACACCACGCAAATTGCAAAAGCGCAGATCGACACCCATACAGCCTACTGACCCGCCCCAAAAAGGCCGTGCCGATCCAGATTCGCCGTCAAAGGCTCTCCTTCAAGCGGGAGGATCGTCGAGCTTCGCTGTGGTAGCAGGGGAAGATGGCTTAGAGCCCTTGCCGGAGGACTCGTTCACTTCGCCGACCGCCCATTTGAGCGTTCAGGTGGAATCACAAACGGACATGTTCAAATGTATGGTCAGGCTCCTCTACTTGCGTCAACAACAGCTCCAGAACCGCTGGGCAGACGAGGATTCAGCAGAAGGCATCTTGTTGAAGACTGGTAATGGCAATTACATCTCTCAGCCTCGTGAACTTGCCGAAGCCTGCGGTGGGTTTTCTGAGCAGATGAGGAAGCTCAATGTGAAGGTATGCCTTCTTCTCCCGATTCAAACCCTGACCTACAGATTAACAATTTACCTACCTAGGTGGCGATGACGGTCAAAACGCCCGTGATACAAACATTTCTGGCGACCTATAAACCGCCATATGTACCTTACACCCAGGACCAACGGATCAGCATTCTCGATTCTATTGAAGAAGTGTGTCAAGCGCATAGACACCATTACGCAGTCTTTGTCCGTAGCACAGGATTGCTTGTAGTGTGGGACGAGGATGCAGTTGAAATTACTGACCGTGCCATTCGTATTGAGAAGCATCTGGTCGACCTGGTGTGGGCAATGAGCTCCGAACAAGAGAGAGACATACACACGATCGAGTCCGCTGAGCCCCCAAGGGAGGACGCGACGGCTTCTGTGGTCACTGCACAACCGCTTCCAGCAACACCCGCAGAAGCAGAGACCGGTGCTCCGGAGGCACCTCGACAAACCCTATTGTGGCAGGCTTTGGTGGTTGGCTGCGGCGGTTGCCTCACGGTTTTCTGCCTGTCGATAGGGTGGAGGAATTTGGCAGTCGAGATTAAAATCGACCACAGCTGGACTCGACTACTGCTGGTGGTTGCATCACCACTCCAGTTATGGCTGGGTTGGTTCTTCTTCATGACCGTGGTCACCACCATTGCCCAACTCGTCGGCCCGGTCAAACAGGTCTTCCAGAATTCGAAGTTCTACTCCGCCGTTCCCACGAAGCGCCTCCGCGACAATCTTCCACACGTGACGATTCAGTGCCCGGTGTACATGGAGAGCCTCGACAGTGTCATCAGTTCCACGGTTGCGTCGGTCAACAAGGCCATCTCCACGTACGAGCTGCAGGGCGGGAGTGCCAGCATCTTCATCAACGACGACGGTATGCAGCTTCTCCCCGAAGAAGAGGCCCGAAGACGGGTCCAATTCTACGAGGACAACAACATAGGTTGGGTGGCCCGGCCGAAGCACGCACCAAATGGAAACGCCGACGGGCAGGGTGTCTTTATCCGAGCCGGGAAATTTAAAAAGGCTTCCAATATGAACTACTGCCTCAGTGTTAGCAACCGCGTTGAAGACAAGATGGCCGAAGTCGAGCGGACGCCCACCTGGACCCAAGAAGACGAAGATCGACTATACACGTCTGCGTTCGAAGCCATCGTCAAGGAAGACCAGGGCCGGAGCTGGGGAGCCGGTAACATCCGTATGGGCGACTTTATCCTCCTCATCGATTCGGACACTCGAGTCCCTGAGGACTGTCTTCTGGACGCTGTCTCCGAGCTGACCGCGACTCCGGAAGTGGCTATAATTCAATTCTCGTCTGGAGTTTTAAACGTCACAACGAGCTTTTTCGAACGTGCCATTACCTTCTTCACGAATCTCGTCTATACCTCGATCCGGTTCGCGGTGGCTTGCGGCGACGTAGCGCCATTCGTTGGTCACAACGCGATGCTTCGGTGGTCAGCTCTTCAAGACGTTAGTTATATCGACGTCGACGGAACAGAAAAGTACTGGGCCGAGAACACAGTATCGGAGGACTTTGACATGTCACTTCGGCTCCAGTCACTGGGCTATATCATTCGGTATAGCGCGTACTACGGCGACGGTTTCAAAGAGGGAGTCTCGCTTACTGTCTACGACGAGCTCATCCGTTGGGAAAAGTATGCCTATGGCTGCGCCGAGTTGCTCTTCCACCCCTTCCACAAGTGGCCGCTCCACGGCCCTGTCACGCCTCTCTTCCGTCGGTTCATCACGAGCCCCATTAGCTGGATGGGCAAGCTGACGATGATGTCCTACATGGGGACCTACTTCGCCATTGGGTCGGCCTGGGCTTTGACGCTTCTAAACTACTTTCTCCTCGGCTGGTTCAACGGGTATCTTGACAAAGACTATGCCGAGAGTTTCAACATGTATTTCGGCCTGGTGATTGTTTTCCAAGGCGCCGGCACCGTGAGCGTTGCGGTCCTCCGCTATCGCACCGAGAACCGCTCGCTGTTCAAATGCCTCGTTGAGAACATGACGTGGATGCTGGTTCTGGCCGTGTTCCTGGGAGGCATCTCTCTGCACGTCTCGGGCGCACTGTTGTTTTATCTTTTCGGCATCGACAAGTCCTGGGGAGCCACTGCCAAGGAAGCCAACACGGACACGTCTTTCTTTCGAGAGATTCCCGTCATTATCAGAAAGTTCAAGTTTACCTTCATCTATTGCATTTTGTCTGTGGCCATGATGATGGTGCTGGCGGGAATAGGCCCACTGGGCAAGCTGGTGCCTGATTTTTGGAGGATCAAGAGCTTCATCGCCATCTTTCCCCAGGGAATCATGATTGTCATGCATTTCTTCTTGCCTTTGGTCTTGAATCCCGGCTTGATGCTGTTCACGTTTTGACCTGGTGACTAGACCACTTGGGGCTTGGGATACCACATCTAGAAAAAGAGGAGCAGGTGAATCCACTATGATAGAGTATCAATTATGTACAGTATGCATGTCAAGGATCCTCACAGTGTCGTGGCGTCTCGGTCTTGACATTCCCAATCCTGACGCGTGAATCGGATAATTAGTAGTGTCATCTACTGTTTGACATTTCAACGCAAGTGTTTCGGCAATTGCCGCACGACAGAGTCACATGACGAACGAGCCGTCAACCTCGGATGCTCATTCAAATGGCTCCCGCTGTTATGCATGCACATGCGCCTCCTCGCCTCCTCAAGCATTACTTATCCAAGGTTATCGATGCGATACTCGCATCAACTATTCCAAATCCCTCGACACCTTAAATCTCGACCTCGCTCCGCATTCTCCTCTGTATCAGCTTCGCTCTACCAACGACCTGTGTCAGATCCCAGCATCGCCCGGATCGGTCTCAAGGCACGCTCATTCTCTCACTCGCCTGCGCCCTCGTCCGCCGAACCGACACCTGCATCCAAGATGGCTTCCGCCACCACCTTTTTCGATTTCACGCCGAAAGACAAGCGTGATCAAGAGTATCCTCTTGCCCAGCACAAAGGAAAAGTGATCCTCGCCGTCAACACGGCCTCCAAATGCGGCTTCACCCCTCAGTTCGCCGGCCTCGAGTCCTTGTGGAAGAAGATTTCTGAGAAGTACCCGGATCAATTCGTCATCATCGGATTCCCCTGCAACCAGTTCGGTGGTCAAGATCCCGGCTCGAACGATCAAATCCAAGAGTTCTGTCAGGTCAACTACGGTGTAACATTCCCCGTGCTTGGGAAGACCAACGTCAATGGCGATCATGCCGAGCCGGTGTTTGAATGGATGAAGTCGGAGAAGCCGGGTCTGCTGGGTCTGAAGAGAGTCAAGTGGAACTTTGAAAAGTTCTTGATCGGCCGCGATGGAAAGGTCGTCCAGCGATGGGGCAGCATGACCAAGCCGGACAGCATTGAGAAGGACATTATCCACGAAATTGAGAAATCCAAGTCCGGATAGGTTGAACTGAAGCCGACCTTATCCTTATGTCTGTACAGAAATCATACAAGAGATACCCATAACATATCCTGCTCTAGTATTTGGGAGGTGGCCCGTCGGGTCCCATGGAACTTTCCAAGTCAGGTACACGATATTGCGGCGGGACCTGCCCTCGAGACCGCTGTTGTTTGTGCTCAGAAACCGTAAATTCCAGCTCCATCTCGTCGTCGATGGCCTTGTGCTGTGCCTCCTCCTCTGCCTTTCTCTTTCTGCGTTGTTTCCTTACAATGACAAACAGGACGATCCCAAGGAGGAAAAAGAGGCTATTATCACTGTTAGTCTCTCTGGTGATGTGTTTTGCGCATGGAGGTGCTACTACGGACGTCAAGGATATGACAACAGGTATGACCGTCGTCTCGAAGGTAGAGGTGTATTTCTCGCAGATGTCGTCCACATCATTGGGGTTCGTGCACTTTCTCTTCCACAACATGGCGGTTGTTTGTTTGTGTTGCACGGATTTGGCGGGGGTACTTCGGTTATGCAGACTGAATAGATCGAGAGCACGAGTAGACTGGAGAATTCAAGGAAGGACAAGTCGACTGAGGTTCACGATCAACGCAGATTTAAAGAGACATGAAGGAGAGTCGAAGGCTGGGGGAGTGATGCCTTGCAACAAAGAGTATCCTTCGTACGGGGGTCGGCAGGCGGGCAAGAGGTTTATCACAATGGAGTGAACGGGGTGCTAAGTTAGCGGCAGCAAACCGTTTACCTGGTGGTGCGGAAACAAGAGTTAAGGCCTGGGCGGCGGCCAGGGGGCGTGCACTGGGGTTGACGGCTCACTAACTTAGGCGTGCCCTTGCACTAGACCAGTTGAACGACACAGGTAGCACCCGAAGTCACTAGACTGGCACCCCCGAGGCAGATCGAGGCCCCCTAATTTCACACGGGAGACGTAATCCCAGACACGCAAGCGCCCAAGTCGGGGTCCCTTCAAACGTGCCTTGTGTCTCGTACTCGTCAGCTCCCTGTCAGTTGGAACTGGGGCGTCGTAAAGGGTTCCAGCCTCTCCCGCACTGCAGCTGTCAACAACAAGGCTCGATCCAGATTTCGTATTCCAGCCACGAGAGCTTGTTCTTGCGATCCCGATTCTCACCCTTCGGCTCCTTCGTACGGAGTACCTCACCCATGATTGTAACTACGGAGGGTACAGAAATATGCAACACAGGCGGCCAAGTGCAGCGGGGACCAAATTACGCCTCAGAACCCGCGGCTTCGCTAGATGTGAAATCGTTGGCTTACAACCACTGTGCTAAGATTGCACCGTCTCAGACTTGATGCCGCCTGCTACAGCTTGCAAGGCATGAATTTGCCGTGGGAAACCCGGGGCCGGACAACATTTAATAAGTGTTCCGATGAGATTCTTCCGTCCGTTAAGAATGTCCTGACTCCCTGAGGGCGTACAGGCTGCGTTTGACCTGCAGCTTCAGGTACACATGTTGGTCTATCCAACGGGAAGAAAGAGTCAGTAAACAAGACCCGTCTCTCCTGGAAAATGAGTCCCGTGGAGTATTCAAGCCGTGTCCTTCATCTTTGACGCATTGACAGCGCCTCGCTGGAGGCGTCGTAGCAAATACAGATCTTCGCAGGAAACCAAGAGAGCACATACTCGTATCTCCTGGCTCAGAGCTCGATAGTCAGGTCGCAAGCTTACGATAGCCAACGACCCAAAACCCGTGAGGCTCTTTGAATGCCATACGTCGATGCTGATGTACCCATTTGCTCGAGGCACACTGACATCTAGGGAACACACATGGAGCAGTACACGCGATCTGCTCCAGACACATCCTGCCGCGCTCACCGTACACCAAATGCCTTACAACAGTCCGTGTGTGGTTGGCAAACTCACAGGAGCCGCGGTCTCCCTGGTCAGGACGAAGCCTGGAATTGACGTCGTAGCTGTGGAATCACATCATGGCAATGAGCTTCTGTCTGGCCACACCTTCATGGCTTGCTCGTTGTGCCATCAGGATATAGCTATTGACGACGAGCTACTTTCAGGGTTGCATTCTCAGCTCATGGTGCTTTGTTTCTTATTCGGGAGAATTACTGTTCGACCTATCCTTGGGAGCACTGACCACTACAACGGTACACACGAGAGATAGCATAATCGTTGAGGCTTGGGTTATGCTTGTACTCATCCTGCCGCGGAGATTGCAGCGGGCGGGAGTGCAGACACTTGAACGAAGCTTGCTGTACCTCCTCAAATAGCAGAGGATGTAGGGAGTAATGAGACATCATCCAAGCCCTGTGAAGAATTCTCCTTTGATAGCTCAGGGAGGGCGCCTTCCCTTCTGTAAACCTTCCTTAATTTGTTCGCTATACATGAAGACTGGCACATTAAAGATGACTACCCACAGCTGTACCAACGTTATACTTTCAGCTCCCCCCACGCGTCTATGTTGACCATTAATGCAGCGTCAGTGTCATCTGTTCAATCAGAGACCTATTTAGTTGTCTCAGTGAGTTCCGTGCCATCACTGTTGTTCTCACATGAACAGTTCTTAAAAGGTTTAAGCGAGAGCTCGGCAAACATTCCCGGATCGTAGATACAGGTGCCAAGCGAGAAGGGATCGCAGGTCGAAGCTTCGAAACATCATCCACCTGTCCAACTCTCTCTACCAGCACACTCACCATCACTTCTGCTCACCTCCATCCCCCTCAACAGCTTCCCTTCTATCAACAAGACCGTCGTTCGCCTCTCCGACGCCTACTTGTCTTTGGAAAGCAAGTCGAAGACACAAGCACCCTCAAGATGTCTACAGATCTCTGGTCAGTTTGCCCCCCCATACCTGTCGCCTGCAGCTCGCGTAGATAAGCTGGAGACGGCTATCTCTCTTGAATTGTCCTCCCTCAACGATGAAGCAAAGCGCATTATGCTAACTCTATAGCATTGTAGCCCCGTATATGCGGTATGTCCGCCTCTCCCCAAATGCCTTCCAGCTGCGATGCTGTTGCTTCTCCTCAGCTGCCTGTACTAGCTCCGAGATATGGCATACTGACGTATCATCCCCTAGCCCTTTTTCGGTGCCATGGGCTGCACCTCTGCAATTGTCTTCACTTGCTTCGGAGCCGCGTACGGAACTGCAAAGTCCGGTGTGGGTATCTCAGCCATGGGTGTCCTCCGACCAGACTTGATCGTCAAGAGTATGCACCGTCTCTCAGAAAGATGCGAACCTACACACTTACACATTACACAGACATTGTCCCCGTCATCATGGCTGGTATCATTGGTATCTACGGCCTGGTCGTGTCAGTCTTGATTTCCGATGGCCTGTCACAGAAGGTTTCCTTGTTCACCAGCTTCATCCAACTCGGCGCTGGTCTGTCGGTCGGTCTCGCCGGTCTCGCTGCTGGCTTCGCCATCGGCATTGTCGGTGACGCTGGTGTCCGAGGCACTGCTCAGCAACCTCGACTTTTCGTCGGCATGATTCTCATCCTCATTTTCGCCGAAGTGTTGGGTCTTTACGGACTGATCGTTGCCTTGTTGATGAACTCTAAGGCCTCGACCGATGTCGTCTGCTAGATCCGTTCTGGGAAAAGAGGTGCGCCCGGAAGCTTTAATAATGGGCGGCTGCGATGAAGCGCCACAAATCAACCGCACCGATACCGAATGTCGAAGAGCAGCAGGGTCAAAAGGGAATCAGATTCAGAACCTTTCCACCGCAAGCATACAGTTTCTGAGTCCCCAAGGACTTGCTGGGGCATGTCAAGTTAAGCAAACAAAGAGGGAAAACCACAAAAACACCATGGAGAAAAGATGCCCAGCTGGACGGGTGAAACTAGAATTTGTCCAGCCGAGGTATTTTTTATGTATGAATGTCGTAGTTTACCAGCACAATCGACGAAAGGGGAGAGGGAGGTACGGAGGCGCCAAAACTGACTGCGCTGCAGTCGAGGAAGGCGGCTGTAATTGCGTTGCGCTTTACATTATGTATGTACACTGTTTGGCACTGAATTAGATAATGCTTTCTCGTATATACGTGGTTTTCGTTTTCCTTTTTTTCCTTTTTCCTTCTAGGTTGCTCTCTATCACGAATGTGTTTTTGACTTCTTTCACCTCGTAAGTGGTAAGTGCCATGGTAGTAGATGTATAGTATGTCTAGGAGATGTACCTTCGATCAGAGGGATGGATACGGCTTTTGATCTCAAGCTTGATGTATTGGTTGTTGTTGTTGTTTGTTGTTGTCGTCGTCGTCGTCGATGCATCCATTGTTCGTGCTTCTTCCCCACTTCGACGGGCACCCAGAGCGAGACAGGCAGATGGAGAGTTTGAAGGTCTGTCGATGATGTACGCAAGGCATCACGATGCCTTGGTGGCCCTTGCTTGTGTAGGCAGGTAGGTATTGTAGGTAGGCAGGCAGACGGGCAGGTAGATATAGCCGAGGGTTTTCCCCCTTCCCTAGGTCGGCTGGTACACATCTTACTGTAGGTACTAACTAACTAGGTACGGTAGGTACATATGATTTACCGAGAACGAAAATCGCCTTCGGCAACGTTTCTATCTGTGTCGAACGATGTATCGATATCGATTGTCGATGTCGGTGCTCCGCACGTTGGCTCAAGATCAAGCAACACATCTATCAACACCCAGAGAAAATAAAGGGGAGAAGAGTATTCGTAAAGCATAGGTAGGTGGTTCAGCATCAACAGGATATCGAATCTGTATGCCCTACCAACCTTGGCTACCTTGGCTCGCCGACCAAATAGGTACCTAGGTATGTTAGGTGGGTAGGTAGGTAGGTAGGTAGGTAGGCGGGTACAACTTTCTGCTCGTGATGAATGAAAGTCGCGCTTCAAAACGCCAAAAGGGAAAGAAATGGCCCACGGACAATGAGAAGAACAACACCACCTCCTCTCGCCTGCGATGCATGCATGCATTCATCCATGTTGTTAAATTAATACCACCCCACCCAACGAGACGACTCGATGTCTAGCTAGCCATATGCCCTCTAAATGCGAGGAATTCTTGCCATTATGCGACATTGTATTGTGAAACCCCTTGTGCCCTTGCAAGCAGTGCAAGCCGAGTGATAAAGGCAAAACTTATATCTGGCCCAACCTTCGCCTGGCGTTCCGTGTCTTGCGCATCAGCTTTCTGTACTTGTGCTTCTTCATCTTGAGACGACGTTGTCTCTTGACGCTGATAGCGTACATTGCAGGTCTTCGTCGGTGACCAAGACGTCTGCCACGGACTTGTTCTTGGATCTCTCGCATAGTAGAGGCATCCTCGATTTCCATCATAGGGGACGAGTGAGGCGTGAAGAACCCATCGTGGTCTGACGAGTCTCGCTCAATCACGTTCATGACGACCTGTTGAACATACGGGTCGTTATCCTGGTTTTGGATCTCCACCTCCAAGAATCTCGCTTGCATTTCTTCACCGGCTTCTTCGGCGGCGGCCTGGGCCTCGGCCGCTTCGATCTCGGTATCACTCAACGGTGTGGGCGCGGGAGGTGTGTTGAACGGCCTGAATCGTCGTGCAAGATCTTGTAGTACAAGTTTGACATTGCCTCCATTGATATTGATCGTCTGCGACTGCCCGTCCAGGTGGCGAGTTCGGTTGGGATCTGCCGTGTTCTCATTGTTACGCTGCATCAAAGCTTTGATAATGGCCGCCTTTTGCTCGGCTCCTTGGTTGTGGTTATGTTCGCCTCGTCTGCTTGCTATCTGCTCGTCGAGACTTTCGACAGCCGATGAGAGAGTATAGATGACATCTTGTGTGGCGGGATGCAATTTCGTCCTGGGCTTCGGTTGGAATATCTTGTCAAATGCATCGAGGCTCGTCTCTGAAGGCACAGGGCCTGTGATGGAGAGAGGGCGATGAGTGGAAAAGAACGATGATACATAGATATCTGATAAGCTTCGGTTAGCTGAAGACATTGACACCTTGTAGGTCTGGTCTATACCCTTTGGATTGAGATGTTGTAAGCTAGGCACCGATGGAAGTTTTGATGTCCAGTCATCTTGTACTTCCTCCTTCGCATCAACCTTGTCTTTTGAAGACCTCTTCTTTGATAAGCGCGACTCTGAGCCAGGTCGCTTTGTTTCCGATCTCGGAGTCCCAACTTGTTTGACTGAAGCTGCTGGGATGGCTGAAGAGCCATTGTTGGGCGGAACAGGAGGCTTGGAGGATGAATGTCGCCGCTGGTGAGCGTGGGAGGTAAAGGACGCTATCGAAGGCGTGGTAGGGCGCGAGGGGACCGCTGAGCCATTCGAGCAGTTGCGCGCCACTCGGCGCAAAGAGGTATTGAACATGTGTCCGACAGCTTACCAAAAACGTAGTGCAGGACACGATATCCAAGTAGGAGTGCCAACAGTGGGCAGAAGAAGAGGTGTGTGTGTCCAGGTATGAGGTGATAATGCAGTCGGGAAGACCAAGAATCGGAGTTGGTCGAAGGCGGCAAAACCGCTCGGAGGCAAACGCAAACTCGTCAACAATGCCAAGGCCTCGTATCCTGCATCTAAGCCTACAGATACATTCTCCGTACAGACTTCTATATTGATTTCTAGTCCTGCCATACAGGGCGTCTAAGGATGACGTCCAGATGACCAACAGTGTCAAGGAATCTCCAGCAGATGAATACTCTCAGAGCCCATCTGTCAGAGCCAAAGTCAACAAGAGCCTTGAGCACTGGCCGGCCTTCAAATCTTCTGCAGCCTGTCAGTCACATCGTACTTCTTTTGATCCAGGTATAGGAAGACCCGAGCACTTGGTTCCGTGTCAACTTGGCCTCTAAGCTGATTCATGTGGTTGAAGTTCATGCTCCTCTCCTGTGGAAATAGCGACATAATTGCTCCTAGTTCCGGTTTCTCGATGCCAAAGCGCATCAAGATGAATCGTGCTGCGGCTGCTTCTACATTGATTGGAAGAATTGATAAGACCGCTGTACGACTCCTTGGGCAATACGTCATGCCGTCTGTGGGTTGTGATCATGGCGACGATGAGGGCAGAAGCTCTGCTACTCGAAAATCAGGTACTGTCTTAACGCAACCGGACATCGTGGATGCCGAGCGGCTCATCAGCTTCGACTCTTTGCTATTGAAGGCCCGAATCACCTATAATACCTTGAACCTTCAGGATTTGGGTCTGCAATGTGTTCAGGTCTTTCACGCGTGCTGATGTGGGCTGAATGAACTCTTTATGCTTGTCAATTTCACCACCAAGAGTGACTTGATCGAAAGTCCCTTCGGTTGTCCCTTGACAAGGACTGGCTACAACAATGCAGTGACAACATCCAGCAATGATCCATACTGTCTACTCTTTGGCAGTCTACTGATATCAATTGCTCTCGTCAATACAAGGTCCAGCATTGCGACGACTCGATGGTTTGAAACTGCTGCGGCTTGCCACATACCGTCGGAGCAATTTACATGCTGACTCTATGTATTCAGAGCCTCCGTGCCCTATTTATATTGATAAAGGTTCGATCAAACTTGTGCCTCACTGGCAGTCTCGGTAAGCACGCGGGCATATTACAGTAGAGGTAGGAGCCCTATTCCTTCAAAACCTGTACGCTAGCATGGCGTCTCCCCATGTTCCATCCAAGTAGCCTCAACGCGTAGTTCATAATAAGTATTATACACACGTACCTCTTAGTTTTCTTCACGAAAGCCAAACTGCCGGCCCTAACATTGCCTATTTGCCTGCTCCACAACACATTACCCGAGGTCATGCTCCGTGCGGGTGTTCAGTAATTCCAAGCGGGATGATTCCGGGGGGCAATTCGGATAGTGCACCGCCGACACACTACAGGTAGGTAGGTACCTTCAACGACTCTCGAGCTTTTTATATTCTGAGAATGTTTTGTCTGAGACCGTTCACCACCTATCCATACAAGACTGCTCGCGAGGGACGAATCCATCTTCTTCCGAAATTAGCTATATCGAAACATTGTGTGGTTCAACCCTTTGCCACGATGGCCCCCTAAATATGTCAAACGAGTCAGTCTCTTCCAGGTGCCCAAGGAAAAGGACATTGACGACATCATCGCCGAATATGCTGTTCTGAGAGCGACCGCTCAAAAGGTACGTGGTCGCCCATTGTCTGCAATGTTTGCGAATGCGTGAACGCGAAGGTGGACGCAATGGTGCAACGGCTGACCGTGTCACTGACACGCAGGACGGGGCGCCGTACATTATTTCGAATGAAGCTGCTCGGGTCGCGAACGCATCCGAGGAGCGAGCACAGGGATACACTCTGATCGCCGTGACGACTTTCAAGTCCCGCGAGGACTTTGAGTATTACGACAAACAATGTGAGGCGCACGCGAAGATCCGCTCGTTCATCGGAGCACGACGAAACGGCGTCGCTACCTTTCAGTACGAGAGTGAATTGTGAGCGTCTACTCCGGCCATCGCCGGGGCTGAAATTCGGACAAATCTGGAGACCGTCACCACAGAGGGGGGGAGAGAGAGAGAGCGCGCGCGCGCGAGAGAAAGAAAAACGATTTGTAGCATCGAAATCGTAACGATATTTTCGCTCGTCTTGCATCTATACCTTGACCTTGCCGCCTACATCTTGATGTCCCTAGGCTCTGACTCTAAATCTCTAAACCGCTTGAACCAGGCAATCGTCTCTGGGTTTTGTACCGTCGCACTCGGCTTCACGTCTTTTCCGCTCAACACGTTCTTGACCGCAATCTCTACCTTCTTCCCATTGATCGTCACAGGGATGTCGGGGACGGCAATGACAAACTTGGGCACGTGTCTGGGCGACAATCCGTTCCTGACTGCATTCTTGACTCGCGTCCGTAGTTCCTCTGTCAATGCGACCCCAGGCTTCATCACGAGGAACAAAAAGACTTGCTCGTCGGTGTCTTTGGGTCTTCGACGCCCCACACACAGAGTGTTGCTGATGTAGTCTGTGAAAGGCTGCGTCTCTACGATGGCGTAGATTTCTCCACTGCCAAAGCGTATGCCCGAAGGATCTATTGTCGTGGTCAATGGAACATGGTTCGCTCGCTCGCAACGCCGTGGGGAAGGCAGGGACTTACTCAGAACGCCGTCGCTGCGACCGTGCATAGTGTAGCCTCCTGTTGTTGGGTTTCTGCTAAGCCAGTCGTGTTGCGCCCAGACGTCGATGTGTTCGAATCGTTCGAAATATGCAGCACGGTATATCTTGCCGCCCTTGTCGCCCCAGAAAAAGCACGGCATACTGGGGAAAGGCTTCCGGATCACCATCTCTCCCGCCTCGCCGGTGTGTGCGATCGATTCACCCGTAACGGGGTCCAAGATGTCGACATCCATTCCGAGCGCAGGGATCTGCATCTCGCCTGCGTACACGGGCGCACAGGGATCCACGGAAAGGAGAGACGTTGCCGTGTCTGTACCACCGGCAGTGTTGGAGATTTGTACTTCTGGTGGGAACGAGCGATAGAACCAGCGATACTGTTCTAGAGACATCGGCGCCCCAGTGGTGTATACCATCCTTAAGGGCGACAGGTCGAATTCCTTCGTCGGTATTGTCCGCGACATCTCGATCTCAAGCAGCAGCCGAGGAGATGCGCCGAGAAAACTCACGCGATACTTGTCGCAGATTCTCAGTAATTGCTTCGCGTCCGGGAATAGCGGGCTGCCATTATAAACGACCAGCGTTGCGCCTGCGGACAGATGTCCACACATGACGTAGAAAACCACCCAGGACGTGCTCGAGTACTGCATGATTACGTCTCCTGGTGCTAGGCCGTTGTGCAACGTTGATATCTTCTTCACTTGTAAGAGTAGACCATGTTGATGGACAATACATTTGGGCGCGCCTGTCGTGCCTGAAGAATAACATATAAGAAGGGGGTAGTTGAACGGTACACGAGTGAACGTAAGTGCGTCGGAGGAGCTTGACCGCTCCAGAAAGTCGCGTATCGTAGGTGACTGGGCTTGGGTCTTTATAACAGGCACGATATAGACCTGGGCTTGTAGCTTCAATCTCTGCAGGATGTCTTCCAGTTTCTGTGATGTAGGAACAGCTTTGCCTTTATACACAACATGGCTATCAACGAAGAGGATGCTCGGAGTGACTTGCTGGAGTCTGGCCACGCAGCCTTCGACGCCAAGTTCGGGACTGATACAGGTGAAGATGGCCCCAATCGAAGCTGTGGCATGGAAGAGAATGATGGCCCAGTTGGACGTGGCGACTAGGGCAGCCACCCGGTCTCCCTTTCTGATCCCACTGCGCTTGAAAGCGCTGGCTGTTTGTCGAACTTCGTCGCGAAACTGACCCCAGGTCAATGTGTCAGGCTTGTCATGGTAGATATCCTGGTCCTCTCGAATGCCGATGAGAGCAATGTCCTCGGAATTTGGGTTGGCAAATAGAACATTCTCTGCGTAGTTGAGGCTGTGACCAGGAAAGAAAGGTGGGTTACTGCTCATGGGCACTGTGTCGTCGTATGCTTTGTGCATCGAGGGTGGTAAAGGCGGGGTGAGATTAAGATAAGCGTACAAATTTGTCCAAAAAGCATGTGTCTGGGTAATGGACCACCGTTGAAGTTGCTGTGAACTGGACAGTCTCTGTTTGTATGTTTGGTTGATTTGCTGGCGGTATTTATCCATTGGTGTGGTGCCATGATGGCTCGGCCGCCACAGAATCTCTGGCGGGGAAGCCTGCACGGAGGACATGGTCTCTGAATGCTCGAAGAAATATAAAAATGCTCGAAAACGAAGCACACCTACTCTGGACCTCGAACACGATGTCGCTTGGATGCAGAAGGACAATCTGCGCATTATGCCGAGCCGGCCGCTTTGACCACGAATGCTTGATATCCGAAGTGCCATCGAAACCGAGGTTAGCAATGAGGGGAGGAACAAGGCTGCACCCTCAGCCTCATGTGGTGCAGACCATGGCTATATCAGGATTTAGAAGGCAGTATTTGCGTTGTTGACACTTCTTGCGTCCACACACACACACACACACACGTTTGTGAATCATAAATATGTGGTGCCGTGTCATGCCAATTGATAGGATTGCATGGCAATCTTCCCGATGTCCCAGCCGTGCGTTATTTCTGAGCTTCGTTGCAGACAATCTTCCAGCCAAGTTACCTGTAAGTTTCCCTCTTCCTGGCGTAAGACAATAAGCGCCATCCGCATGGCCAGGATGAACTGAACCACATAGGCTAGCCTTCCTGAGGGTTGAAGACAGTTGATTATTATACGGCAAATCTCCTGGGCGGCTGTGTGACTTTCCATGTGTAAGGATGTGGTTGAGGGGAGAGGAGCAGACCTAGCGGTTTCTATCTCTTCTGAAGCACAACTCTGATCATCTTGGGCATCCGGAGTGAGCTTAACAGCTGCCCCACGAAAGGTTTTCCACAGTTCCAGCAGAATAATTAGAGACTGGAGGTAGTGAACCTCCGTAAACATGTGGTCGATGCTGACAAAGGCAAGCTTAGAAGAGACCCCATAGTATTGTTGTTCCTCTGACGATAGAGCCACCCTTTGAATTACTGGATCGTTTTCCTTTTCCCACTCATGATGCCATTGCTGGAATTTTTCAAAGAGGATCGCCATGTTTACCTCCAAAGCGACTGACATTTGTTCTTTCATGATTGGATCTGCTGTTTTCAAGTATTGGATAAAATCGACGTACAGAGCTGGAATCTTTGCGGCGAGATCAATCAAGAATTGCACCGCATTTTTCGCAACTCCAGCAATTCGCCACGGTTCCGTTTCCCATGAGTCTGAAGCGAGGAATGTAGCTTGTCGACTTGCTACAGCAGCCGTGATCATTTGAAAACGTGTCGACTCAAACAGCTCGAGTATCAGTGGTTGACGAAAGATTTCAAGACCTTTGAAGCGGAAATAAGCCGCCAACCCGTGCATGTGCTCTATCCAGGCCGTAGGACTTGTTGCCACAAGATACTTCAATTGCAGTCAGTGACCTGGTAAATAGAAGGTGAAATGACCCACTTCGCAAATTGTCAGAATAATGATGGACATGACAGTCTCACTAGCCATTGATGAGCCGGGCGCTCGAAGACAGCTATTCAGTTTTCGGAGACACTGAGAGTATAGCTTCGTTCCACTCCTCTGGATGCGATCAGAGCCTTGTCTACGTCCATAGTAGGACGTCGCAAAGCACTCCAAACACTCTCTGGGGAGGCAACCGGGCATAGCGGCTGCTGCAAACCCTGGCCAGCGATTATCAAACAGAGACGTGCCAGGACTGTCGCGTATGTCTTTAAAGAGAAACGAAAAATAAACATCACTACCCATAACGACCATGGACTTGCCAATCGGTGCAGGGCCAGCTGAGTGGGTTAGCCGGGCTTGAGAAGTCTCTGGGGGCGACCGGCGGTGTTTCGTGGCCTCGTCGACGAAAACGGGCCCCTTCGGATAGCCCGTACAGGTCTGCCCTCGGCTCCGACATTGAAGACACTCTGGTTTTGATTCATCTGAGTCAAAGGCCCATGAGTCTCCGGCCTCCAGAAAACCTGATACGAAGGTCACTTACCGCATTTAACGCGGCGTTGCCGACAAGGCTGGCATGCTTTCGAACGCCCACCTCTGCCCACCATCCTACCCCATTGAGTCCGATGAGGGCATCAAGAAAGCCTTGGTTGACGGACGCTAATCTTTCAGAGGATGTGCTCCCATCTTTTCGTGCAGGCTGAAATTTCCAGAAGGATTAAACTTGGACTGAGTGTTGTCTTTCCGGCGGGAGAGGGCGATGTCGATCAGCCAATCGCAGATAGCGCTGCTTTAGGACGAGATCTTCAAGCTTCAACCCTCCGCCCCAAAAGTATCTTGAAGTTGTACAGGTAACTGTGTCAAGGTTGCATACGAGCACACTTTGTATCCCACAATCTCCCGTCATCAGTCGTTCGTTGCCCACCCGAATTGTTTTCCACTTAAGGAAGGGGTTTCCACGAGCTGGTGAGCGTCGTAGCCTTGAGGCCCGAATCGCGATGATTCTCCATTACTGCGCCACGGTCCTCCTCGCTCCGATGAGCAATGATGGCATCGGCAATATATCGAGACTGGCATTGCATGCTACGCCATCTAGGATGCAATGTATTGAACGCTCCATGTCATCGTGGAGATGAGGTAGTCTCGAAAGCAAACAGTAAGAACTATAAGAAAGCCAGTTGTGAACTGACCCCGACTACATTCTTTTGCTTCTCTTCACAATTGATTCACCGATTCTTTTGATCCATCCAAGGAATTCACATTTATCATTCGAGAGTTCTCGCTTGCTCACAGATATGACTTTCATCCAGAAGATAATCCTTGTTTCGGCCATGGCATATGGTTCAGGCTGGTGTTCTCCCGCAGCTGTACCATCCTCATCAGCCTCCTCTACACTTCCAGCGCCAACGGAGCTTTCCGATCCCTCCTACGGGCCAATCCCGGGAGAGTCAGATGTCTACACCACGTACGACGGCACTGCGCGCCCATTCCCCGGAAACATCACTGGTGCAGTGCTCAACACCACCAGCGGCGCTCCTGAAGCCGATGATGTACTGTTTCAGAATCTCCTGTCTGCGGAATGGATCATTTTCTCCTTTTACCAGCAAGGTGTCGAACGCTTCAATGCCTCAACCTTCGTGGAGGCGGGCTTTCCAAATACGACGTACGAACGCATCCAACAAATTCGGGACAACGAAGCAGGCCACCTTCGCATTTTCCAGGACCAGATCTCAACGGCCTCGATAAAGCCTGGGCCATGCCAATATGCCTTCCCGTACGATGACCCGGCGTCTTACCTTGTCCTGCAGACCATCATCGAAATTTCCAGCATGGCCTTTCTTACGGGCCTTGAACTTCAGGCTCGTCTAGGCGCATCTCGCGCTGCTCTCGTAGCCATTTCTGCTACCGAATCACGCCATAATACCTGGTCCCTGATCGACAACTGGAAGTCGGTGCCTTTTGCTGGCCCGTCGGATACCGTGTACCCCTACGCCAATCAGATACTTGACTTTACCAATCAATGGGTGGTCGAGGGCTCTTGTCCGTCGCAGAATCCAGTATATCCCGCGCCACGCCAGCATCTGCCTCAAATGAATCCGATCAAAGGGACCAAATCAATTCTCCCAGGCTCAGAACTTGTCGTAAGCTTCACGCAAAGTGGCAATCAGCCTCATTTTGTGGAAAAGGACTACTATGCTGTCTTCTTCCATGGCGTCAACAACATCTCAGTACCTTTCGACACGAAGCACAACTCTACGACGATCCCCAAGGAGTTTGAAGCTTTGGGCATTATCATTGCCGTCATTGCGGACGCTGAAGGAGCAACAACGAAGGAGAGTGTGGTCGCCGGCCCGCTGATTCTCCCACAGAGCCCAGCGATCTTGTCTGAAATCTACCTTTCCAGTTGAGTTTGCGAGGCGCTTTGGCGAACGATAAATCTGGTACGAGATATCAGCGGAGCGGCATCATTCAGTAGCACAGGAAGCCCCATACTGCACCCACAGAATCACGAGTCATGGTCCCCATATACTTAGACTTGCTCAACTTGTAGTCATCCATAAACGCCAGAATGTAAAGACCCCTCATCTCACCTTCTGAAAAACGGTAGCTGCCATGGCAGAAACAGCAGCTTTAAGCAACGGGCGAGAATGGCTGGATTAGGCTCTCCAGATGCCTCCTTTGCGTTAGTGTTGGTATCAACCAATCCTGTCCTCATAATTGAACCTTGTCAGTGCAGGAATCTCGTTGCTAGGATTTGCAATGATTCAATTCCTCCGAACTTCCGGACACTTACCGGGACAGCGCGGCTTTTAGGATGACCTATTCGCAAGTCACGCTCGAGCTGCGTGAGACAGCCTTGTGCGGGCATTCAAAGTGAGGACCTTAATCATGGAGCACATACTCTCTATGATTAACAGCGCCACATATCCAGTCGACATCTCTGTCCTCTTCACGGCCTCAAAGTCTTAAAGTTATCCTTGACCGCATCGTTCCAGCTTGCATCACCATCTAGATACCTCAGTACGGACGGCCCTTGCAGGCACAACGCACTTCAAGACGAACCTGTCATACGACTGCCTACAAGTCGGATCTCAATTACTGGCACTTGCGAATCACCTGCAAGCATCCAGACCTTTAGATAGCTATGCCATATACGCTCGTGCTTCTCCGACACGGCCAGTCCACTTGGAATAATCTCAATCTCTTCACCGGCTGGGTGGACGTCCCACTTTCCGAGAAGGGCACCCAGGAAGCCAAACAAGCCGGCACGCTGCTGAAAAAGTACTCAATATATCCAGAAATCGTGTATACAAGCTGGCTACGCCGCAGCATCAACACCGCCAACTTGTGCTTGGACAACTCAGACCGACATTGGATCCCTGTCAAGCGTGCTTGGGAGCTCAACGAGCGCCACTACGGCGGCCTTCAAGGCAAAAACAAAGCCGAAGCCGCTGAGAAATTCGGTGAAGAGCAAGTCCATATCTGGCGAAGGAGTTACGACATTCGACCGCCAGAGCTTACCGATTCCGACGACGGCGCGTCGCAGTCAAGCCAGGATCCGGATGGCCGATACGCACAAGGCGGAATCAAGGTCCCGAGAACCGAGTGTCTGAAAGACGTCTTGGAGCGTGCGTGGCCTTACTGGTTATCAGATATACTGCCAGACTTGAAGAGCGGAAAGACAGTATTGGTTGCTGCGCACGGAAACAGTTTGAGAGCGATCATTAAAGGTCTGGAAGGGATTAGTGATGAAGACATTCCGAACCTTGAGCTCCCGACTGGTATTCCCATTCTGTATGAACTGGACGAAAGTCTGAAAGTGGTTGGTAACGGTGGTAAAGGAAAATTACTGGAATGAGTCTTGATATGGGCCTGCGTTGAGCCGCTGTCTTGAGTCTTTACCAGCCGACATCCAAACAAGCCTTAGGCATGCTGGATATTTACGAGCTCAAGAACAAGAAGAGGCTGCGGGGGTCTGGATTGAAGGCACCAAATGCCGTCTTTGTGGAGATCATTGAACCATTTAACAATAGAAGAGAAGGCTGAAGAGGGCGACAGGCACAGGAACGGCCTTGAAGAGTTGATCGGAGATGTTGGAGTTGTAGCGCGAGAAGTAGCTGGAGGTGATTTTGTTGAAGTAGGGTCGCTCTTTAGCTGGACGTCTGACGACCACCTCTGTACAAACCGTACTGCTTGACCCCGCTCTTTGTGAAGTGGATTTGTGCGCCTCTCTGCCTCCTTGGGGACTTTGCGAGGGGAGCGAGCTGCAGCCTCTTCCGATCTCTGGTGAGGCTCTGACAGTTTCGACTGCTCTTGGCAAACCTGAAGCACTTCCAAGTCGCCATCGTCCCCAAATTTCCTCCGTACTCAGTTTCTCACCAATGTCCGACACAAGGGGGATGTGAAGTTCGACAGATCTCGCGGCTGCTCCGTACAGGCGGAAAGATCTCTCCTCTTGCTCGCTTGTATCGGCTCGAGATGCAAGCCAGAGCCTGGATCTAATCAATATCGTGTCTCAGGTCGGTCGCAGCTTCAACCTCCTCTAGGGGCCGCGGAGAAAGGAGTCGCACGTTTCAGACTTCCCAGCCATGGATGTTTTCAAACATTTAATGCTCAAGATGCTCCCTCATAATCTCATCTCCGTAAGTCTGAGTCTGAAATTTGCTCCTCCCTCTCGCAATACTTTTACCCTACGATTCCCCTTCCCATTGTGCTGCTTCCGGAATGTGGACCCCAGGCAACCTCCAAAGAACATCATCTACACATTCGTTCGCCATGTCTGTCGCTTCTAGCCGCGGATCTACGTATTCCGAGGGCTTCGATGAACCGCAGCCCAGAAGCACGAGTGGCATGTGGCATCCCGAGAAGAACCCCGTCACCATGACAAGTCTAGATCTTTCGCCTCAGCGTCAGCGACGTGACTCGATATCAACAGACGCATCCAACTCCACGCTCGCCATGGACGTCCCCCACGACGAGCTGGACTTGAAGACTCCAACTGTGCACCAGATGCCACCCCTGGATCGCAGCACATCGTCTCTCTCAGACACATCCTCAGAAATCGGCTCGCCCCAGGTGGCTGGCCCAATGGAACAGCTCTTGCAATCATTGCTTTACAAAGTCAGAAAGACCGAAAGTAGTCGCCCGACTGTCATGGCGGAGGACTATGACAGACTCAAATCTCGCGTCGATGCTCTTGAAGCGGAGAAGAAGACCTGGGAACGGAGATACCAGGCCTACTTCGAAGTCCGGGACGAAGACTTGACCAACATCCTCAAACTCCGGACAATGTTGGCCCAGGAGAGAAGAGAGCATTCAGCCATCCGCAAGCTCCGAGATGAAGACCTAGAGAATCTTCTCGCAGTTCGTGAAAAGCTCGCGCAGGCCTTGTGGTCCAAGCCTCAACCACCACGGACACGGACGTCAACATTCTCCGCTCGTCAATCGCGGAGCGAAGGAGACGACTTGTGGCAAGTGGCGAAATCTGCAGCGATGGAGCACAGAATCCTGGAACTCGAAGCAGCCAACAAAGAGCTCCAGGAGCGTGCCACCAAAGGCAATGTCTCTGGTGACGTCAGCACATTGATGACTCGCATGGAAACCATCTTTGATGAAAGCGTCAAGCATAGAGAAAAGATGGCTGCGAAGATGCAGCAGCTCAGGTCTGAAAAAGAAGCGTTGCAGAAAGAGGTTGGGTTGCTCGAAGATCGTAACGCCGAACTAGAGTCACTCGTAGGGAGGATGCAACGGAATCTCGGGATATGAAGATGTTTTTGGGCTTTCTGGCTCGTGGAAATTTTTCTTGTTATTATAGCGTGGTATCGAGCTCACTTTGGAGTGTGTTTGCGTCTGTTGAGAGGGACAACAAAGCTGTGCTTCATGAGGTTAGCAAAGGCGTGGATATGGGTACAAGACAGCAGCAGCATAGAGAGAAGTGAAGAAAAAAGTGCTTCAACAATGTGCAATATAGACTATCTGGGGCGAGTTGCTTCTCACCACTGATTGAGCTGATCATTACAAGGTCTCTAGTTAGTCCACCGTGGTGTGCAGCAATCTGGACCATCCGCAGCCTTGTCCTTTTGCAAGTGGGAATTATTTACGCTTTTGCTGCCAACGACGTCATCATCTTTTCCACCGAGCTATGAACTTTCTGATCTGCATCTTTCTTTGCTCCAGCACTTTCTTTGGATCACGAACGAACTTCAGTCTCTTGAATAGCAGTGGTCGAGTCCTCGCATGCTTCAGAAATGACCAGCTTGACAACGGCCGCCGTGCTGGTCTTGGGCTCCTGCTTGGCCGCAGCGTTTCCCACGCCACCGTCATCGCAAGCACCCATTACCGTACAGGACCACACGCAAGGCTACAAATTCGACGAGCTCCTCCACCTGCCAGGCATCTCGCCTTACTTTGACGCTGTTGGGTTTGGACTCGAGCACACGGCGCCCGTAGGCTGCAAGGTGACGGCGGCGTCGTACCTCATCCGGCACGCGGCCATCTACTCCAACGACGACGAGTACGAAGAATACATCAAACCGTTCCTGTACAAACTCGAGCAGAACCGCACGGGATGGTCGGGCCCGCTGGAATTCATGTCTACCTGGGTCTCTCCCATCCCGGAAGACAAGCTCGAGCAAGTGACGCCGTCCGGCAAGGAGGACGCGAAGAAGGTGGGCGCGCACCTGGTCAAGCGGTACCCTGACCTCGCGCCCACGGTCAAGCGAGTCCTGGCGGACAAGAAGTCACGGACGTACGACACGGCCGAGGCGCTGGTCCAGGCATTCCCCCGGAACCCGGAGGACATCGAGGTCGTGCGCATCACGCAGAACAAGAACGGCAGCATGGACTCGTTGATCCCGCACAAGTCGTGCTCGGCCTTCAGCAAGGAGCCCGGCACCAGGGAAATGGCCGAGTTCGTGTCGCACTATGCCGCCCACGTCTCGGGCCGGCTGGCTCAGTTCACACCGTTCGAGCTGACGGACAACGACGTCGTCGGCCTCCAGGGCCTGTGCGGGTACGAGTCCGCCATCAACGGCGAGCGAAGTCCACTGTGCGCCGTCTTTACCGACGCAGAGTGGATGTCGTACGAGTACGCGTGGGACCTCAAGTACGCGCACATGGTCGGCCCCCTGAACCCCCTGTCGCCATACCTGGGCTTCCCGTGGCTCAAGGCCCAGAGCGAATTGTTCCAACAACTCGACGGCACGGAAGGGGACGGCAGCTCAGGCTGGCCCCCTGAACAACAGCTGTTCTTGAGCTTTACGCACCGCGAAGTGCCACCCTTTGTGGCCACCGCGCTGGGCATCTTCAACTCCTCGTCCTCTGCCGTCGAGCAGTTCCCAACTGATCACGTCAACTGGGTCCGCGCGTGGCGCATGAGTGATCTCATCCCGTTCCTCGGCCATGTGGGAATGGAGAAGATGACATGCAGCGGCAGACCTGGTCGAGACGGTGAATACATTCGCGTCATCGCCAATACGGCGCCTAGGCCGATACCGTCGTGCCAGGACGGACCTGGCGCGAGTTGTCCCTTGAGCGAGTGGGTGAAGATCATCGCTGCCGGGGCTGAAGAGTTTAAGGATTACGCTGAGGTGTGTAAAAAAGAGAAGAAGGAGAATACTGCTTAGTGATACTGTTTAAGTAAGTAAATCCATATAGTGCCGTGGTCCTTGGGTATATATGGGATTGGACAGGATAGGATGTAAAAGTACTATATGAACCGGTGTGGGAATCGGCTGCTGTAATGTGTATTGTATACAAATGATAGATGCAGAGTGATACCTTGTCCGGCCAGGGCTTGCTGGCCAACAATCCTTGTGTTTGTGACTGGTAGAAGTGGTTCAGATGGATGCTAATGCTGTGTTAGACCTGCCCGTGATTTCGTTCGTTGGAGGGATTCTTTACAGACAGTCCAGTGGTCCCAAAGTCAACTATAGTCTCTATGGTGTTCCCAATTAGGCCTCTTATACGGCCGAAAACCAAGCTGTGACAACAGCCAGTCGACGTGATCAGTATTTAATTGTGATTTTAGTGTCAGGGACCGGAGATACTTCTCTCCGGCTGCTACAACCGGCCTACCTGGTCTTAGGTGTATGTATAGCGGCGAGTCGCTCCCTTGCCTTCCACATTATTTCCGGAGCACGTGAGACTAGGGATTCCAGGTCGAACGTTATTATATAGCCCTGACTGTGTCGAATAAGTTGATAGTAATAACAGGAAATCATGATGAGTGGCTTGTAAGTAATCATGCCGTGAACGGCGAATGGCTCAATCAACCAGTTATCCCAGAGTTCTTGGCAAGCCAGGATGGCAGCTCCAGACGGATGACGTCGTAAAGATTGGGTGTTGTTGTTGCAGCAAGAAAACCCAGACTCTTCTTTTTCTTCACAAGGGCACAACATCCAGGGAGTCAACTGTGCTATGCGGAAATGGCACCATCGCGAGGAACACACAATGTCGAGATGCACGACGCTAACGACGAAGCCGCAGTGCAGCAGCAGTCCAAGTCTGCCCTGGTCAATGCAAGACGCAACTTGAACTATCTCCTTGCTCCCGGAAATGCAAGCGTCGACAAGCCCGCCCGCTTCCGCACAAGGGCCCTACTTCGCACATGTCGATATCTGGGACAGTTTATCATCTGGCGACTGGTGCGTTGGGCCAAGTATGCCGCAGTTGGGTGTCTCGTCGCCGCAATTGGAGCTACTGCCTTTGGAGGCGTCATCGCTGGGGTTGGCTGGTTGGCGGCTCCTCCGACCTTCGGTGCCAGTATCATCGCAGCAAGTGTCTGGGGCGTGGGCAAGTTCGCAGCACGAAAGTTACACAAGCGATGGAAGAACGAAGGCGGGGACGTTGGTGCTGAGATGAGAGAGCGTATCGAGGACGAGGGCCCTGTCCGGAGAGAAGGCTCTTACGGCACCGAGATGGGCCCTAGAGCGGTTCCATGGTGATCGAACCATGGTTCTGTGTTGGGCGGTTCAATGGAAGCGGCCAAAACGCAAACGATAAAGCTGTACGGCTCTATGCCGCCTCTCCGTCAATGTCAATTGAATGTCGGCACCAGCAACCAGCGATAGTAAGGCCACCGTGAGACCAAGAGTCAATGATGATAACGATGCTGGGACCTGCATCTCAACAAAATCTTCGAAGAGGACAGAATGCAATACATGTGATAATGTGGTCGAGGTGACATATGAAGAGCAGCGGAATCATATGACCAAATGCTGCAGCCTGCAACAGAAGGCGTCGATTACAATAGCAGCCAATAATACACTCAGGATCCTTCATACGGGCAAGGTAATGCTAAAGATGTGGTGGTGTGCCTCGCTCGGGCAAAAGGTGATTGTGGCCACCAGGGTCGAAACAACCCAATGTGGCTATACGAGATACGACGGGAGATGCGGCGCGTTATTCTCCTCCGTTGGGGCTGTCAATTTTTGGATGGAGACGGAGAACCAATTCATCCAGCCTCGGCTCATTTTCTCCGAGACGCGTTAATTATTTTCCGACCGCCTAGAGTGAGAACGACGACGTGTACAGAACCTATTGTATTCGTTGTTTAAGTGCCGAGAAGTCTGGTCACATTTCTCCTCCAACATAAGGCCGTTGCAGACACTTTCGGGGAAGCTTTGCCATCTCGACGCTCTTTAGCTGAATCAATCAAAGACGTCACAGCGTGGCTTGATACTCGTATAACAAATTAACAAATACATAGATGGCCACGAATCGCGCTGGGATGAAATGCGCTAACCCCAGGACCCTGGCTGTCATTGGTCTAGATGCTCGGGGTTCTGATTCTAGTTCCGTTCTAGAGTAGTCGCCCGCCAGCCCGCATCCGGACTAGCTCGGGCGACCCTGGGGGATCTGTGCCTGAAACTCGGCTGACGTCTCCCCAACGTTTTCGCCCGCCTAGAGAGTTCAGGGCATAGTGAGGTGTCTGGCTTCACCAGGAGGGACAAGATGCGCAAATGATGTGAACGTCCAGAGCCCGGAAATCTCTGCGCCATTCGAGCCACCCAGTCTGGGCTGCCGCAGACGCCGTGGTGCCCCCAATCCCTCCCAGCGGCTCCCGATACAATAACCCGTCATGTATTCACACCACCCGCAACGGCCTCGAAGAAGTGGGGAACTTCTCAACAACTTTGAGAATTCTCGTTGAGCTGCACCGTCGCCCCCTTCTAAATAAAAACACCGACCGCTCCTGCTCTCTCGTTCTCAATCTTCTCTCCATCCTCCTCGACCTTCCATTCCCTCCGGCATCAGTTGATTTCGTACCGACTGAGCCATGCCCTCATCACAGCCTGCTGCCGGTGACCTGGCGGTCAAGCCAGAGTACCTTTCCTCCACGCCCAGCCCAATGGCAAAGCCTTCGGAGCCAAACCGAAACTCAAAATATGACCCCAAGAAGCCTCACATCACGGAGACGCCCATGACCACGTCGAACTGGTATAAACACGTCAACTGGCTTAACGTCACCCTCATCGTCTTGATCCCCATCTACGGCTGCGTCCAAGCATTGTGGGTGCCTCTCCAGTTCAAGACCGCTGTCTGGGCTGTTCTATACTACTTCGCCACCGGGTTGGGCATTACGGCCGGATATCACAGGTTATGGGCTCACACCTCGTACTCGGCGACCCTCCCCCTCAGAATCTTCCTTGCTGCTGTCGGTGGTGGTGCAGTCGAAGGCTCTATCAGATGGTGGGCACGCGATCACCGGGCACACCACAGATATACCGATACCGATAAGGATCCATATTCGGTCCGCAAGGGTCTGTTGTACTCACACTTGGGATGGATGATTATGAAACAAAATCCCAAGAGAATCGGACGTACCGACATTTCAGATCTCAACGAAGACCCTGTTGTCATCTGGCAACACAAGAACTACCTGAAGGTTGTGCTCTTCATGGGTCTCATCTGCCCCATGCTTGTTGCTGGTCTTGGCTGGGGTGACTGGTTTGGCGGCTTCATCTATGCAGGCATCCTCCGCATCTTCTTTGTTCAGCAAGCCACCTTCTGCGTCAATTCCCTGGCCCATTGGCTTGGTGACCAGCCCTTTGACGACCGCAACTCTCCTCGGGACCATGTCATAACAGCCCTGGTCACCCTGGGTGAAGGCTACCACAACTTCCACCACGAATTCCCCTCCGACTACCGCAATGCAATTGAGTGGCACCAGTACGATCCTACCAAGTGGTCGATCTGGCTGTGGAAGCAACTCGGCCTTGCCTATGATCTCAAGCAATTCCGTGCCAACGAGATCGAGAAGGGCCGTCTCCAGCAACAACAGAAGAAGCTCGATCAGAAGCGCGCCAAACTCGACTGGGGTGTTCCTCTTGACCAGCTGCCGGTGCTGGAATGGGATGACTACGTCGAGCAAGCCAAGAACGGCCGTGCTCTTGTTGCAATCGCTGGTATCGTGCATGATGTGACCGAGTTTATCAAGGATCATCCCGGTGGCAAGGCCATGATCAACTCTGGTATCGGCAAGGACGCGACTGCCATGTTCAACGGTGGCATCTATATGCACAGCAACGCTGCTCACAACCTGCTGTCGACCATGAGAGTCGGTGTCATTCGTGGTGGCTGCGAGGTTGAGATCTGGAAACGAGCGCAAATGGAGGCCAAGGGCGAGGTTTCTCGAGACAGCTCCGGTGAGCGAATTGTCCGAGCTGGTCTACAACCCACCAAGGTTCTGCAAAACACCCCAACAGCTGGTGCTGCTTGAGTGGCTCCATGACGGCACGAAGTATTTTTGGACGTGATGCAAAACAAGTTATCTGCTTAGCGAATGTACATACTGTGGATGGCGTTTATCTTTTCTTCGAGGACACGACTATGAGACTATGAGATTCATAGACGTCGGTCTGTGGGGTTGGATGGATTCGTCTCTAGAATTATGCTGTGAAGCAATCAAATACCCCAATTCAAGTAGTAGAAAGAATCTGAGCTATCTTACCTACCTCATATGGACGTTCCAGTGGTGTTATTTTGGGTGCAGATTGATTGCTAATACTCGTACGAATGCTACATAGCGTGACTGATGTCGATGCGGATGATGATCTCGGCGACGGCTGCTCACTTGCTCCGCACTTGGCGGTCTCCGCCTTGCAGCAAATGTATCGAAGAGCATCCATGACTTTCTGAGGCCTGGCTTGTCACTGATACGGGAAGACTGGATCAGTTGCAGGGTCGCGCAAACGCCTGTTTTATTTACCATGGGTTCCGTCCTGCCTTCCTCTTTGTCGCCGGTGACCGTCTTTGTTCACTCCTGCTCCACTTACTCCCTTTCGTTCGCCATCACCTAGATCTCACGTCCCTAGATCCTATCACGCATTCCTAACGATCATGACAAATCTATCCTTTCGCGAACAAGGCAATGAGCGCTTCAAGGCAGGGGAGTACAAGGAGGCCGAAGAGTTATATAGCGCCGCGTAGGTGGTGCTGGCCCGGGCGGTCCATGGTGATTGCTAACAGCGTGGCAGAATAGCCGAGCATTCTCGATCCGATCCCAAGGTCTTTGCCAACCGCGCTCTTACACGCCTCAAACTCCAAGATTGGCAAGGTGCTGAGTCCGACGCCAGGAAAGCGATCGAACTCTATGGCCCCAAACACGAAGCCCAGGCAATGAAGTCGCACTATTACCTTGCACAAGCCCTCCTCCCCCAGCGGCATGTTGGCGAGGCTCTCACTGAGGCAAAACACGCGTACGCCACTTGTTTAGAAACCAAGGACTCCAGTGCAGAGTTAATTGGACAATTTATACTCAAGGCAAAACAGGCGCAGTGGCAGGCGAAGGAAACCGCACGGTTACGAGAGTTGAATTCGACTTTGGCGCTTGTGGAGGACCTGCTCAACCAGCAGCTCGAGCGAGACAAGCAAGAGGTACAAGCAAGGTTTGAGAATCAAGAAATCGGCGAGACCGGGCGACAAGAGGAAATCGATGAGCTCGAGAAGGAAGCCGAGGCAAGAAGAGCGAACATCAGGAAAGCATTTGAGAATTCTGCCAGTCCAGAAACAGTCGAGAGGGTATGTTTCGAACGAACCATATGGCTGAAAGCTGCTGAGACTGATCTAAACAGGTTGTACCGGACTGGATGATTGATCCCATCACATTTGAAGTTATGCACGATCCCGTTGTCACTCCGACCGGTGTCTCATACGAGCGCACAAGTCTACACAGACATATCAAGGCCCATGGATGCGACCCTTTAACACGACAGCCGCTCAAGTATGATATGTTGATCCCGAATGTTGCATTGAAGAATGCTTGTTCGGAGTTCCTAGACAAGAATGGATGGGCTGTCGATTGGTGATATTCTTCCGGGTGAAGACAGTGTCAGATTTGGCATGCCCGGGCAACCTCTTTTTTCTCCCAGTTCTATTGGACTCGATGCCTGAAAGTGACTTCCAGCGCCGGCGTTGTTGGGCGCAGCTTGACGCTTGGTAAATTCATGCTCATCTATGTATTCATGCAAACCCCTAATTGATTCTCTTCGAAATGTGGATCCTTGGGCCTGTGTTTCTTCCTGCCGTGAAAGATTTTAGAAGGCTTACGCGGCTAAAGACATGAGTATGAGAGCAAATGGTCTTTGACATGATCGATCACCCCGGTTTGTTGTGGCGGTGACATTGGCGGGCGGACGGGATGGCAATGAGTGAGCTCTAATCGTCCCTCCAGGCCGCCTCGTTACTCGCTCCCCAGGCCCTCTATTTATTCTCTGCCCCGCCAAACTACTGACGTCGTTCCTCATCAACAAAGTTGTTGAGTCTCAATCCAATTTGCACCCAACTCGACTCTTTGTTTCCACGCTTCTCCGATTCTACAGCATATCACAGCCACGGTATGTGCGACATATCTTACCACTCTCATTCCAAAGTCTCAGAAAGGACCACAGGAACTGACAGTGCTGAGAATTTTAGATCTTACCGCCCTTCTCTACCTGGAACAACCTTTCACAGCCGCAGCCCCTGACCACCGTTTCCACCCTCACTTTCAACGTATAAAACTCCCGCAAGCAAACACGATGCCTTCTGCCGCCTTCACCAAAGCTGCCGAGGATAGCCGCAAGCTCAAGGCAAAGCCGAGCAATGACGAACTACTGGAAGTGAGTTGATTCCTGTTACACCATTGAGGTTGGTTCTTGTGGTGGCGAGCGACCTGGTCCATGGCAGAAAAAAGATATGCGAATATCAGGGATGAATGCAGTCTACTTGGAACGTTAGGAGCCAAAAAAAATAGGGGGACTGAAGTGCGATGGAATCCCATCTGCTGCCTTCACCGTCTTTCTGTCCACACCCTCGGACGTCCCTTCTTTTGCAGATCCGTCATGATGCTCTTGAGATTGGACTCAGCTAATGTGCTGCTATAGCTCTATGCCCTCTTCAAGGTCGCCAACGGCGAAGATATCTCCAAGGCACCCGCGCCAGGAATGTTTGATTTGAAGGTAGGCCATGCTTGGATTCAGAACGGACCTCTATATGAACTTGGACCGCTGACTTCTCCCTTCAGGGCAAGGCAAAGCACAAGGCGTGGCAAAAGGAAGTCGACGCAGGCACGTCTGCCGCCGACGCCGAAAAGAGGTACATCGACCTGGTAGAGAAGCTCAAGGGACAGTATGGGTTCGATGAGAACAAGGTTCCAGAGGCTGTCGGATCAAACTAGGTTGGCACTGGAAAAGCCAGCGTGAAACCGACCGACATCACACAGGAACGTGTCAACGAATAAAGGAACGTGTTCTGACGAGCTACGACGACACTTCTGGTCTGGAAGAAAGAAAATGAACTTGTCATGACAGATTACATACACATTAGCGATGGCTTTAGCTACCTAGTAAGCGTGTCGTGTTAACAGCATCTGTTTCGTGGGATCTTTACGCACACTTCACATGGAGTATATGTTTGCTTAATCCTCGCCTGTGTTCTCTCTGTACCTCGGCACGGCGAGTTCCACGAATTGATTCGCTATATGCTTGACCGTAGATCTGTTCTTTCTCGAAGCAGTGTTACTTGAAGTGCACTTCGCTGCATGCCAACGCCATGGAAATAGCGAGCAACAACGTCCATCCCCAGTCGACGATCATCTTCAAACACTGGTTTCTACTCTGTGGTCATTCTCGAGTCGAAAGGCTACGGTATTCTTTCTGTCATTCCTTGACGTGAGGTTTCTTTCTGCCCAAAGCCTCAGCAACACGGTGGCCGCCTGTCTTTCCCTCTTTCTCTCTCTCTCTCTCTCTCTTCTCTCGATCCACCATTTCTTTGCTGGCGGTCAGAGCTGGCTTCTTCAGATTGGTGCTCAGAGGTCTGACACGAGCAACGGACTCTAGGACGTGGACAAGTCCTGCTATGGAGCTTGTTGTGTACGGTGATTGACTCTCTTTCTCTGTCTCAGGCAGGATCGTGTGGCAAGCGGTGATAGGTGGTACAAGATTGTCACCGACTGTCATGTGCGCATGAAAGTTCCATCCAGTTCTCCCTAAACGCCTCCTAAACCTCGAAAAAGAAAACGAATTCATCTTGACTTTCATATTTCCCAATCCTCTCCTCCACCAGGTACTTTTTGGTTTATTCATCTCGAGGGACCAACCAGGGAACCACGCAGCCATCAAACCAAACCTTGTCTCGAAAACAAGAAAGTCCAAACAGGGAAAACAAACAGAAAAAATAACCCCTTCAAATTTGCCACTATCCCAGCATAGCGGTGTGAGTGTGTGTGTGTGTGTGTGTGTGTGTGTGTGTGTGTGGCGCCCTGTCCGTATCCCAAGTTCAATTTCACTTGCGTTGAGTAAGTTGAAAATGTGCATCGTACTCATCTCGACGGCGCACCCCTCATACCAACTCATCCTCATCGACAACCGCGACGAGTACCTCAACCGGCCGACGGACGTGGCCAGATGGTGGCCAGAGCCGCACTCGCACGTGCTCGGGGGTCGTGACATGCTCCGCGAAATCCACGGTACGTGGCTCGGGGTGACGCGCACGGGCAAGATCGCGGTGCTCACAAACTACCGCGAAGACACGACGCCGCCGCCGTCGGCCGTGTCTCGCGGCGCCATCATCAAGCAGTTCCTGTCCGAGGACGTGGGGCCGGTCGAGACGTTTGTGCGCGACGTCGTCAACACCGGCATCGCCAAGGACGCGGGCGGCTTCAGTCTGGTGTGCGGCGAGATCGGGGCCAAGCTGGCCGTCGTGTCCAACCGCGCCGAGGACCAGAGCCAGGTGCCATGGATCGGCGGCGACGTGGTGCAGACGGTCGGCCTCAGCAACGCGGCGTTTGGCGACCGCACGTGGAAAAAGGTCCTGCTGGGCGAGGAGCTCCTGCTCGACACAATCCGGTACAACGTCGAGCACGACGCCTCCGACGAGGACCAGCTGATCCACCGCCTCCTCGACCTTCTCAGCCACGACACTTTGCCCAGACAAGGGAAGCCGCACGACGCCGGTCTGGAAGCCTACATTATGGACCTGCGGCATTCCATCTACGTGCCTACTCTCGGCAGGCGGGACAGCCCGCAGCAGCAGCCGCAGCAGCAGCCGCAGCAGCAGCAACCGCAGCGCAACATCCCCGATGATGAGATGGCAGCTGCCAAGTTGCGCGAAAAGGTCGACGTCGTAGGCTTCAATACGCCCGTTAGGAATAACAGCCCGGCGCCGTCCGCGTCCATGTCACAAACCCCTGGACAGGAAAGAACTGAACTTGACCCTGTCGCACGACCCCAGCTGGGTGTTAGTGGTCTGTACGGCACGCAGAAGCAGACCGTCGTCCTGGTGGATAGGGATTTCAACGTCCGATTCTTGGAGAGGACCTTGTTCGATCAGGATTCGAATCCCATCCCGCCTGGCAAGGGGGATGTTGATGTGAGATTCAAAATTGAGAGGACAGAGCAGAACACGGAAGCAATGACGACGTGATGTAGTCTGCCAAACTTTCTCGAAACTTTTGGATAGTGTCACAGGCCATGACGGGGGGGAGAGAGGCCTAGAACAACACCTGCGAGCATAGATTGGATCATCACGTAGAAATACCGACACTCTATGTATGCAATGCGGAAGGTGGTACTTTTCGATCAGGCCACGGGATAAAATACTAAGGTACCGTGACCATTTTATTTCCATAGGGGAAGCCTTGATGGAAATAAAGAAGAAATGCTGCAAGACACGAGGACACTACTAGAGGTATGTAGGTGCCGATGTAGGTATATATAATCCTGGAAGAGTATACCTTCGCACCCATTCGGCTGACTCATCCCCCGTCACTTTGCTCTCCTGCCAACGACTATTTAAATATTAGTCCGACTGCTCCCTCGTCCGCTCTCTTCCACTCTCTTCCCCTTCTTTCGCGCTCCCCTCACACTCCCTTCTGCTCCCTCACGGCTCCGAGACCATGACTGGACATAACCAGGAACCGCAGCTTACGTGGGTCTTCGACACGTATAGACATCGAAATCCAATGGCAGCGATGAGTCTTTGCTGGAAACCCGCCTCCGGTCTAGGGGGCGACCATTTGAGGCTTAGCCGGTTGGTTGGCCTGACGGGGGTCGTCGCTTTTGACCTTGCTTATAAGAACCATCTTCCTCTCCATGCACCCCGATCCCTCCCACTCTTTCTTTTCCCTTTATCATATTCTGTTGTACCGATGCACCTGCCATGCCATGCCCTAGGTGACAATGCTTGAGCGTCGTCTGTCACACCAGCCTCCTCTGGTCTCCACCAATTTTTCCCGGGTTTCCCTTAAACCGCTGCTTGTATGCCTATGATTTTATAAGCTCCCTTGAAGGAGAAGACCCTTCGTTCTTGTGTGGCCGAGGGGAGGTCAGGAGGGGCACCGAGTCCCACGGCGCAATGCCCCCTACCTTGGCCTTGAAACCCATATCCTCCGACCGGTTCAGGCTGCTGACCGCAAACCTCAATGAAAAGACCGGTCGGTTGTCTTTCAAGACCGAGGTGCACAGTCTCGCGGGCAATCTCGTTCCCCCTTACGTGCCCATCTCGTACACGTGGTTCGGACCACCGACCCCTGACGACACGACGGTCGATTCTGCCGATGGAGTGATCCCACAATCTTTCCCGGACCAGGTCATCGTCGACGATACTTCGGTGGACGTGACGAGAAACTTGGCGAACGCCTTGAGACGTGTCGTCCAGCGTGAATGGCCGTTGCGAGCCAAACAGCTGGGCCTCAAGCGAAGGCTGAGACTGTGGTGCGACTATCTGTGCATCGACCAAACCAACTCGACGGAAAAGGGCGAGCAGGTCCAAAACATGACCAAAATATTCGGGAGCGCTTCAAAAGTCGTGGCCTGGCTCGGCACACCCCCCGACGACGAAGAGGCCAGTTGTGCAATGCAGCTTCTCTCACGCCTGACCGCAACCTACAAGGAGAACGTTGCGAGTGGCAAGGGTTGGGCAGCCGACATCTACAAGAAACACCATGATATCTGGCCCAGCCACAGCGATTGGTCACTTAAGGCGTGGCGAGGACTCGAAGCACTCTTCAAGGCTCGCTACTGGAGCCGCGGGTGGATGCTCCAAGAAATCACGGCAGAGAACGGGACAACATTCTTATGGGGTGACCACCATTTTGGAACCGATGAGTTCAGCATGGTCGTGACAATGATAACTGAACTTCAGAATTTTCCTCAGTTCACGGACATCATACAGATTGACAGGTTCTGTGTGGGCAACATATACCTCCTGATGACGAGAAGAAAGGGCCCTGATCAAGAAGAGTCTTTCGAATTGCTCCGTTTGCTTTCACTGCTACGTTCTGCCGAATGCACGGATGCTCGGGACAAAGTATATGCGATATCTGGATTGGCGAAGGATGTCGAGATCATCCCCCGGTACGACAGGTACAACGAGAGCGGAGTTGACCTTTTCTTGAATACCGCAGTTAGCATCATCGACGTCATGCACGTCCAGGAGGCGCTGAGCTACGTCTTCGTTCCTTACACGGAACAGCAGCGCCGCATCTGTCAGCCTCCGATCCCCTCCTCCTGGGTACCGGACTGGCGGCTTCGCACTCACTGTCAGAAATTTACCGGCGGTGATTTCTACACGGCTGGTGGACCCCGCTGGTCTTGCAAAGCAAGCGTCGCAGGTGACGAACTGCAGATATTAGGCTTTCGTCTTGACACAGTCGCTTCGTTGTCCGTCACCTACGAGACGGAGGACCCGACCTACAGCGTCATCCAACAATGGCGTGAGATCCTCCCTCGAAACGGTGTCTACAAATTGACAGGGGAGGAAATGGAGAGCGTCTTCGTGACAACAGTTGTGGCAGACTGCATCCTGACGAACAGCGTCAGCTCCCGCGGTGCTCGTGCTGATTTTGAGTTTTTGGAGAGAGCCAGAGAAACGATGGACCCAGACATGACGAGCCAACGAGCTAGGATGCAGGCGGCCCTCGGAATATGTCTGGGTCGTCGCCTCTGTGTTACACGAGCAGGCATGGTGGCCCTCGTTCCCGCTGCCACGGAAATAGGTGACTCTGTTTGTGTTCTGCAAGGCTGTGGACGATGCCACGTACTGAGACTGGAGCCCGACGGCGTGAAGGGGTCTTATGTCGGAGAGACTTATTGCCACGGCATGATGGACGGCAAGGGGACAGCGCAGGCGTATGCGGAAAGCCGGAAGCCTGTAAGTTTTCGCCTTAGCTGACGAGTCGTCGAATCCCGGATGGGCTGAAGAAATGGACGCATCGGACATGCCGCGCGAGGACCATCCTGTGAAAGAAAACTTTTAGAGGTTGCTCAACGGAAAGAAACACCTCGTTCCGCAAGAGGCAGGAAAGAAGCTGCAAGATGTATGTGGCAAGGCTCGACCAAAATTTGGGTAGCGGTGGCCGAATGCGTGAAGGAGGTTGCACATGCCTGGACGGTCCGGGTAAGGAGTGATTTCATGGAGGTTTGATGATATACTTATACCTATATATATTGTATCCCCCGAACGGTGCTTTTCCCCTTGCCATTTTCCATTCCAACCTAACTCAATAGGCAAACTATACTCCAGCCTCCCCCCCCCAAAAAAGTGTTTCCAGCGCTAGCCTGAGCCTCATTTGTTGATCCCGAAATCTCTCCCAAGCAATACTGACTTACTACTCTTCGGGGCGGGCAACACTCCACTCGATTGTGAAGTGGAAAGAAAGGCCTTCAAATACGGCTGGCTTTCTCGCGTGGATGTAAATGCAACTTTCCCGTGTTGGCTTGTCGTGAAGTAACCGGTTCTCCCATAGAATGCGTCGATGCAGGCGGGTTCGAACTTTCCGCCAAGATGTGACGAAGAAAGTCAACCACTTCTTGACGCTTGTAGAATTCAGCGCGGTGAAGGACTGACTTTCCACGAGAATCCAAGATAGTGAGATTGGCGCCTTTCTCCACTAGATATCGGACGACGTCTAGGTGCCCATCCGCAGCTGCCCTATGAACGGGAGTGCCGAGACCGGCTCCGGATTGTAAGTCAGTCGAAGGTTGGTCATGGTGATACATGACCTCGTTGATAGGTGCACCCTGGTCGACGAGGTAAGTCACCACGTCGAGGCGAGCTGGCAGCTTACGACCGGCGGCAAAGTGGAGAAGCTGTCCGTTATGAATTGAGCCACCATGGGCGAAGAGCGTCTTGATAACGTCGAACGGTGCCGAGTGAACGGCATACGACAATGGGGTTATATCCAACACGCATCTGGCATTTGGATCTGCGCCGTGTGAGAGGAGCCAAGTAACTAAGTATGCATTCTCAACCACTGATCTGTTGCTATTAGAAAGGATGACTTGTGATAATATTTGACGGTCGCAACTTACCCAAGTACCGGGGGATCACACCATCCTAACTGCTCGTTAATATCCCATCCATGTTTGAGAAACCATTCAAGCACAGCCGTGTCATTATGCTCGGCGGCGATTTTGGCAAGTTCGACTGTCGGAGAAGACCCCTGACTTAGAAGATATTCGACAACAGCCGTGTGACGATTCCGAACTGCACGGAATAGACTGCTCGTTTGCCGTGGAATCCAGTAGTCGCCAGCAGATGTACCGCGTAATTGATCGAATAAGCGCTGTATCGTGGAGAGGTCTCCTTCGCTCGCCGCCTTTTCTATCTCGTCAAGTTGGTCGCATTTCGGAGGCGGTGGAGGGCGAGGTTCGGCCACATCCCCCTCCCGGAGGCCACTGTTGAAGTCGAAGACGTCCTCGACCTTAAACGGTAGATTCCTTTGCCACTCCTTAAGCTCTTCCGGGTCTGGGGTAGAAACGCGGATTTGGTTCTTCTCCCAGTCCCAGAGTTCCCGGGCATTGTCCTGACTCCGATCCATGATGAAGGTTCAAGTGGTAGAAGAGATGGATACCAGAGAACGCCGGGGAGGGGGGGGGGTGCGCATAGTATAATGGGATCGGAGCAAGAGTGGAGTTTAAAAGGAGCAACCGAAGGGCCGCAATGGCACCAGAACAAGCCTCAGTGAGACTTTCAGAGGTTTCAAGGGCACACTTTGATGTTATTACCAGAAAGAGAGAAAGATAAAGTGGGAAAGGAACATCGAGAGTCCGAAAGGCTTTCAAAGATTGGCGCTCTGGAAAAGTTCTGTATCGCGTCAGCTTTTGTCCGATTTGGTACAAAGGAAGTGTCGATTGGTAGTAAATCTTAGGTAGCAGTTCTACACACCGTGTGAATGTGAATAGAAGAAATCAGTGCCAACGAGAAGTCAATCTGCACTGTAGAAGGCCAATGTAAGTGCTATTGAAATGACAATAGGCACTCAGTCACCGACACTACGGCAATGAGTTGATCCATTTGCCCCCCTTTTCCTTCTTCTCCCGACCTTTTTTTTTCAGAGTGATTATACATGACACTGTACCATACAGAATTACACAGAAAGTTGGTTCGTTTTGAGCTTTTTGGTGTGGTGCTTTCTTCATCCATGCTCAACATCAACCCAACCCATTCTCCCTACAGAAAATCCCCAAAAATCACCACAATTCACACACGGGCTCCTTGTTCTCACACTTGAAACTCTCCTTGAAATCCCTCGAATTGGCCATGGTCCCAATGATCCTCGCCCACTTCGGAGAATGAGGGTCGGTGTAGATTCTCTGGATGGCCGTCTCCTTGCGCGTCTTGCCGCACCACCAATTCGCATACGACACGAAGAACAATTGGTCCTGCGTGAAGAAGTCGAGACCAGGCAAGTTCAAATTCGGATCTTGGCCTCGGCTTCGGGGCGAGCGTGCGGTAGCGGAGGCTTCGGCCGCGGATCGTTTCTTCCACGCGGCAAAGGCGGCCGCGACGCCACCTGCGTCGGCAATGTTTTCGCCCAGGGTGAGCTTCCCATTGACGTGCAAGGGTTTGCCGTCGCGGCCTTCGATGGTGAAGTTGTGGTATTGGTCCACGAAGCACTCGGCGCGCTCCTTGAAGTTGGCCACCGTCTTGTCGGTCCACCAGTCCGTGTAGTTGCCGTTGTCGTCATAGTGGCGCCCGGTCGAGTCGAAGGCGTGCGAGAGTTCGTGCCCGCTGACCGATCCGAACGCGCCGTAGCTGAGGTACTGAGGCACATCGACGTCGAAGACGGGGAATTGCATTATGCCGGCCGGAAACACGATTTCGTTACCCGGTGGGTTGTAGTCTGTGTGAGCGTATTTAGCACATGATCAATCATATACCATCAACCAACCCGGAACTATAGAGTGTTACTCACATGCATTCACCGTTGGAACTGTCATGTCCCTGTGTCGTGTCAAGTCAGTACAATGAAGACGCAATCCTTTTGAACGGGAGAATTATAATTGACACATAAACAAAACATACCATTGGTCTCTGTCGACCGGTTTACCAAGTGCCGACCATTCCTTGAGTACTTCCAATCGTCTCATGGAAACAGCGTTCTCGAAAAACGTCGAGCCATTGACTTTGACGGGCTTGTAGTAGTCATGCAGGGTGTCGGGATCCAAGATATTTGGGCTCTGTACAGGAACATCAGTCTTGACTCAGACAGACTCTCCACAGTCGCCACTTTGAACTCACCTTGTCAGGATATCCAATTTTCTGGACGATATTGTGTACCTTATTTATGGCAAGATCGACGACCTCCTTCTCCATCCAGTCCGTGACTTTGAGTTTCTCAATGAATTGGTCCTTAATGTCTGACACAATCTGGTCTCCAAAGGCTTTGGCTTTTGCAGAAAACGCCTTCTCAACGAAAAAACGACTGAGAAGCCAACCAACACCACCATCGACGTGATTGACGCATTTCCTCCAACGTTCAGGCGACGAATCGGGGTCCTGTTTGATATTAGTCTCTGGTGATCGACAGCCGATTCCCCACCACGTACCTTGCCTTGTAACTCGTTTTGAAAACGCTTATAAGGAACAAGAGCATCCGCCTCGATGTAACCATTGAATGTCTGAACCACTTTCCAGGAGATGTAGGTGTGCAAGATTTCCTTCGGGGTGTCGTCCAAGAGCTTTCTGAGATCTTTTAGATACTGCGGAGCCATGACGATGATTCGGTCGAAACCATAGTTCTCAGGGACAAGGCTCTTTAGGATGCTGGAGAGGTTGATTTGGGGGACTAGTCTATCCGCCTCTCCAGGTGACATTGGGTTGTAGTATTTCTGCAGGGTACATCAGTATCATGATTCATCCACTCAAAGAGAGGACTAACTGTGACATCGTCTCGGTCTTCGGCATCTGGCGATGCTGCAGCAAGCTTCTTCTCGAACTCGACAAGACTATGAGAATCGATCTTGGTGGCTTTCTCAGGGTAGAGAGCAGACATGACTTGTGACACAGCCTCTTCATACTTCTGCGTGATTTTCTCGTCCGTGTACAACTCTTTGGCAGGAAGTCCAATCGAATAAGGAGCAGCAACTGAGATAACCACGGTATCGGGGTCCCGGTCGTCCGCGCCTGTACCGGCTGCCACAAACGCTGCTATACCCAGATTGGCAAGATAAGTAATGGCTTCTGTCAATGGCTTCTCTGTTTCAGCAGATCTAGATAGCAGCCTGTGACTTGTCTCATTAAGCATATCGATCAATGGGGCAACACCACGACTCTTGATCGTGTCTTCGTCCAAGCAAGCATTGTAAGCTGTTTGAAGCTTGTCAAAGTTCTCTTGGTCTATGGATTCCGTGACGTGGTTCGATTTTGGTGAGAAATCGGCTTGCTAGTCCTGGCGTCAGCTCTGACCAGACATCCACAGAAAATCTGCACTTGATCGTCGAAGTGGCATGACGGTCCGGCATGACGTACCGTGGGAGAATCTGGGTAAGGAGCCTCCAGGATATGGCGTAACAGCATCTGAGAAGTCTCAGACATGATGGTGCCAGTAAAGGCGTCACCTTGATCTGGTCTCAAGTCATGACGGTCCCTCCATCCGCCACAGACCATTTCTTCAAAGTCGGTACATGCGTCGATGGTCTTGTAGTCTGGCGACAAGTTGTACAATATTTCGGACGAAGCATGTACGCACGCCGGAGTCAGACAAGTATCGGAGCCAGCCGAACCATGTGCCTTTCGAAGCCCTTAAGCATAGGAAATAGGTCAGCAAACCGTCCGTTACATAATCATAGATAGTGTGCCAGCAGACCTTTCATACAGCTCGGAAGGCTTACTGATCGAAAAAAAGAGTGACTGTGGAAATTCAGAGCCGTAAAGACGAGCAAAAGCCCTACGCCAGCGAAGGCGGCCTTGAGAATCGAAGCATTGCGCCGAGATGGTGATCTGGCGCTGTGACTCTCCTCGTCCTGCATCAGCGGCACCTGTTCCAGCATCACGTCGTCCTCCTTTTCGGGAAGCTGGGACTCCATGATAAACCAGAACCTCCCAGTATAGATGGAAGTTCTGTTGTCGAGGGACACGAAAAGGTCCAAGTTGACGTGAGCGATGTCGTGATAATTGGGGAAAGCAACAAGAAGCTGGAGTCATCACTGGAGGTGCCGGGTCAACCACGCAACCGACTATTCCCGAAGTAGATTAGTGCGCCATTGAGCCGTATTCGTACAGCCTTGCGCAGCCTTGTGTCCCGCACCTCAAGTCGGCCGGTTTCCATGTACCTACTACCCAGTTTCCAACGAAGCAATAGAGTCCAGAAGATGCCACCACCTACGTAACTGCTTAGGTAGGTATTGAAGACAATCCGATGAAGTATATTTACCTAGCAAATTTTCCGACCTTGCTTAGTTGGGCCATCAATTGATCAAGGACACATTTGAAAGCCTCGGACGGTCGGACGGTCGGATGGTCCACCACATCAAAAAACGGCTCAACTCAGCACCTACAAATCCAGTACGAGTCATAAGATATAAAACGTGACATGCTCTACGTGTACATGGCCGATCACAGGGGAATTTTCTTTCGAGAAGTGTCTATAAGATTGCATCCCAGCTATCAGCCATCTTTGCTGCGTTAGTATCTGTACCGTCCACATCATGTCAACCACACCTTCGAACCGAGCTGCATATCTCGTTGAGAGAAATGCGAAAGAGCTACAGGTCCGGTCAGCTCCTTACACTAGTCCAAAACTAGGCGAGATTGTCATCAGAACGCATGCCGTCGCAATCAACCCTGTCGATCACATCGTTCAAGACAGCAGTTTGATCTACGGGCATCTCAAATACCCTGCAATCCTCGGCTTCGATGTCGCAGGAGAAGTCGTTGAGGTCGGCAAGGACGTCACACGGTTTAAGAAAGGCGACCGTGTTGTTGGCAGCGCTGCTGCAACCGACAAGACGATCAACTCGTCCGCGTATGGCGGCTTTCAGCTTTATACGGTCCTTTTGTCGCACATGGTGTCCTATATCCCAGACGCCCTTCCATACGAAGAAGCCTCGGTAATTCCACTGGGCCTTGACACAGCAGCAGCCGGTTTGTTCCAGAAGGACCAGTTGGCTTTGCAGCATCCTTCTGTGCCCGCAGCAAAGTCCACGGGCAAAACAGTTCTTGTATGGGGTGGCTCAACCAGCGTTGGGTGCAACGCAATTCAACTCGCCGTAGCGGCCGGTTATGAGGTCATCACCACATGTTCTCCACGCAACTTTGAACTGGTCAAAAGCCTTGGTGCAGTACAAGCATTTGACTATAAGAGCAACACCGTGGTCAGAGACATCAAGAACGCTTTCAGAGGCAGGTTAACCGCTGGTGCCGTGTCCATCGGCTACGGTGCAGCTCACAAGTGTCTCGACGTTCTTGCCGCTTGCAAGGGAGACAAAGCTTTGACCATGATCAGTTATCCAATGCCAGAATCAACTCCGAAACATTTTGTTGTGCTTCAGACCGTCTTCACCTACTTGACGGGTATGATCTCGTTGTGGATCAAGGCCAAGCGCCACGGCATCCGTATTGGCCTTGTCGATGGATACACGGTGATACATAACGAGGTTGGCCCGATGATATACGAAGGATATCTCCCCAAAGCTCTGGCCGAGGAAAGGTTCATTCCAGCACCCAAGCCGCAGGTCGTAGGGCATGGCCTCGAGAACGCACAGAGAGCAATGGACATCCTGAAGCAAGGCGTCAGTGCGAAGAAGGTCGTCATAAGCTTGTAATCTTACCTGCCGCGTGTGCAGCTAGTGCTTGGTACTGGCTTCGCTTGTTTAGACGGTGATATGAGTGAGCAGCGTTGACAGTTTCTTCGACCTTGTTCTTGGTTCCTTTGAAAACAAAGATCATCGAAACGGCTTGTCTGAATCGAAATATCCTGTACATCGAGCAGAGTGCGAAATTTATTTCCCGTAGCACAGTCTTTTTCACTTTCCTTCACTGCTCCATGCTGTGTGTTTGACTGCATCTGCAATGTGGGCTCTCTTGGGCTGGGGTAGTGGTTTGGATGCCCCAGAACGAGTTCCATGGTCATGAGAATCGTTCACTTCGCTCGTGGCAACAGTAGGGTTGTACTGGAATAGTTCGACTTGATCGGACGAATCATCTCTTACAGCACCTCTCGATGAGACGAATGATTTCAGTTTTCTGCCGTTACTTGTATCCGTCAGATTGACTCGTCGGGCTTGAACGTCATGATCAGACGCTGTTCGGTCGCGATTGGTGGTTGACAGACCACATCCTGGGAAGTAATGCCTCAACACGACACGGACAGACGGCATGCAAATGCAAGCAATGCCAACATTGAATTCCAAGTCCGAGAAGTATCCGAGCGGCACGAAGTCCCCTGCACGTGTCGTATTGTTAGAAAACTGAACAAGACGTACTCGAGGAGGGCTTCCTTACACGTCGGATTCCAGGTGTTGTTCAAGCTGATCAAACTCCAAAGACGCAGGATGCTCACAAGGGTGACACTACGTATGCATTAGTATAGTCACCTAGTAATAGTTCGACTGAACTCACAAGAACCCAACGCCAAACATGAATAACACTTGGATTTTCTTCTTCTGAGAGAGATTCAGCTTCCAAAGTTGGCTGATAGGTAAGGCGAAGATCAGGAAGTCCAGTATGATATTTGTTATGGCATGCAGAACAGCGCCGACATCGAAGTTGAGACATTTTCCTTTTCCTGTTCCGTCCCACTGTGTCCAGGCATAAGATACCGGGCTACACTGGAAGATGAACAGAAAAGTGAATATGAGACCATGTATCAATGTGATCGCAAGTAGTGGGAGAGCGACGCGGCGAAGTGCTGGGGAAGGGAAGAGCCTGATGTAGAACAGCAAGAAAGCGACCTTGGTAGCAGCAACACCGACTGCATAGAGGACTCCACCGATGTAGAACAACTGTCAAAGTGATCAGCGATTAGGGGGTTCGAAACGATGGCATGAAGGCGACTTACCATTTCCACAGTCTTTGTGTGGTCGAATGGTAGTCGCCATGTATCGCGGCCATAGCCGTAAGATCGCGCTAGAAGGACGTCAACAGTGATGCCTTGCTGTACATGTCGTCAAGCTCACAAATAGGATTGCATGCTGCATTTCCAATCATCAGAAGCTAATGCGGCGTCAGCCTTGCAGCTTGGTGCTCCACAACAACAGACTCGACTCACAGTAGCAACAGCGACCACAAGGTCATCCCATCCCCAAAGCATGCTGAAGTCTCGAGACAGGTTGATGATACGAACTCCAACTAAAAGAAGGGCGATGGCCATCGAGGTGAACGTGATCGCGCTGCTCAACGGGCCTCGATTACGGTCGGGAAAGTTGCAACTGATAGATGTAATGTTTTGCGCAGCTGCGAAGGTCAATCATGTGAGCCACAAGGCTTATTGATACCGCTCACTTAAGCCTTCACGAATCGTACAATTCGATTGCCAGCAATCTTGCGCAAGCTTGTAGAGGTCATTGTCACTGCAAAAGCATTGAACGCCAAACCGACAAGCCGAGGATTGGTGTGTTATATCAGAGATACAGTTGTCCTGTGGCGGCTGTCAGTCTTGCTGGACGACGTGAGTCTGTTGGGGCGCGACACTCACTGCACAATCGGATAATTCCAACGACTGGCCAAGGACGGTCTGCGAAAAGCAGAGTAAGGCAAAACCGGCAGTCAATAACTTCATTCTCGTGATCGTTGACCTCAGAAGCGCATTGAGGTCGAATGTCGAACGCAGAAAGATCCTCAGCAGGACCAGCGAAGTGGTGCAAGTTAGGTTCCTGTCATATTTCTTTTTGGTCCGGACGAAGGATCCATGCCCTTGGCCCCAATGAGTGGGCAGAGGTGTGCCGGGAGAAAGAGCTCTGCATGTTCCAGAATTGTCTGGACTAAGTTCCTAGCCCATCCTGGTGAGTATAAAGCACTCTATCAGACTCTGGAGCGTTCGTCAGGGCAGCCATGGGACAACTCAAACGCTCGATTGCCATTTCAGGCACGTGGAGGAGAGCCACAGGGGGGAAAGTGAAAATTAGCCCTGAAGCTAGCAATCTCTCCGGTCAGAACCAAGGCACGGGGGTGTTGGCAAGCCATGTGTTTGATTGGGGTCCGACTTGCTGGTGAACGGTTGTGCCTCGGCTTCCAGGACGCTATGGTTCGGAATGCATCCCGCAAGCGAGGAGGTCGAAGTGATAAGGTGGAGTTGGCATCGCGAAGTACACCGTTCGAATAATGGAAGAATTATTCGTTCGTGGCCAGGTGGAGGGGATTTTTTGAGTTGACATGCTGTCTTGCCGTGCTTTACTGTGAATCGTGGATTATGTCGCGACACCCCTGGTACTGTAGATCTCGCTGGTGCTCCCTGTTGTGTCTTTCGAGGTCGATGGGTTCATTCATGCAGCGAAAGTCAGAGCGAGGAAATTGTTTTGCTGAATGGGGACTTGAAAGGCCAAAACCAAAACACACTATCGTGCCGTGTTTTGGGGCCACAAAGCTTGGAACGGTTCGTCGTGGTGGCGGGTTGATAAGGCGCCGATACAGACTTTCTCTTTTGCTTGTAGAGCTTCCCCGCCCAAAGATAATGCGGCTAGACCGGGACCTCGACCTCAAGATCCTGGTGGTCTAGAAGACTAGAAACCACCTGAAACGCCTATGGCGCCACAAGCCGAGATCAGGCCTTAACAACCTGCAATCCTTCTTCGCGTCCTCGCACCGAGGATGTGACTGTCAGATGGCCGAGCAGTCCTCGCTGCGATGTCCGACCTGCGAGAATCATCTTCATTGTTCAACCTGAAGTCTCCAGTGGCGCATTAGTTGAGGATGGAGCCAAGAGTCTCGCACAAAAGTGAGCGGGGACTCGTTTGAGCAGATGATTGTCGAGGTCGGCAAACCCTGTGGCAGACGAGACATTGCGCACCCCCCTTTCTTGATGATGAGGCGATCAAGTCTCCGCTGGGATCAGATGGGGTAAACACCGTGATAGGCAATTCTCGAAGGGCATGTGTCGCAGTCCTCGCTCGAATTGACAATGTCCTGACAAAGATCGGCGAGAAGCCCCGTTCATCCGATGCTCAAGCGAGTCTTACTCTGTACGTGCATCTTTTGTAGAACCAGTAAGCATAAACCTGTACTGTACTTTTTGCTTTAAGGCTTGGCTCGCCTAGAAACAAGGCTACAGGGCGCCATTCCAGGTAAAGCGCAGCCTTGCCAGCGAATACTGGAAGAACCACACACACACATACACACACACACATACACACACACATACACACACACACATACACACACACACAAAGCTTCATCCCATGGGCCTTGCCTTGCCTTGAAACACCTCATCAGGTACAATGAGATCTCGTACTGCTTAGCAGTACTTCTGTGCTTTTACGTACAATGTGTCAATGCCTCAACGGCAATCTACCCCTCTACCCAAGAACTGGCCCAGGGACGTCACCTTTCTCACGACTCTCCACATCCCGCCTCCCCTGACACCAGCATCAATATCTGTAGATGATTACGACGGCGGCGGCGGCAGCGATGATCAATCCAGGTCGTC